CTTACCGAACTCATGAGGGCCGGTTTTAACGAAACACAGAGCTCACGTTTCTTCTTCGCTTTAAAGGAGAAAAACCTTTGAGTAAACAAGGTTCGATGTCTCTCTCTTTAAATCTTTATTCTTTCCGCTCCTCTGTCGTTGAAACGGCGTGTCCTCGGTTAACTTTGAGTTGACGTTTATGCGCATTAAACCATATGGTGCTGCTCCCCGTCTCCCAAGTCAAAACAACTTTTTTACATGTCCAAATACTCAGACTGTTGCTGTATTTCAGCACCAGAAAGGATTGTAAACTGCTGAGACGCCGACCTCAGATGCCTCCTTGAATGCTCTCGCTCAGCTTCACCTCAGGAGCCCTCGCACATATGTTTAACTCCACCCGTCAACCCACAGCTGCAGACACTTAAATATAAAGATCTGAGTCATCTGGAGCTTGTCGAGCAGTTTTAAAAGAGTTTAAAGAAACAATAAAATCAAACGAAATATAAGGTTTGAAAATGGTTTAACTGTAAATGACGGATTTAAGCCGGGTTTAAACGGGCGATGAAAACGTTAAAGTCAGAATCACGCAGGGAGGATTCTCCGACGTGATCTCTGACTGACTACACCCACATTCCTTTGAGATAGATTAATAAATATGTTTCCTGTTAAAGTCAAATGAGGGAATATCTTCAAAACGGAGACAGCTGATCTGATTTACTGTTATTTTAAACACGCCCTCGACAACCCGTGTGGTCATTAAATCAGGTGAGGCACCGAGGCGCTGCGTCACTGCAGCGTCATCTATCATTTATCAGTTTGTTTTTCTTTCCCTCAGAAACACTCAGATGTTTAAGTAGGAGTCTGAGCTGCAAACAGACTTATGTTCTCCGTGTGTTTCTTGTTAGTTAAGGTCGTAAAAACCCAGAATATACGGTTCGCCTGTACATTCTGTGCAGCCCTCTTTGGAGGGGGTTTCCACAGCAACAAAGGTTTGAAAAATGTCCACGCATGAAAACATTTTCTCCAAGTTATATGTAAATGCAAACCTCCTTCGCCACTCTGTCAGCCACAGTTTGACACCCATTTGGCGTGAATTCAGGACTTTTTACTCGAACCTTAAAGGGATAATCTGGCATAAAATTAATTTAGGGTCAAACACACCGTAACACCGAGTTAGAAACCCCCTCCAGAGATGAATGTTGTCGACCGCTTGCTTCTCTAGTTATACCAACTTTAGTAACGACCACAGGATAGAAATACAGAGAGCCACGCCCTCAACCAAAACGCCACTCTATAGCCACAAATAATGCTCAGAACAGCACCTAACTTCATCAACAGGACATATAGGGTCACAGCCGTAGTACTCCACACCAAACATCAGACTACAGCGGGGTGCCGCAGCTCAAGGAAGAACATTTATGAACATTTCCTTGAAGTAATAATCACCATATTAATCATTTTCACTGCAGACGTGGTAGTTCTTCTGTCTTAGCGTCTCGGTCTGATTGTATTTCCATGAAGAAATGATCATAAATGTTCTTCCTTGAGCTGCGTCACCCCGCTGTAGTCTGTAATGGACTGGTCTGACTGGTCTCACAACAATCAAGCGGCTGCTGGAAGAGAGTAGGTGAGTTGTGTTTAGTCTCTTTGCTAAAGAAATTAGTCAAAGTTAAAAAGATGTTTGGTGTCTAGTACTATGGAACCCCTCTTTGTCTTCCTCCTGTACCTGAAAGCTCTGCATTTCTACTCTTGTCGTAAGCTGTACCAGGCAGTGCGCTGTGGTTGAGTGTTCAATGTGAGTGGAGCTGAGCAGATTCGTTGTTGGTGCTTTCTTTTATTCTTTGCCACCAAGTAGTTTGCTTTTGGATCAAGTAGAGGGCAGTCTCAGCAAAACCTTAGTGGAGTTTGTAGAAGAACTTTACGTTTACCATTAAGTCAACAAAGGGCTCACATCCCCATTCATACAAGACACATGATTAAAGGGGACCTGCCATCAAAATGTAATTTTTGTTTTTTTTTGTGTCAGATAAGGTCCATATTATGTTCGTCTTATGTTGTAAATGTGAAAACAAACCGTTACGTCGTTTTCATTCTGTAAAGGTTTAAAATAAAGGAACGAGTAAATCAGGCCAATTGAAAAAGCAGGTCGGTGTTACGTTGCGTTGACGTTGCTCATTATAATTCACGAGCGCGTCCTCAGTGAGCCGCGCCCACTCTCTCGTTCTCGTACTCAGTCACAGCCAGAGCGAGACCCAGCTACCGCTGTATCCGCTATGGGTCTCTTCCAAACGACCGGTGTTTCCTTCGGTTCACTGCCGGGAAAATGAACTTAAAGCTGGGCAGAATGAATGAGAAAACACCGCTGGAGATCTCCGGCTTCTTCCTCAACTTCCACCTCCTCTTCGGACTCGGGGTCTAAAATATATGGTTTAATACCTGCCGTTTTTAGCCTTTAGCATAAGGTGACCAGACGTCCCCGATTTCCGGGGACAGTCCCCATATTGGATGACCTGTCCCCGGCAAAAGCTGTCCCTGAAAATGTCCCTGATTTAAGCGTTTCATGAATGAGAGCAAAAATGTTGCGTGTGGGCTCGAACAACGGTTATTACAGTAGCCGAATTGGTAGGAAGCACAAGTTAGCAGTCCTGAACAACAGTTCTTACGGGGTTATTACAAGGGGCATGCGCTGCTACTAAATAGTACCGAGACTTTGTCTGTGATCACGCAGCCCCTGCAGCCCCTGCACCGCCGCCGCCGCCGCACCGAATATCCCCGAATATCATTACAGACATCTGGGCACCTTACTTTAGCACACATTAGCATATGCTATTAGCATTAGCATAATAACAATGGAGAAACCGAAATCCGAACCTCCACTGCTGAGCCAATCAGAGCACAGCAGGCTTCACAGCAGCGATCCAATCAGAGCAAAGCTCATTACCATAAATGTTAATGAGCCAAAACCAGTTGGTTTTCCTGTAAGGTTTTTTAGGCATACTAAAACAAACCATCAAATAACTTTTCAGCTAAAATTATGTTGCAAACATGATCAGAGGACATCAAGGATTATGAAAAAATGATAAAAATGGGGATGAAATTTTGGTGGCAGGTCCCCTTTAAAAAGAACGATTTTCATGGGAGCAGTGAAGGACAGTGGATATTGATTTTGACTACACACTTCGATTGTCTTAGGTCTTGCTCCATGTTGTTTACTGAAAATGGCTGTTTTATCAGACATTGTTACAATCAATAATATTAAACACATTAATTTCCGTTCAGTGGTTTATTCTTCTTGAAAGCATAGATTCAAACAAAAGCAGTGGACACACTTATGTTAACCTATAGTGACAGAAAAAAATATACTCCAGCTGTCCTGATGATGCAGATGTGGTAACAATTGTCCGAAAGGAACAAGTTGTCTTCTGAAGTTTGATGTTAAGAAGACGTTTACAGCCCTAGTTTGTATAGCAGTTTACAAGGATTCAATCAGTTAGTAAAGTCTCACTTAATATAAAAAGACAATTAAAGTAAATCACAGTTCTGCAAATAAAAATTTATCTGTCAAATGGCACTTAACAGCTTCTTCATGTCATTTATAAAAGCTAGTTACTATTGAAAATGGATTAAAAATAAAAAATAAGGTTGTTTTGGTGTGCAAACCAGAACACCAAGATAAACAAAGCTGCTGCCAGTGTTAAATCACATAGGGGAGACCAGGGCTTGTTGTCACACTTTTTACACCCTTACATATTTCTTAAAATCAATACGTCATATATAAACAAAATGTGTACCAGATGAAAGACTAAAGTTTCAGGTATATATTTTGTTTTCATGTCATTTTAATATCTTGTGTCAGTGCAGAGTTATAAGCACCTGACATGTTGCCCCACCGTCGGGTAAGTTGTCTCACTATATAGGGTAAGACGTCATAGTGGATTTTGCAGCTAATAAAACAAGGACAAAATTATGAAAGTGAACATCAAAGTCAGGCACAGAAATTTTTTATCATTGAGCGAGAAAAAGTCATCGAACAAACTTTAACATGAAATATTATCAACATGCTCTGGGGTTTGGAGTTTGTTTTACAGTACTAAGCCAAGGTCTGGTAGTTAACATTAAAGTCCTTTATTGTACTCTGGATTGACCTGCCTGACTGCCCTCAGCATCACGTCAGGTACTGCACTGCCATGTTCTGTTTCTCTTTTATAATTCCTGACCATGTCTTTTTGCTTTCTCCTCTCCTTTTAACCACTCTTTTCTCTGTAAAAATAAAATCTAAATTTCAATATGAAATATATTAATTTTAATCCCCCTTAAACATGTGACGGCTAACCCCAAAATGACTGAGACATGTTGCCCTAAACCACCATGTTTGCTAATTCTAGCTCTATCTTAAAGTTAGCTTAAAACAGAACAGTGACAGAGGTATGTCAGGATGCCTTAATCTCCCCTCTAAGAAGTCCACATGTAAAACTAGAACCAAGATCAAAGAACAGTGTACTTCGGTTAAAGGTGTGAATTTATGGAATGCCCTTGACGATGAATTAAAAACGTGTCAGACTATTCACAAATTCAAATCGTTGTTTAAAAGCAAGGTGATGGAAAATTATAGAAAAAATGATTGAGGTTACGGATTAATTTATATTCTGGATTTAATTTGATTATTATTATTTTTATTTTTTTTTTCTTTCTTCTGAGTCATCTTTTATTCTTTGTTTTGTTTTTGTTTTCTATCTAACGTGTGGAGTAAGATGTTTTGAATATTTTGATTTAGTAAGAAGGAGAGGCGATAATAAGCTTTTGCTTCAGCCTATGCCTTTTAGGTCTGGTTTTCTTCTCTTGAAATTTACTGTATATATTGGATGGATATGACCAGATCGAAATAAACTCAAAACTCAAAAAAACCTCAAAAACTCAATTGTAATGTGACAACAAGCCCTGGGTCTCCCCCTACTCAAAGCAAGCTCTGCTTTCTCTGCTTCAACTTTTCCCACCGCTTTATTTGTGTGAGGCGGAACAGGCTACTGCTCGCTGGTGGAGAAAAGTGGGTTATGAAATGCGGCTAACATTTGATAGACAGGATAGCTGCGTCCAGACCTCTTGCGGAAGAATACGACAACGATGATCGCTAATGGGACTATCACAGAAATGACCACGACAACTGGTAAGATGTGGCTGTTGTGGGTTTGAGGTTTCTCCATATCCTTTGCTGGACAAAATAAATGAGTAAATAATTAGTCAATGGAGCTTAATTATAACAGTTATAACGATATTAAAATGAGAAAAACAAGATAGATGTTACTTACCAGCAGTTGGTGTTGCCAGTACCACTAATGACAAGACAAAAGTGTCAGGACAGAAGCACATCAGTAAATCGATAATTACGCTCTTGATTTAGAAACAATTTGTTGATAAATGTGTAGAGTTTTAACAACTGTGTAATACGCATTCATATAGTTTAGCATTAATATTGGATAGGAGGAGGACATTAAAAACTGTTCTATGTTTGAGAGAGTTTGAGAGAATATACAGGATCAAGGTTGAAATATTAAATCAAAAGAAATAGATAAAGTGTATGACAAAATATTTCAGAAAAGAATTCTCTCGATTTTTTACCTGAGAAATTTAGCATTTTCACCTCAGAGAAAGTTTTGTTCACATGAACTATGACTTGAAACTTGCAGTCTCTCTTTGTTCTCCATCCAATTTAATTTTAAAGGGGACCTGCCACCAAAATGTCATCCCCATTTTTATCAATTTTTCATAATCCTTGATGTCCTCTGATCATGTTTGCACCATAATTTTAGCTGAAAAGTTATTTGATGGTTTGTTTTAGTATGCTTAAAAAACCTTACAGGAAAACCAACTGGTTTTGGCTCATTAACATTTATGGTAATGAGCTTTGCTCTGATTGGATCGCTGCTGTGAAGCCTGCTGTGCTCTGATTGGCTCAGCAGTGGAGGTTCGGATTTCGGTTTCTCCATTGTTATTATGCTAATGCTAATAGCATATGCTAATGTGTGCTAAAGTAAGGTGCCCAGATGTCTGTAATGATATCAGGGGATATTCGGTGCGGTGGCGGCGGCGGTGCAGGGGCTGTGTGATCACAGACAAAGTCTCGGTACTATTTAGTAGCAGCGCATGCCCCTTGTAATAACCCCGTAAGAACTGTTGTTCAGGACTGCTAACTAAATTCGGCTGCTGTAATAACCGTTGTTCGAGCCCACACGCAACATTTTTGCTCTCATTCATGAAACGCTTAAATCGGGGACATTTTCGGGGACAGCTTTTGCCGGGGACAGGTCATCCAATACGGGGACTGTCCCCGGAAATCGGGGACGTCTGGTCACCTTATGCTAAAGGCTAAAAACGGCAGGTATTAAACCATATATTTTAGACCCCGAGTCCAAAGAGGAGGTGGAAGTTGAGGAAGAAGCCGGAGATCTCCAGCGGTGTTTTCTCATTCATTCTGCCCGGCTTTAAGTTCATTTTCCCGGCAGTGAACCGAAGGAAACACCGATCGTTTGGAAGAGACCCATAGCGGATACAGCGGTAGCTGGGTCTCGCTCTGGCTGTGACTGAGTACGAGTACGAGAGAGTGGGCACTGCTCACCGAGGACGCGCTCGTGAATAATAATGAGCAACGTCAACGCAACGTAACACTGACCTGCTTTTCCAATTGGCCTGGTTTACTCGTTCCTTTATTTTAAACCTTTACAGAATGCAAACGACTTAACAGTTTGTTTTCACATTTACAACATAAGACGAACATAATATGGACCTTATCTGACACAAAAAAACCCCAAAAATTACATTTTTATGGCAGGTCCCCTTTAATGTAAACAAGTACAGTAGGTTTGAGTATCTGTTGTACTTTTCTGTTTGATTAAATTCAGCTCATAAAAAGCATGTTCTCACCTTTGGGGGCTTTGCAAATATATCCAATATAGGAGGAAAGACTTGCCCGCCATTTCCCACTCGAAACTTCCATCAATGCAAAAATTCTGTATCCATACAGATCATATCCACTCCAGTTTGTGTAATCCACAGTCGTCTTATCCAGCCACTGCCACTGGCCTGCGAACAAGCAGAGGTTCATTTTTTTTTACTTTCAAATTCAGTGTCCTGTTTTTCTGGAGGAAAAGCCATAGTACTAGCCACCAAAGAAATGCTTAAAAAATTAGGCAAAGCTAAAAAGATGTTTGGTGTCTAGTACTATGTCTGTGACCCTATATGTCCTGTTGATGAAGTTAGGTGCTGTTCTGAGCATTATTTGTGGTTATAGAGTGGCGTTTTGGTTGAGCGCGTGGCTCTCTGTATTGCTATCTGCGGTCGTTACTAAAGTTGGTATAACTAGAGAAGCAAGCGGTCGGCAACATCCATCTCTCGACGGAGTGTCTAACTCTGTGTTACGGTGTGTTTGACCCTAACTTTATTTTATGCCGGAATATCCCTTTAAAGCTGATTTCATTTGAAGGTCATGAAGCCACTATGCCAAACTCAGTTCTATGTATGTTTGCAAAAGTGTCACTAAATTTTTCTTGTCATGAATGAGCAAACAATGTACCTCTGTGAGTTTTGTAGAAGCCAATCCAGAAGGAGTCCTGGCTGTCCTCATACTCTTTAATAATGCCATGGATAAAAGCTTGCTCTGAGGGATCCTCAATGCTGACAAGAGATCCTTCTTCTAGAATAAAAAAAGTTATACAAACATTAGGTTTTTATTGTTTCCAGAGCTAGACACAGCTAAATGATTACAAAGTTCTCCGGCAATCGTACAAAGTCCTTACCATGGGCTTTACATTTAGCTGCTGCCTCCTGCCAAGTAGCTCTGTTTGGCATAAATAGGTAACAGTTACCCTTAAAAGGTAGCCAGCTCTCAGTTTGCCTGGATCTGACACTGCTGTATATGTCTCGAAGTCGCCCTGGAGATTCAGGGCACATACCAGGGTAGGCAGTCAACTCTGTCGGTGGCACATCTGGGGATGAAGGCACAGGCTGTATAAAATATGGAGGTAGCCTCTGTGAAGTAACCCATTGTTTTCTGAAGCATAACCATGACCTGGATGAATGAGAACCTGCACAGATATTTCTGAAGGTGGGTTGTTCCAGCAGCAAAACTAGACGCTCATTGGATAAATGCTTGGCTTTGTCCCGCCCATCGGACGCTCAGCGTCTCTGGAGTTCTATGACGAGAGGGCGGTCCCAACTTTCCCGGGACGCTGAGCTTCTGCATCCATGATTGGATGAGCTGTCTGAGGCGAAATCCTTTTTTGATTGACAGCTAAACAAGCGAATCAGCGATCTTGAAGAATAAAACATCTACCAGAGCATTTTCTAAGTTATTCATCCCGTTGTTCTTAACTGCTCCGGAGACTTTACCGATCCTCAGCGACTTTTGTCTTTGTTAAAAACGACTGCCGTTGTGTTTGGCGACTCTGTTCTGTTATAAACAAACACAATTTTGATGTAGGCCAGAAAAATGAGCTTCCCCTCCTTGGAAGACCAGCAGCCGCCACTGACCTCAACGTAAACAAAGGGGTGAAGCTGAGGTGGGCTTTAAGCACCAGCAACAGCTAAGTGAGCCATATTGAATGAGGCCAAATAGAGGAGCAATGAAGCCCGTCAACATTAAGTACATTTACATTTTGCATGGAAATAGTGGGTTTATTGCCTTATGTTCACACAGAGCGTGACTACAATTTGCCTGTGCGAATTTTAGCTTCAGTTTTCCCGTTCTTAGCCGCTGACCATTGATGGTAATTTTAGCTCAGCATACTTCGTGGTTATTAAACTTAGCGTTGCCTGTCTGTCGTCTTGAACTAGTCTGCCCATTCTCCTCTAAACCTCTAAAATTAACAAGGCATTTTTGTCCACACAACTGCTGCACACTGGATATTTTCTATTTTCTCGTCTTTGGACCATTATCTATAAGCCCGAAAGATGGTTGTGCGTGAAAATCCCAGTCGGTCAGCAGTTTCTTATATGCTCAGATCAGCCTGTCTGGCATCATTAGCCATGCCATGTTTAAAGCCACTTAAATCTCCTTACCTGTGGATTTCATACAAATGCTAGCCAGTCTCAAAGAGCAGTCAGATGTCCTCCATTTTCCTTCCTCATCCACATATACACAAGGTTGGTCACTCTTTGGTTCTCCCGAAGCCCAATTGGCAAAAGGTAGATGCCAGCCGTCAATATACATGAAGTATCCAGCAGTCTAAAAGCAAAGATTTATTCAACTACAATATAATCTATTCAGATTACTCTATAGAAAGAATGATAAGCCTTTTAAATTCCATTCCAGTATCAAAATGACTTTGTCAAATATCATCTCTAGTACACTCCTGATCAAAATCTTGAGACCAGTTAAAAAATTGCAAGAGTTTATATGTAGCACTAGGGATGTGCCGATACACAATTTAATCGCGATATGCGATATGAAACAGCCGCGATGATGAAATTGTAGGGTACTGTAAAGCCGCGTTCAGACCAGCCGCGACCTGACGCGACTTGGCGACGGCTCCCAATGCAAAGTCTATGGCCAGCCGCGACCTGACGCGACTTGGCGACCGCCGGCTTCCTGCGACACGACCATGCGCGACCGGGCGACGGTCGCCAAGGCGCGTCCCCGAGGTCGCGTCGCCGAGGTCGCAGGACGCCAAGTCGCGTCACTCCCAAAGTTCAAATATTTGAACTTTGGGAGCGACTTCGTGCCGCGACAGCCAATCAGGGCTCTGCTGACGTCAACAAACCGGCGAAACAAGGAAGAGGAGAAGAAGAATCACAATGGAAGAGCAGTTAATCACATCCGTTAGCTACCACCCAGCTAACTGCCCCTGCTTGCTAGGCTACATGTTTCAACGTATGTGTGTGTGTGTCTTTGCTGTGGATGTGTGCCGCAAGCGGTGGAAGTGGCTTAGAGACGTTTATATGAGGGACAGACAGATAGACAGGCGCTCCGAAGCTGAGATGGAGCGCCTGTATTTCGTGTCCAGGCGGGAGATGCTGCTTCCCACTTGGGCGAGGAGGTCCTCGAACTGCGCCGTCGACACACGGAAATACCGCTGGAAGCGGCCGTCGTCCAGGCGGAGTTCCTGGAGCAAGCGGTGAAATTCACCCAGCTCCGTCCTCCTCCGGATGGTTTCATGCACCCATAAACGCCGGCGGCGTCTACTGCGGATGTACAGATATGCGGCAGCACTGATGAACTGAAAACTGAGCTAGTGACATGGATGACGTCACCGGCGACCAGCCGCGACCTGCGACTGCAACTTTGGACCCAGTGTGAACACACCAGAGCACCACGCGACGCGACCTGACCGACCAACGCGACGCGACCTGGTCGCGTTTGGTCTGAACGCGGCTTAATAATCGTCCCACAATTATAATTTAAGGACGAGTGGCAGCGTCATTTAGCAAGGCAAGCGAAGCCGAGTACTTACCAACCTAACCCACTTGTAGTCTTACCCACAGTGTCAAAGCCTCTGTGGCAAAATGTACAAACAAACCACCACAACAGTAGTCCCAATTTCAAAACAAACTCTTGAATTAAGTACATTAATGCCAGCCTAACAAAAACGGGAACATTAAAAGAGAAATGAAGAAATTTTACAACAAAACGCGGGGCCACCCACAATGCATTGCGGCCACCCAAAGCACTGTTGGAGCGTGTCCACTCTGTGAACCGGAAACAGTTTGAAGAAGGAAAAAAAATTTGACGCACACGTTCCAATTTCCATCCAACGTAACGATGCAGCAGAACAGTCAGAGACTGAGAATGACGAAATGCCTCGGCTGTATCCTCCTATTAAAACTGTTTCAACGGCAGTATGGACGTTTTACGGCTTCACAAAACAGACGGAGCAGGTATACTTGACACCAATCTGCAGGTTATGCCGTAAGGAAGTTGCAGCGCCGTTATCCAACACTTCAAACCTACGTACCCACCTCCGTGAACACCATCCAGCATCGTTAATAACGTTAAAAGCAATGTGCTAATATCATGATAATATCGCGAATCGTGATATTTTGGGCCACCAATATCGTGATATCAAATTTTTCATATCGGCACATGCCTATTTAGCACTGTTGGACCTTCAAAATGCAAAAAGAAGAAATGGGAACAAGTTTTGAGCAGGTAATTTATCGACAACAATTTAACTGAAATCGGCTGTTAATCAGCTGATCAAAAGTTTAAGACCACAGCTCAAAAAAACCTAAACACCTCCTAGAACAGAAATTAAAGTGTCAAAAACTGACTGAGTAATGAGCAGCTCCACCATTATTGTTGATTACTTCAAAAATTCGTTTTGGCATGTTTGATTTAGGCTAGTGGGAGTGTTGCTCCAAGTGGTGAAGATGGCTTCATGAAGGGCATCCACTGTCTGGAACTGATGTCCATTTTTATAAATCTCCCTTGCCATCCATCCCCAAATGTTCTCAATTCGATTTAGATCAGGGGAAACATGCGGGATGGTCCAAAAGAGTGATGCTATTCTCCTGGAAAAAATTCGTGCCCCCTCCACTGTGCCGTGTAGAAAACATCTCAGGTGGCATCTCCTTGTCATGCCAGTAGCGTTGGAAGCCATCAGGAATGTCCCAGGTTTGGTGCTCCCTTGCGAAGTCCAAACGAGCAATTTTGTGGTGTTGAAGGAGACGTGGCCTTTGAAGACATTTTTTGTTTTTGAAGCCCTTCACAGATGTCGTCTGATTGTTATTGGGCTGCAGTCAGCACCTGTAATGGCCTTAATTTGGGACGAGGATCATACCGCGTCTTGACGGACACACATTCGGATCCTCCGGCTCAGCGCTGGTGAGATTTTTTGTTCCATAACCCTCCAGATCTTTTAATATCCGGAGGGCTTCGTCCAACCTCAGCAGCGATGGCACGTTGTGAGAGGCCTTGTTTATGCAGCTCAACAATCCTACCACACTGTTCAAAGGCAGTGAGCTTTTTTGCCTTTGCCATCAAGAGATGTTGGCGGTGTGACTGCTTGACAAGAAATGATATGGAATCCAAGTTTTCGCACAGATTTGGGCTTTGTAAGGCTGTGGTCTTAAACTTTTGATCAGCTGATGAACAGCCTATTTCAGTTAAATTGTTGTTTTCAATAAATTACCTGCTCAAAACTTTTGGTCTCTTGTTCCCATTTCTTCTATTTGCATTTTGAAGCTCTGCTAAGAACCGTCTAAAAGGTCCAACGGTGCTAAATGTAAATTCTTGCAATTTTTTAACTGGTCTTAAGATTTTGATCAAGAGTGTATTTAGGATAAGTCAGAAGTTACAGATGGGTGTAAGTCATGTATAAAGGAAGAAATGCATCCTGCCCATTTACCTCTTTAGTGTTCAGTCCAATCCACATCCACTTTTTGAGATTAAAAGTGACCAGGTCAATGTATGCCTTTGACCAGACATTTCGCAGGCTAGCTAGTGTGGCACCATCCTTTTTGCAGTTCTCATTTGCTGCATACCAGGTCATTTGTGTAGTGACAACCTTGACAGAGTCATTGAGAAGCTTGACATAGTCTGTAGTTTTTGGTTCAGGAGAGTCTGGGAGAGAGGGGTCTGTTAGGGGAAAAAAGAAAAGTAAAAACCTCAGTTTCACTTTTCATCTGGTCTTTTGTGTTTGAAAGTAGAAATACTTCCAAATAAAAAAAAATTCCAAACATAAATGTGCGTTACAAGTGCCAGACTTGTGGGAACTTAATAGTACATGCGCTTTGTACTGTGACAGAGCGGTATATCATTTGACTATTGCAATTGTGTTATGCACATGTGTGCAACAGGAAACACTGCTCTGATATTCCTTTTATAGCCACCCATTTCTTGAACTCATAGTGAACTCACTGCTGTGCATACAGAGTCTGTGTCTGTGTCGCGTAACCCAATACCTCTGTAAGACAGATTTGAAGACGATATATTCCTGCTTTGCAATTTTAAAAATTATCTTATCTCATCTTGTATAGGTGCATGATAACATTGTGGGCCTACATGTTGAATAAAGTGTAGAAGGCCAATAATTGAGTCTTCCCGAATCTCAGAGGTAACAGAACCGACAAACAATGAGGCAATCAAATTAATAAGAGAATAAAGTCCATTTACTCCTGCAACTACCCTCGAATTAGAAATAGATGAATGATAAAACCTAAAATGAGTAATGTATTTATTAATCCCTATGAAACAACAGAGACATATATTATCAGCATCCTGAACATAGTAACCGGTAAGGGAGTCAAGTAGGCCACAACTCCTGACAGTAATGTAAAATACATTTAAATTAGTATTTTTTTTCAATGATATTCTATTAAAATGTGTCCATTTTAAGAAAATTTAAAATATTTATATTGAATTGTTGGAATTTTAGTCATTCACCTTTTATTTTCAGGGTGGCAAAATGTAAAACAAGATTTTAAAACATATAATATCCCCACCGGGCAAAGGACAGACTTACCAACACTACGAAGGCAGACATATCCATTGGCGTCATCGCAGGACTTTTTTACCCAATTCCCCAAATCCCTTTTGGCACTGGTCATGGCAGCACAATCTCTTCCCTGAGGCACAACAGTAGTTTTCTGCAACAAGATGCAAAATTTCTTGAAGACCTCTCTATTGTCATTGTGGTTGCTCCAGTCAGGACTAAGGCTGCACGATATTGGAAAAAATTAATATTGCGATTTTTTTCAACCCTGCGATATATATTGTGATATTAAAAAATACAGGAATTTTCACCAGATGACCTGAATAGCACTTAATGTTATACTGCACCGCTGAAGTCTTGAGGACAGTTACCCTGCTCTGATCTTACCTCTTTTTGTGAATGTTAGTAGAATGGCTTCTGTCTGTCTCAGAGATATTTTTAGCTTTTATTGTGCTGGGACGTTATTGTGGCGACAGATGAACACAGAACACGTGTTTTGGTCGCCATCATCCATCTTGTAACCGAAATAATTCCTGATAACTGACTTTCCTTTTCTTTTAGGCAACAAGTCTTCATCTTCTGTGGCTTTCTCTGTTTGTTGCTCCGTTTGCGATCGTTGTTGTTGTTGTTAGCGGTGTTCTGCTGAGAAACGTATGTCCTCCGAGAATTGCATGCACCTCGCAAAACGCGCACCGCTTATAATAGAGTGGTCCATGGAAATGTACATTTTAAAACCCAAACAGTTCTTATTTGTTGGGCTAAACAGTGATGAAGAATGTTCCGAAAGTAATTCTCAGCGGACACGCGTCTCACTCCATGTGCAGAACATGTGCAGGGGTGGGTTTCCTCCTCTCTGATTTTGATTGACAGCTGGCAGAGTAAGCTGATTGGCAACTGAGAACTGAGTCTGATTGGCAACTGAGTAAAGGACGATGGTGATTGGTGGATCGCTGCACAGCACATGCAGAGTCACGTGCAGTGTATCTCAGTCAGTAGCTGCGTCCGAATTGCCAAGTAGTAGTCGAAGTAGTATCTAGCATGACCGAATTGGCCACCGGAGCGAGTAGCATGCTACTTCAGATACTAGACACGCCCACATTGTAGGTTGGTCTCGGTGCATCCTCCGGACATGCTACTGACCCAAAATGCACCGCGGGCTTCTTCTTCGTCCTCTTAAAAGTTGTAGAAGCGCATGTGATGCTAGCACCACCAGCTACTCTGCCTATTTAAATGTGTCGCGAACGCCGGGTGACCACAGCAGCGCGCATCATGTCGGAGCAGCAGCAGCAGCAGCAGGCGGGACCGCAGCAGTACAGATGTAAGTTTCATGTAACTTCACACACTGTCCTAAAAAATGTGCGGTTGTATCTCTTTGTCATGTCATGGCGTCATATTTGCCCAAGTAATCATTTTATGAGCAAATATGTGGCGACATCATGGAGGTAAAGCTCACTTATTCCATCATTAAACTGCACAGCTGACTATCGCACACACGTACATCGCGATGACGATGTTCAAACGATATATCTTGCAGGCCTAGTCAGGAAGCAGTAAAATTACCATAAATGATCAGATTATTGAGATCTATGTCTTAAAACTTTGAACACAGTAATAATACATGATGAGTGGTATGAGTTTCCCACCCTGAACAAGACGTTACAAAAACAAAACCTAAAGAACACTGGTCGCAGGTTTGGAAACTAACAAAACTGCACTTTGAACACACAACTTTTTAGAGCTCCAAAAATGACAATACAGTAAAATTGCTTGTTAAATCTTAATATCATAGAAGTTTTTACCTCAGTAAAAAGGTGGCTATATGAGGTGAGTCCCTAAAAACAGAGAGAAATATTTTTCAAACCATTAGAACAAAAATTATTCAAAGGTGCACAGAATTGTTCACTGTTGTTTCAACAGCATTTACAGAGGACAGATTTTGCTCATAACTTCGCTAACGAACATTATAATGAAGCCAGTGTCTACTCACAATTTTCCAGCTGCTGAATCGGTTTGGTCGACCATCAGTCCAATAAAATTCAAGTGAATTTTTAGAATGCATACCAATCCACAGGTCAGTGCCAGGCGCCTCAATCATTTTTGTAGTCAAAAACACTGAAACGGTAGTGCACATTGATGACTCCTATGTCTCTCAGATAAGGACATGTTTTTGTTTTTCGGATGGAGGGGGAATTATTTGGGATGCTTCAACATGCTGTGTCAAGTTTTGATACAAAAAAGACTAAACTTATTGCTCGTGATTCTGTACGACCTACAAAAACAAACCAGAACATCAAGAAGGCTAATGGTGTGCATCTCTGCTCCTCTAACTCCAACAGTCATCATACAAGATAGCTATGGCTTCGCTTCACAACCAAAAGAACACTTGCAAGTAACTTTACAGGACGTATGTAATCAATGAAGAGTGGAGAAAGGAGGAAAAGGTTAGAAGTAGGGCTGGGTGATATAATGATAAATATCGAAAATTAATTTCTCTCAATATCAATATGATACATGGTCAATATGCTTTTCGATAACTGGCATTCTACTATGTTTTGGTAGACTATACAAATAGCCAATGATAGCCAATGGTTTATTGAGGTCAGACATGAAGTAGAGTAATGTGCACTGCAAGTTATGTCGAGTACATGTTCTCGCAAAGTCGGGGAATACCTCAAATCTTTTTCACCACCTAAAGCAGCGCCACGCGGCAGAGCACGCGCAACGCAAAAGGTTACAAACCCTGAGTGGAGCGAGGAGCCCATGGCGCCCGTGCAGCCAAAACAGCTGCCTATTCAGTCTCTAGTGCAGCGCCTCATGACAAAACGTCAAAGGGACACAAAGACCTCACGGCTGCAGAAGCTGATTATATTGCGAAAGACATGCTACCAAAAACACTGCTAAATGTTATTCTTTATATCATATGTCGATATCGACTGATACGAAAAAAATATATTGTGATAAACTTTTTCCCATATCGCCCAGCCCTAGTGAGAAGTGAGAGGAAACTTGAAAAACTGCCTGGGTAGGCATGTTTTCAAAGGCAGCAAACCCTGACATCAGGTTCAGGCCAAGTCCTTCACTCTGATTGAAACAAGCTGCTCAGGGAAACTGTAAAGCTTTTTCAACTTTCAACTAAAACTTCTTCAAAATTTATTTTGTTTGACTTTTGTTTCCTTTTGCAGTTCTTGTCTGTATGAAATGACAGTCAATTCAAATACAAACGTTGTTCATGTTTCGAGAGAATTGAGGCTAGATTTCCTCCCATGGCTTTGCACTGTGTCTTTGCTCCATCCCATGTTTCCTTTTTCTCGTGAATAATGATGTAACACTGTGGGTGAAAAAAAAACACAGCTTAGTGACCGTGCTGTACATCAGTAAATTGAAATTGTTTAACGGAATCATCCAGTAAATACATTGCTCTATTTAGTGTGAGTGTAAAGGTACACATATTTTTACCGAACTGTTTCTGTACAGGACTTAAAGTGCAATATAAATGCACACTAATCCAAATACATGCGTGCGCCACACTACAGATGTCAAAAACCTTTCAATATTGAATATATGTCATGAAGACAAATGCTTTTGTACTTCACATACAAGATGTACATCTCATTTTATCCATTTGTGGATATAAACGTATAAACCCACGTGGCTCTTATTTTCCTGAGTGGCTCATCCAGTCACAGTCTGTGTGTGAAACACTAACTGTAAAAGTGACATCTGACCTTTGAGTTAAGTTTTGTCCAGCCCTGTGGACAGCCTCCTCTTAGGGGAGCAGGTGTTGACGCGGGGACAGGGGCAGGGGCAGGTGTCGTGCTGTTGCGTTTACAGATGAATTCATAACTGAGCCCGCAATTACTGTCTCTCCAAAAACCTGCAGAAAAAGAAAGAAAGAAAGAAAAAATCAATATAAAAGCAAACGCAATATTCATCAGTTAAAAGAAAAGGCTGAGTGCTTTGTACAGGATTTCCTCAAGGATTTTTTGAAACTGAAAAAAAAAATAAAACATTATCACAGTTTATAACTTTTATAAATATATTATTTATTCAACACAAACGTAATTTAGTCATATCTAATGGCACTCTTGTTTTGAAATAACTCGCCTCTTCACCGCTACTCTCGAGCGAGGCACAGTAGAGCTCGACAGGAAGTTAAGATTCCAGTGACATAATCAGCTTACGAGACAAAGAGGATGACTTTTTTGATTATTTTGAAAGATGCATTTTTGTGAAAAAAATCACAGTCCTAACTGAAATCTGTGCAACTCTCGTGTTGTTTAAAAATCCGTCAATAAGCAGAGATGTATCTACGTGTTTCAACTCACATTGAGGAACAGAAAATGGAGTGGCTCTCTAAAATGATCTTCCTCTGCAATTTGTCACAGTGAACTTTCTTTGATAATAATCAAGATAATTCAACTTTTTATGTCTTTCATACATAATAATCAGCTTGACTTTAGTACCGAAGTAACAGTCTGATTAATACATTTGTTAAATAAATTGTCTCCTGGTGAAAATTATATCATTTACCCCTTGGGGAAGTGACAGCACAGTTTTCATCATTGTTCACGAAACGAGGTTGACCCTCATCCCACCTTTGATACACCACTGGAGAACCATCCATCCACCTTTTAAAAGACACAGTACAGAAAAAGACTTTTATTTTGTGCAATTAAAACACTCCTATCTTCATACTTTAAGTTGGGTATGCATTGAAACAATGACTGACAGAATGGATCTTGCTCTTGAATTCATGCTGCTAATCCACAGACCTGGCACCCCTTATATGACATCTTCCTCTGCTCTTGAGTACGCTTGTGTCTGAACAATAATTGTTATACGGTGGATTTTTTCTGTCTTACAGCTTGAAGAATTGTAGGACAAATTATGTATCAAAATGTCCAGTTTTATCGGGGTCAGTGTGCTATTACTTTTCTGTATTATACACAAATTTTTCGTGACATAAGTAGGGTTGGGTATCGAGAATCGAGTATCGATTGGGATCGAGACTAACATTTCGATTCTTCCGGTATCGTTCAAATATTAAAATTTCGGTTCCGGAATCCGCCGACCGGAAGAAATAGCTGCCGAAAATCAACGAAGTTACAATGTAATCTGTCTCTGTCTCTCTTCTCTCTCTGTGTGACTTCGTCCTCGTTGGTGTTCGGCGGCTTCTTCTTCGTTGGTCAAAAGTTTGGCTAACTTTAGCAGGAAGAATGAACTCTTATCTCAATGCAACATTAGCAATACAGTTAAATCATGCAAAGGAGGGTAAACGACCAACATGATTAAACACCTCAGGATTCATGGAGGAGAAATACCCGAGTGCTCGTCTTTGACGCGCTTCGCCGGTGTTGTGCCATAGAATGCACCCCTGCTGTTGAATGCCCCCCTGACGGGAGCGCGGTTGAAAGTACACAACAAGGCGAAACAATCCAAGTTTTTCGTTACCGTTGAACGTAATCTAAAGCGTGTGCCTTTAATGATTTCATTCAGGCTATTCAGATATGCCGAAAAACAATAGCCCTCTGATTCGGAATATTTACTGTCCTGAAAATATAATGTTCTCTACCTTAACAGCTTACTGTACAGTTTATATACCAAAGTACATCTCTGTATGTGCATTTTTGAGACACATAAAAACAAAACGAAAGTTTACTGCTCCATTTGACATGTTGTCATGATCTAATACTCGTGTTTTTTTTAAATATGCGATCATTGTCTTCCACTTTAAGAAGCTAATGAGTGGAGGGGAGGCATTCTACGGCAGGGGTGCATTCTACAGCACAACACCTGTCTTCCGCTAACCAGTCAGGATCAGATAAGTGAAACAATAAATTACTTCTGTCCTCCGCTAACTTTGAAGCGGTAAACAAATTGCACTGAGTACGGTGGGTAAACTTAAATATCCAACTAACGTTAGCCCTTGTACTTTGTCATAGACAAACGACCTGAAAACAAAAAATGATATTTATACACTGACTGAAAATAGACCTGTGAGAAACTCATAGTAAAGTTCTTAAAAAGTTAATAGAATTTGAAAATTCATGGAGAAGTTCAGAAATTTCATCCAAACAGAAGAGCTCCGGTTAGCGCCCTCATTCAAATCATGCTTTTTAAAAAAATTTTATCCTGCCTTTTAAAAGAATCGAAATAGAGAATCGATAGGAATCGGAATCGAAATCGGAATCGTTCAAAATCAAACGATACCCAACCCTAGACATAAGTCGCATTTAAGTCAATGGGAAAAGCCAAACATAAAAGAGCAATTATTGGAATTTCTCAAACGTCTACTACTCCAGCATACTTTCACCTAAAGACTCCATTAAAACAAGATTTCTTAGTGGGAATTTTCTGGAAGAGTAATATTTAGGTTTGCAGCCATTCCTATTATTCACAGATAATTATGATAGTTTAATTTGACTCATGCTAGCTAAGGTAAACTAACAACCTGAATAACATCACAGCTCAGCACTTTTGGTATCAGCCAGGATTGCAAGAGGAACCACTTGAAATAATTCAAATCAAGTTGCATGGCCGTTGTTTCAACTTCTTTTAACATTTAAACTGATCTATCAATAACTACTCAATATATACCTACCCATATGTTTGGTCGAGATCCACATACAGGCCAATCCAGAAATACCTCACATTGAAGTAGATTGTCTAGACACACAAACAACAGACATCACAAAATCGCTGAATGTTCTTTGCTCATCTGATACACAATGGGATATTGAGTAATGCCAGTCATGTGGTTTGTAGTACAGATTTGTTGTCACTGCTAACCTGTTTCCAAAGAAAGAGACTTTCAGCTTCACTGTTGATAGTAACCAAGTCACCCTGCTGCCGTTTGCAGTAGAGACGAGCATCCTCCATGGCCTGTTTGGACCTGGAAATAAGATACTGATGTCCATTCCATTCCAGCCATCCGTCTCTTGAGAGATTGTAGCCTAAAAATGTAAGACATTGTGTGTATATATATTTATTTATATATGCATGATGAGTTGTAGACTCTTAGTGTTGGTGGATAACATATAAACTTTTGTTTTGGCTGTGCCACCCGAACAAAACATGAAAGGATTTTCACCCAGAATAGAAATCACAGTAAAAGTAAAAGTAGATTGGTGACTTTTTTTATTTCTATTTGACTGCTTGGGAAAATGTTACCCTTACCAAGAGGGATGGGGTCTGGCGCTGGCTTCGGAGTCACTCCTGTAAGAAAGTGTGCAGAGGTTAATTTCATTCACATTACTGAATAAAATGCTGGAGACAGTGAAAGTAGGCAGCACTAACTGGGGAGGTTGATCAACTAGATAAATTTGAAAAAAATACACTATGCAGAGCAGACCTTTTTGTGATCAGGGAAGGGAGAAAGAAATGCTTAAGTCTGTCATTATACCTGTAGGGATCTGGCACAGCCATCCAAGGTCTTTCTCACAGTGCGCAACGCTCCATGACCCAAGAAAAGAATGATTGGTTCTTCTGAATTCCACACAGAATTCTACATTGTTTCTATTCGTTGGCTCACCATAACTCCAGTGCTGGAACTGCAGCTGAAAAACAAGCAAAACAACTAAAAACACTTTCTACAGTATTATGATTTTTAATTTAAATGAGACTACACCCAACCTTGAAATGATAAACAACCATTTACTTACTGGGGATCCATCGCTCCATACATAACTAGCACCTGGCCCAGGGGCTCTCAGACCAATCCAGGCTGATGTAAAGCTGTGATCAACACATTTATACAAATTATTTTTTAATGAGGCATGTTTTACAGTGCTTCCCTTTACTTTTGTAGTAACTATTTTTCAGTTTGACTTATTTTGATATTGCCAAGTTATACAGTACCCAGGAATCCTTTGTATGTCATTTATACTGTGTATGCTGAGCAGATCTCCTCCAATGGTAGTGCAGTAATCTCTGGCCTGAAACCAAGTCCTTTGTAGTCCGCCTGAAAACATCTAGGAAGCAAGACAAATTTAGCAAAGCTTTGTGCTTTCAAGCTGTGGTGCATTATTTAAAGGCACTAATACGGTCACATTTTGTTTTCAGACATGAAATTATTGGAGTTATTTCTACACTGTGCTCAGACCAAGGGATCCCAGGACTGGAGGACATAGGTTCAGTACATGGGGTACTTGATTTTACCACATAATTTATCTGTACCTTAAAACAGATGTCTCTTGTCTTCATTTCGATCCATTCAGGGGGGCAAGTTGGAGATGTGGTGAGAATGGTTGGTGTGGGGGTTGCAAGTACTCCCTCTGCCCTGTGTTTGCAAATGTATTTCTCTTTATTGGTGCAGGGCAGCACATCCCAGAGGCCCGCAAGAACTCCGGTTTTTATGGCAACACAGCCCTGTCGGTGACCTTTTGGGGGGGAAATTGTGAAACGTCAGATTTCAAGCAATTGTCTGCCACTTCTTAGAGTTACAATATGAGGTTTTATCATACCGGGCATGTAAGCGTTCCAGTGTGTAAATCTCACTGAGTTTGTGTTGGTCCATGCAAATCTACCACCAGTATTTTGGTTGGAAAGCCCAATCCAGAAGTACTTCTCTGGCCTCATCCCAACCAAACTGATAAGGAATGCGTTATCCACCCTGGAAATATTTACTCAAGTAAGTTCATAGGCTGAACGTGACAAGCTCGTAGATTAAAACAAACCTAACAAAAAAACAATCTTTTTACCCATCAGAAACGTCGGCTAAGTAAGAATTCGAACTCTTGCAGTCATTCGCAGCGTCATTGAAAGTTTTGGTCTGTGTCCCTATAAAGTAGCAGTAGTAGCCACGTCTTCTCCACCCCTGGATTGATGGAGAACAAAATGAAGGGCTGTGAGTACTCATTATTGTGGAAAACAGCAGAAGTTTGTTGTCGTAAATGATTGCAGAATTTTCGATAGCGTTGCTGAACGATATTTGGGTGACAGCACTCCCCTAACATTTACCACCACTGGTATATCAAATATCATATATTCACTGCAGTTTAATAAACGCTCAGTATATAAACCTTTGCGTAACTTGCAGTTAATAGTTTTATTATTTTAAAACCTGTATGTTTTGTCCAAAATGCTGCACCTGGGTAAAGTACCCATAATTCAAACTCTAAACCGAGACGTGTTGTCCTCCAATACAAATGAGAGGTCAACTTTACTATGAGGAAACGTAACGCACAGTTTTGCAGCCTTCATCCAGCTGTACTTCATCTCCAACGGCTGTTGTGGCACTGGGCTTCATACATATAAAGCCATGTTTCTCCCCACACGCACGGTCAGCCCAGTTCCCATTCTGTGACATAGAACATGGTTATATATATTTACACAGTGACACAGAAACAAATACACAGTCAAGTAATCTGTCATGATGCTGCCCTGTAAATCAGATTTAACTTTTTGCTGCTATGCACACTTACTCGTTGTATGATTGTGATTGTAAATATGTGCATTGGCATGGTAATCATTTAATTCATAAAACACTTAATAAAATAAAAATAAATTATGAATACGCATGCAGGGCTTCTTACCGCCCCCCTGATGAGAACACAGTCCTTTATATCAGTGGAGACTGCAGGTTTCCCAAACTCCCAGCTGGTAAAACTAACAGTCGAGTGATCAGCCCACTCAAACAGCCCCTCTGTTTTCCTGTCGTTTAGTCCAATCCAAAGCTCATCAGTGGACGCTGCCGACAAAAAGACAAAAAGACAAAAAGAAAAGGATTCTTTCATGAAATGATTACCCATACTTTGTGAGCTACAAACATGATTCTCATTTTATTATAGTTAGGGTTGGGTATCGTTTGATTTTGAACGAATCCGATTCCGATTTCGAATCCTCATTTCGATTCCGATTCCTATTGATTCTCTATTTCGATTCTTTTAAAAGGCAGGATAAAAATAAATTTAAAAAAAGCATGATTTGAATGAGGGCGCTAACCGGAGCTCTTCTTTTTGGATGAAATTTCTGAACTTCTCCATGAATTTTCAAATTCTATTAACTTTTTAAGAACTTTACTATGAGTTTCTCACAGGTCTATTTTCAGTCAGTATATAAATATCATTTTTTGTTGTCAGGTTGTTTGTCTATGACAAAGTACAAGGGCTAACGTTAGTTGGATATTTAAGTTTACTCACCGTACTCAGTGCAATTTGTTTACCGCTTCAAAGTTAGCAGAGGACAGAAGTAATTTATTGTTTCTTTTATCTGATCCTGACTGGTTAGCGGAAGACAGGTGTTGTGCTGTAGAATGCACCCCTGCCGTAGAATGCCTCCCCTCCACTCATTAGCTTCTTAAAGTGGAAGACAATGATCTCATATATAAAAAAACACAAGTATTAGATCATGACAACATGTCAAATGGAGCAGTAAACTTTCGTTTTGTTTTTATGTGTCTCAAAAATGCACACATGAAGGTGTACTTGGGTATATAAACTGTACAGTAAGCTGTTAAGGTAGAGAACATTATATTTTCAGGACAGTAAATATTCCGAATCAGAGGGCTGTTGTTTTCGGCATATCTGAATAGCCTGAATGAAATCATTAAAGGCACACACTTTAGATTCCGTTCAACGGTAAGGAAAACTTGGATTGTTTCGCCTTGTTGTGTACTTTCAACCGCGCTCCCGTCAGGGGGGCATTCAACAGCAGGGGTGCATTCTATGGCACAACACCGGCGAAGCGCGTCAAAGACGAGCACTCGGGTATTTCTCCTCCATGAATCCTGAGGTGTTTAATCATGTTGGTCGTTTACCCTCCTTTACATGATATAACTGTATTGCTAATGTTGCTTTGAGATAAGAGTTCATTCTTCCTGCTAAAGTTAGCCAAACTTTTGACCAACGAAGAAGAAGCTGCCGAACACCAACGAGGACGGAGCGTATGAGACGAAGTCACACAGAGAGAGAGGAGAGAGACAGAGAGAGAGATTACATTGTAACCCACAGCGGCTGCATTGCTGTGGGTTGTACTTTCTCTGTCTCTCTTCACTTCCTGTGTGGCTTCGTCTCATACGCTCCGTCCTCGTTGGTGTTAAGCGGCTTCTTCTTCGTTGATTTTCGGCGGCTATTTCTTCCGGTCGGCGGACTCTGGAATCGAAACTTGGAATCGAAATTTTAATATTTGAACGATACCGGAAGAATCGAAATGTTAGTCCCGGTCCCCATCGATTCTCGATACCCAACCCTAATTATAGTCACCCTCTATGCTTTGGGTATCTCCTTGTATTGGCTGCAGATCGTTGAATTGGACTGTAGAGGCAGAGTGGCTGTGCTATGGATAATTTTGTGTTTACTAAAAAGCAGATTGATTGACACAATGGAGGCACCAATCTATTCCTTGCATAATATATAGCAACATGCACTATCCTGTGTTTGAGTGATAGTTGTTTCTGGATGAGAAGCGCATGTACCCCATAAAAAATAGTTCTTCTGCCTAGTTGAACTCTTGGAACCAAGGTGCTACTCCTTATTTTCACTTACTGTATCCAAGTTGAGAGATGACAAAGCTTTGGTCCTCAACATTGCGGACGCTGACCAGGTCTCCCCTGGTGCTGCGACACTCTCTCTGGGCGTCAGACCACGTTTTCTGGGTACGATTTACATAAAAGCAGCGGCCATTGTAAGGGATCCAAGGGCTTGAACAAAACCCTGTCTCGGCAGCTGATAACGAAAGGAAGAAACATAAGCACTGATTGACTGTGGAGCTGAAGAGTTGTCAGGGGATGTGTGGACTGGAAAGGATCTTTTTCTTCACCTTGCGTTGGCTGAGTTTCAGGTGCTTGGCTGTAGCAGATATACCCCAGTTTTTTGCTGCAGGGGCGACTTTGCCAGGAGTACTGTACAGTAGGCTCAAGAATTGCACAGTTGTGCCCAGGAGTATGAAATGGATTTCCTGAAACAAGATACTCAAAGTAGTTTTTTTTTTTTTGGGAAAAAACAGCCTAATGAATAAAATACCATTAAAAAATGTACAAATTTTTGTACCCAACTCTTGAATGAAAGCAAAATAAACGAGAATAATAGTGAATAAAAGAAACAAGTCATTACTTCAGTTAGCAGTTTGTTTCATGAGCTGCGTCCGAATTGCCAAGTAGTAGTCGAAGTAGGATCTAGCATGTCCGAATTGGCCACCGGAGCGAGTAGCATGCTACTTCAGATACTAGACACGCCCACATTGTAGGTTGGACTCGGTGCATCCTGCAGGCATGCTACTGACCCAAAATGCACCGCGGGCTTCTTCTTCGTCCTCTTAAAAGTTGTAGAAGCGCATGTGATGCTAGCACCACCAGCATAGAAGCGTTGCGAACGCCGGCTGGCCACACTATGGCGGTTTCATGTAATTTCACACACTGTCCTAAAGAATGTGCGGTTGTATCTCTTTGTCATGTCATGGTGTCATATTTGCCCAAGTAATCATTTTATGTGGCGACATCATGGAGGTAAAGCTCACTTATTCCATCATTAAACTGCACAGCTGCAGTAATCAGGCAGATCTCATTGAACAAACGATCACCACGTGAGTGAATGAAGGCTAAAAGTAATGGAAAAGCTACTTTGTGAATTTCTAAAGCAGTGCAGGAATATAATACAGCAGCATCCATCACTTGCACTATTACCATACAGTCTAAAACGGGCGCAGTACCTACTCTCTGCCTGCGGGGGTCGTCTTTCCCCACCGCTCCTCTAGTGTGTCCGAATTGGGCCAACGTGTTTAGTATGTAGGAGTAGGATCTAGCAGTAGGATGTAGTATCCTAGCGGGCAATTCGGACGCAGCAATGGTTTCAGGGTTCACTTTGCACTTAGTCTTGGATCACGTTTTTAGTACAGGTATGAGCGAGAGGGAAAGTTTTAATAAACTCTGATGAGTGGATTTGTTTATTGTTATTTTACATTAGTTCATCAGACACAGTTTTGTTCAAAATCTTTGCTGAAGCATCTTCTGTTGGCTTGAGAACAAAAGTACCTGTGTCCCATTTCATGTAGCAGTAAGGCCTCCTATTAGACCACGTCCAACCATGTTCTGGATTCAGGAGCAGCCCAATCCAAAGCTTAGGGCTCTCCGCTCCTAGCAGTGCTTTTTAAAGTATACAGAGAGAAAAAGAAATACAAGTGTGTCTTTTTATGTCAGCAAATGATGACAAGGCATGATTGCAAAGTATTATAATTAAGGCTGTCAAAGTTAACGCGTTATTGTCGCGTTAACTCGAGTGACTTTTATCGCCACTAATTTTTTTGACGCACGATTAACGCAAGCCTTAGCCTGGCTTGACCAAACTACACACACACTGCGTGGAGATTCTTGCCGTTGTAGAGGAACAGTTGGTGAGGTGTCCAGGCTATGTGAGCCTCGGGGCACTCTGTAGTTCCGCGAATCAGGAAGTAGTGCATTGACTGATACCGCGGCAGACATAAACAAATCCCTGTGAGCAGTAACTAGGATATAATGGATAAGAACACTATTTTGAACGGAGAGTTCAGCTACAAAGCCTTGCCAGATGGCTCTCTTGACAGGACAAAAGTCATTTGTGTTTCCTGCCGAGCTGAATTTAGTTCCCACCGAAGTACGTCCAGTCTCAAATATGACTTGTCGGCCAAGCACACAGCTGATGCAGAGAGCCCCGCGCCGTCCCCCCCGCCTCAAGCAAACAAAGCTGAATGTGCAAGGTAAACAGATGGAGAGCTCTACTAAACGCAAACTTGAAACAGCGATCGCTAAATGGGTGGCTAACGCTTGTCGGCCGATTAGCATTGTGCAGGACGTTGGTCTGCGAAATCATACAAATCAATCGCATCCACGAAAATCGACGATCTGTTCTCATGTTGATAAAATTATTACAATTTGAAAAAGATTGATTTAGAATGGATCAAAAATATGCGATCAATTTGCGATTAATCATGATTAATTATGATCAAAATTCGATTAATCGCGATTAAATATTTTAATCGATTGACAGCCCTAATTATAATATAAAAATGTACAAGGCAGTGCTTTTAAAGGGAGTGGGAAAACACAGACACCTCACCTGAGACATAGGCCTGCTGGTGAGGATCAGTGATACTGAGCAAGGATGCTCCCTGTTGTCTGCAGCTGGTTTCAGCTTGAGCCCAAGTCAGAGCTGACTGCACGTTGAGTTGGTAGTACGCTCCCGTGGTTGGGTTAACAGTCCAGTGTTCCTTGGCTATGATTCATGGAGATACATGGAGTTTACAGCTAAGTAAGCAAAATTCTTAAGGTCACACTTGGAAATTTCAGGCACCTCAGAAATCATATGTCAACAGAAGCGGCAAAAATGTACATGTTTTCTCTTATAATGTCCCATATTAATTATTGTTTACCCGCCTGTATCACTATACAAACAAGCACTCAAAACTCTGGATAAAAAACCAAGATCTTTTCATCATTGCACAATTCTTCAAAAATATAGGTTATCAATCTTGTCCTTTTCAAAAACTGCTGTCTTACATATAAAATCCGTCATAGGGTAGCTCCGCCCCCACTCTGCTACCTCATACAGTTTAGATCTCCAGCAACCAGTGGTACTAGAGGGGCGGCAAGAGGAGACTGCCAGATCCCGTTTAGAAAATCTGTATTTGGTCAGTCAGTTTTTTCTTGTAGGGCAGGCAAGGATTGGAACACAATACTACAAAACATAAGAGAGTCCAATTCATACAGAGCATTTAAAGTAAATTTGAAGAGGTGGTTACTTGAAAACCAAACTTGTTCCCATTAGTTGGTTGGCGTGCTTTCGGGTGGGTAATGTTGATGTTTTAAATATTATGTATGTTTTTATGTAGTTGCTGATTTCCCACCTTTTTAGGTAGCCATGTTCCTTCTGGCAGGGGGACTACCAATGGAAACTAGCCTTGTGGCTACAATTGGGTCCATTTACATTTTATCTTTTTAAAATGTTCATTAATGTACACTGTCCCTCTTTAACAAATAAAAAGGAAATAAAAATAATTAAATAAAAGTATAATACCAGCTCCCTGCTACCTCAAGTTGTATAACTCTGTCTTCAATCAGCCATAAATAGGTCCTGAAAAAACTGTTTCTGTACATTTGATGAAAAATGTGATGGCTTTTGGCAGTGTTGCAAACTTAGCCGGAGTTTGAGTCGACTGTTGAATGGACAGGGGAAAGCATCGTTGCATTTCTCAATGAATCATCAACGAAACACGAATCTCTAAACCAAATCTCTCTGTATTTATCTTAACGTTGATCATGTTATCTCCATTTTCAATGAATTTTAGGAGATAAACTTGATAAAGTCTTCCTTTAAAATTCTTAACCCATTGATTAAAATGTTTGCAATACCGGGCTTATTCAAAGATTTCTCAATTCCTTTAATTTTCTGTCAGCCATTGCAGGCACCCTGACTTTCAAAAAACATTAACAGAGCACTCACAAGTAACTGGGCAGTGGCCCCAGCGTTCGTTTTGAAAATGTGTTTCCACAGCACACCAGAGAAAATGCCAGTCAGCCTGAGTGCAGTCACTGTACCACTGGCCTTGATACTGGAACGGGAACATGCACGGCATCCCAGCTGCATTTCCATCAATGGTATAAAGTTCTGAAAAGACAGAAGAACTTTATCGGGTTGAGCTAAATTGTATTATGTACATTCTTTTGACAGTTAGCAAACTGGTTAAAACTTGGTGTGGAAAGTCAGAGCTGTATTTAAAGGGGGATGTACCTCTGTAGGTTCTTGTGCAGGCCCCACTGGATGTCCCTGAAATTATGAGATGACTCTTGGGTCCCACTGTTCTGGAGAGGACTGCTGTATTATCTGCAGTGAGCTCGACGTAAAGCTCTTGGTCTTTGAGGGCCAGCACGGTTTCATTCTGGCATTCCCACTTTTGGAGTTCACTGTTTTCATCACAATCATAGAGGCCTATTTCACTCCCAACACTCTTCCCCTGGACGCCCAGACACTTCCTCCTTTGGTGAACAAGAAGTCTGTCACCAGTAGTCCAGCGCATTTCATTGCATAAGTTATTGGTTTTAACCAAACAAAATCCAGTGGCCTTGTTGGTGAGTTGAAACGGGGAATCTGTAAAATGAAAACAAAGTTGAATTTTAGGCACTAAGATAAATATCCCTTTAATTGTCCCACATGGGGAAATTCCAAAATTACAGCAGCATAAATACAGATACAAAAAGAGAAATTAAAGGATAAAGAAACTTAGAGTTAAAAAAAGATATGTACATGAGTCTTATTTAATTTGTGTACAGAATATACCAGGGCTTTGCAATATGGTAAACAGTTTATAACAATATATTTTTTTCATCTCAATTTCGATATATATATCACAATATAAAAAAATGAAACTTAACAGTGCATATTGGTAGCATGTCTTTTGCAATACAATAAGCTACCGCATTTGGTAATCGTTTTATCGCCCAGGAATGACCTGCGATACGTCTCCGTCACACATGGAGAGCTATTGCAGGTCATTCCTTCCTGCAGCTGTCAGAAAAATGAATGAAATGGATAGTGAACTGTAAAAAATACTTAAACACTTAAAGTGCCACAATTTAATGTATAAAAACAGAAAACGTAAGGTATCTAAACTGAAGTAATGTTACCTGCAATGAAAGGGCAACCTTGTAGAATATCTAAATATAAAATGCTAATAGCATATCCTGCTTTTAAGCATGTGAGTAACATTCAGATTGGTGGAAAATCACTGGTCTTGATTCCAAATGCGAGTGCACATGCACACAATATCAGAATTCCGATCAAATCAAAGTTTTTTTTAGTTACTGTACCGTCTGAAGCCAAACACTGCAGTGTTTGGATGAGCAGCAGAGAGGCTGACAAGGTTATCTTCATGGTCTTCATGGCTTCTACTGAAAGCTCCTTATTTGCAGATTCTATCCATTAAACCTGCAAACAGGGTTTTGCATATCTGGGAGTGAGATTTACAGAGCAGCTTCACCGGCGCTATCACGTCCTCTTGTTCTTTTATATCATGTCCAAGTTTGTTTTTTTTTTGGCCGCCGCCCATTCACCCTCAAACGCTGACATTTGCACTTTTTCTTTATAATTAAAAAGTACGTTGCAATTTACTGGTAAAGACAATGATGTGAATGTGTGACATTGTGTAATAAACAGTGTTGGATGAGGAAGTAAAAGTGTTCTGTTGCAATAGCGACTTCTGTAGAACGCACACTTATAGAAATTTTCCTGTAAAACAACGGTAAAAACCTGGCAGCATGGTTGCCATTAATCTACTGTAAAATTGACAAGTTGTTACTGTAATTCATTTTACAGTTCTTTACTGCTAATGACAAAACAGCATGAACCTTTTTTAAAATGCTTTATAGTTTTGTACAATTTAGTTTGTATCGCTTGAACCATTTTCAAAGCTAAATGAATACTGACAGAGGGATAGTAACGCTATAACCCGACTTAATCCAACTTTAAAAAATCCAACTTTTAACAGACCTTACTGATTGTAGGATTCACAATATTTCTGTTCAAACCTGGCTACAAAGGCAAACCATAAGAAAATGTCTTTGTGAATGAAGAGCATACCCACAGATTTTCCAATCATGTGATTACTATTTTAGACAAAAACACAGTTTCCTCTTGCATTTAACTGTATTTTTATTGTAACCTGAAATTAACAGTTTGTGTGTGTGTGAACGCACTTACGAATAATACACAGAACTCAAAACAGAAAACAAACAAACTGTCATACGTCATATCAGTTTACATAGTTGTCTATTTCAGTGTTTGAGGTCTGAAAAAGTAACTGATTAACTGTGAAATGTGATGGACAGGCAAGTACTTACTAGGATCAGGGCAGCTGAAAAGTAGTCTACTGCAATATTAGAGAAAAAGCAAAATCACATACAAATGAGCATTCACTTTAAATGATGCAAAAAACACTCTTTTTAACAAATACAACCACAGCTTCTGCCCTATGGCCTTTATACTGCCATCGTGTCATCAGACAGACACATGCCAGTGCAATTAGCCTAGTACAGGGGTCGGCAACCCGCGGCTCTCTTTCTTCCCTAAGCTGCGGCTCCCGATGGATTTGGAAAATAAATAATAAATACTTAATTGCATTTTATTTTATTTTATTATCTTTTTTTTTGTAATTCTAAATTCAAAGATTATAATGCTCTTGTAACATTAAATAAACTATTAAGGCTGCAACAACGAATCGATTAAGTAGATTCGTCGTGACGAAAAAATCCGTTGCCATCAAATTCTGTAATCGATTCGTCGGGTCTTTATATATGTCCATGGACACCGGCGTGTAAACATCAGCAGGACGCACAGAAAAGAAACAGCCATGGCCGAGGCAGCGGCTGAGAAAAACATGGACACAACCCAACCCAAATCCCGACCTAAAACATCAGTGGTGTGGGAAAACTTCACCAAGACTGAAAAGGAAGGCGTACTCGGGAGTACATCGATGATGCGTGAGCACAGGGCTCTCAAGTCTCACGCATTCAGCGTATGACACACGCATTCCCACTCGTTCACACGCTCACACACCACACATTGTATTTCTCACGCATTTAAATGAACACGGTGATGTCCACCAAGTTGCACTTCTTCAACTATGGAACTGGGGGAAATCAACTGAGTTCCTCCGAGAGTTCAGAAGCTGCGTGCCACGCACAAGCCAATCAAATAAAGTATATCTACTGAACAGCCAATCAAAAAGCAGCATTGCTGTATCCGGGTAGATTTTGATATCTTTTAGTTCATTTGTTTCATAAATGCAACTCGCTACAGTTTTTTATATACTTTGTATAAAGGTAAAAAAAAAAAAGATATATGCAATGTTATCTTCATTTTAGATGTCAAAGAGGTTTTGTGGCTCCCTGTGTTTTCTTTTCTGTGGGAAACTGGTCCAAGTGGCTCTTTGAGTGTTAAAGGTTGCCGACCGCTGGCCTAGTACAAGAAGGAGGAATGTAATTGCATGTAAACACAGTCAGTGTGCACTCTCATCTTAATATTAACTGACTTAACTGTCGTGTGACATGTATATTGTGTGTATTGTAAAATGTTTAAGACTATCATAAAGCTTCATGAATTCACAGGCAAAATACAGATGTCACACACATTAATTTCTGTAGGCGCTAGATGTAAAAATTAAAGTTGACTCCCTGTGTTTTTTTTTGGATTAATTTGCAAGCATTTTCGACATTTTGGCTAGCTGCAAAATCTGGCTAGCATGATGTGCACCGAATGTAATTATCTGTGCAAACAAATTGGAAAATTCACTTAGCCTACACTGGCCTACAGACTTTGCGCCATTTTCTACAGTAAATGCAATTGCTACTCAACATATAATTACTGGGATTGAGATGGATGCATAAACCAAGGCTCTGGCCTCACATGTGCTGCTCAGGAGATTCTCCTCGCTTCCGTAAGGCAAAAATACTGCATGATACTGTTATTAGATGATTTATTTACGGTGGAGTACTGTATTTTTGCATTACAGCATAGTTCTGTTAAAACAACAGTCATGGAGTGTAATTTAACAGATTGTTTGAATTAACGGCAAAGTACTGTATTTTTTAAAAACAGGTTGATACTGTTGAAATCTTGCTTACAGTCAACGTGGCTACTGGCTTTCGGAAGAAAAAGTTCCACATTTCAACACTGATTTTCGTGAAGTAATATTGGATGCCGTTGACTTCTCTTGTGAATGATTATGGTTTACTGTAGTTACAGTTTGTTGTAAGTTTCTCTTTTATAGTGTGGTTGGAAACTTCTGGCTCCATACAAGCAGTTGAGATCACAGTGATTCCTCTCGTCTTGCAAGTCTTATGGGGCGTTCACACCAAACACGACTTCGGCGACGTCGGCGACGGCTCCCAATGCAAAGTCTATGGACAGCCACGACCTGACGCGACTTGGCAGAATTTCCAATGTCTGCAGAGCACACAGTCATATTTTACATTACAGTAGGCTTTCAGCTATGTTGCAACAGTTCAGAGAAAGCTGTTACTGCACAGACAGTGAGGTCAACCCAGGTTTTTTTTTAATGTTGGTGTAGAAGAACTTAAGTAGTCTGCAAAAAGTTCTGACCGCTGCCTCAGTAACAAAGCTGAGGAAGTCAGACCCCACTTCAATTAATCGAATGGGGCTGCAATCAGCGAGCTGCATCTGTTTTCCCTTTCTGCATGGGATATGGATAAGAGATGCTTTTCTATTATGAAAGTTCCTAGAAAGTTGTGTCACTGTTTCAAAAAATAAGGAGTGCCTCCCCTTCTGCTATTTCAATTTTTACTGTCAGCCTCTGTCTTTTTGCTTCATAGCCCTTCATAACCCTGGGTTGACCTCACTGTCTGTGCAGTAACAGCTTTCTCTGAACTGTTGCAACATAGCTGAAAGCCTACTGTAATGTAAAATAATAATAATAATAATAATAATGCATCAGATTTCATATAGCGCTTTATCAGAGACCCTCAAAGCGCTTTACATTGGATACATCATTCATTCGCTCACACAGTCACACTTTGATGAAAATATGACTGTGTGCTCTGCAGACATTGGAAATTCTACTTTTTACTGGTTTTACTAGAAGGAACTCAACACACACACAGACACACACATTCAAAGCACACTGCTTTTTTTGCATCCCAGTTTAAAAGAGCTTATCGAGTGTTAACTGGGTTTACTGTTTGTTGTGGCCCTTTTGGTCCGTGTTTGAAAGAAAACACGTTTAAGAAACAGGACCAAAGGCAAAGACCTGAAGCCAAAATGCATTCCTAGAGTTACTGTATTCTTACTTCTGATAGCAGCCTGCTTTTGAGAATCACTGATTCTGGCCTCAGATGGGAAAAAGTCAGAGCTGACTGTTGACCTTATTGTAATTTAGCAATAGCTCTTTCGTCTTGACCTTTGTGTGCTCTCAGATTGATTTCACAACCACAAAATATGGATGTGTGTTGTTTTACATTGCCTAATAATGGTGTGGAAATTAATTAGACATGGATAACTTTGTTTCACCGTCGCTTCTCTGTGATATTTAGACTGGAGGTGAGACATTACAGGGATGTAGATATTGTGCCTTGAACCAGTGATATAGAAAAAAGCTGTTGTGTGGGAGACTGGTCTCTTATTCTTCTATAAGGTGTTGCAGTGTTGAAAACTGTGCTGTAGAAATAAAATGCATTCATTAAAATATAGATTGTCACAGTTCACTTAGTAATCAGGCTTTTAAAGGGGACCTGCCATCAAAATTTCATCCCCATTTTGAACATTTTTTCATAATCCTTGATGTCCTCTGATCATGTTTGCACCATAATTTTAGCTGAAAAGTTATTTGATGGTTTGTTTTAGTATGCCTAAAAAACCTTACAGGAAAACCAACTGGTTTTGGCTCATTAACATTTATGGTAATGAGCTTTGCTCTGATTGGATCGCTGCTGTGAAGCCTGCTGTGCTCTGATTGGCTCAGCAGTGGAGGTTCGGATTTCGGTTTATCCATTGTTATTATGCTAATGCTAATAGCATATGCTAATGTGTGCTAAAGTAAGGTGCCCAGATGTCTGTAATGATATCCGGGGATATTCGGTGCGGCGGCGGCGGCGGTGCAGGGGCTGCAGGGGCTGTGTGATCACAGACAAAGTCTCGGTACTATTTAGTAGCAGCGCATGCCTCTTGTAATAACCCCGTAAGAACTGTTGTTCAGGACTGCTAACTTGTGCTTCCTACCAATTCGGCTACTGTAATAACCGTTGTTCGAGCCCACACGCAACATTTTTGCTCTCATTAATGAAACGCTTAAATCGGGGACATTTTCGGGGACAGCTTTTGCCGGGGACAGGTCATCCAATACGGGGACTGTCCCCGGAAATCGGGGACGTCTGGTCACCTTATGCTAAAGGCCAAAAACGGCAGGTATTAAACCATATATTTTAGACCCTGAGTCCGAAGAGGAGGTGGAAGTTGAGGAAGAAGCCGGAGATCTCCAGCGGTGTTTTCTCATTCATTCTGCCCGGCTTTAAGTTCATTTTCCCGGCAGTGAACCGAAGGAAACACCGATCGTTTGGAAGAGACCCATAGCGGATACAGCGGTAGCTGGGTCTCGCTCTGGCTGTGACTGAGTACGAGAACGAGAGAGTGGGCGTGGCTCAACGTCAACGCAACGTAACACCGACCTGCTTTTTCAATTGGCCTGGTTTACTCGTTCCTTTTTTTTAAACTTTTACAGAATGCAAACGACGTAACGGTTTGTTTTCACATTTACAACATAAGACGAACATAATATGGACCTTATCTGACACAAAAAAACCCCAAAAATTACATTTTTTATGGCAGGTCCCCTTTAAAGAACATACACCGCAGTCAGTGTTCTGGTTTTAGACAAAGAGTTTGTGTTTACAGGGCCAGCTCAAGGACAAGTGTTTTTATTTTTATTCGACTCAGTGTCATTTATTTTCAAACATAAAGACAATTTAGCATTAGCAAATATGAACGTTGAGTTTAATTGTCAGAATAATGTGTATAAATGTATATAGAAGTTATCATCGTACTCAAATTCTTATGTAAGAGTTTGCTACCCCTTGTTCCACGTCATATAAGAGTGTTTTCTAACTTCTCTCTCCAATAGCTTTATTACACAGCACATGAGCGTTTCTTAACTTGTATCCTCCACTGTGAATCGTGGGAAGTTGAGCTAACCTGAACTCAGCGTTGACAGACGAATGACGAAAAGTCAGCGAGAGATTTTTCAGACTGGTGTTTAATGATATTTTCCTGCTCCGTCTATGAAGCTCGATTTACTCTGTATGATATTAAAAATTAAAAAGCACCATTATGATTTTTTTTTTTAACCCGTCCTTGAGGTTTTATTGTCTTTCATTTTTAATCTGCCGTGTCTATTCTGGTGCCAGTAGATGCTCTCAGCTTTATTAGGACACAACAGTCCCTTTAAATTTGATCATGTAACTCATTTTTACCCAAATTAGTGGGCGGAGAGGGTCCGCTCATACTGTTTTACTCATTTATTTCGGTCTCTGAATCTGTCTTTGGTTGAAATGAGCCAAAAAATTTCTGTTTCTGTGGAATAAGAGGCTCCAGAAAACATTCCTCCGTTTGTAAAGTGTGTTTGAACAGCTCTCAGTCTTTGTGTTTCCTCTCTCTTTGTTTTGTCGCTCGCCCTCCTTCATCCCTCATTTGTGTATCATGTCCTTCCTTGTCTGTCTCTTATTTACTATCTGTCTGTCCTGTCTCAGTCCTCCCGTCTGCTCCTCTCTCTCCATCTGTCTGTTTTGAAGATCTGCGCTCACTCTTGATTTACCGAGGTACACTAAGTGCATACAAAGCCCTCCAAGATTAGTGATGCTATCACACTCTTCTGCATCGCTTCAGGGCAGAAATCCCTCCTTAGGTTCAGTGGAGGACGGATCCTTAAAAGAGGACCTCTTCAATTTACAGCCTGACAAACACGCCAATGCCACAAAGACAGGAGCTTTCTGATGTGAGAAATTAAACAGAGAAATATCGGCTGATAAACAGCTGCTGAAAAGCTGTTTCTCCCTCACTCTGACCCTCACTTACAAATCGGTCTTATCTCATACCACCGAGGAGCCGTGTTTTAAAAATGCACCTCTAATTAAACTTTAAACTCAGCTGCATCTCAAACCCTTTATTTGTCCAATAGAGATCAGGAGTATCTATATTTATATATATTCTATTCTATTTAAATCACCCAAGCTGATATAGAAGAGCCGCCATGACTGTATCTGTTCACGTCTTCTCTTTCGGTTTTAGTCTCGACCGTCTTTCCCAGCATAGCTCCACCTACCTTCACCTCCATGTCGGTGTAATTAACCAGGATAATTCACACCTGAGGGGTGTGATGAGTTTTTACCCTTTCGCTTATTACAAAACAGTCGACCTACTTTAATAACTCTGGACCGTGATCAAGCTCGGTACTTTGACATGTCAGAGTTTGAAGGTAAACCAAACCACCACGGCTCAAACCTTTGAAATGTTTCAGCTCCGGGGCGTTTCACAGACGGGCTTGTTATCGCACCTTAATGGTGTAATGATGCTTATGAAATCAAGCTGTCATTAAAGTTAGAAGAAGCATCTGTGCTTGTTTGAAATAAAATACTGTAAATATATCGGAGGTCAATATATCAGTGAAAGAGACGTCATTTAAGAGGTTATAGAAGAGTTGCAGTTACCTCAGACTGAAAGGCCATTTTCTCGACTACACTACGTTAAAACAGGAATGACTCTGTAGTGGAAGTTTCTGCATGAGCTCTGAATCTGCTGTCTGTAAACATTCTCCAGTTTAGTAAGAGAAAGGCCAAACATGATCTGGGTATGTCGTAGACTTTTCAGGACCTGAACCTGGTTAAATCGGGAGTTTCACCGCATCCGGATTGGCAATTCCTACCGGATCCGTTTGTGAGATGAATTTCATGGCGGATTACGGACAGCAGGAATTGCGAGAATTCACAAGAACCGGCGGATTCATGTGCAATGATGCGATAACAAGTTGTCTTTAGACACAGAGGCTAACCATATAAGCAGTAGATTGCGTCCTTCCAGAGGAGGAAATCTACTTCTCGACTTCTAGAATCAGCATCTCCTCATCCATGGTGTCATCGGGGTGAAATGACCTCTGAAAACTTTCCGCCGTTTGCATGGTGTGAAATACGATCCGCCTGAAACACGTAGTCTTTTATTTTGAAAAGTCCGGAGTCCGGCGATCCGCAGAGGAACGGAAAGAAGTCGGTGTAAATTGACACGTTAACTTGAATGGTTACAATCAGCTACGATCGGAGGATACGACCTTTTCGTAGCCGTTCTGGATGCCGTGGAAATTGGGGGTTAAATGTACTCAGGTGATGTGGGGAACGTCCTTGTGGTCTGAGAAATCTAGATTTGACATTCTTTTAGAAACCATGGAGCTGCTCTACTGACTCTGAGGTAGACCGGGACTCACTGGAGACCCCATTTTTGAGACCTGAAAAGCACTTCTGGGGAGAGGGAAGTCTGGTCTCTTCAGTTCCCAAAGGTTTTTACAGAGAGCCGCTAAAAGACGAGGTGATGCAACACAACAGCAAACAAGCTGCTGCCCTGACTGTTTTGAAGTTCGGCGCTGGTATCAGATCTAAATTTCAGATTCAACATTCGGGTTTTAATGACATGAAATTCTATGTTTTACAAATATCCAAATCAGCACCTTAACCTTTTAGGATTGGGACTTCGTATTTCTCTGGAAGTCTCTTTGGACAGTCACCTCCAGGATAGTTATCGGGGGTGTTAGATTAATGGTGAAATTCTCTAATGTTTACTGACCCATATCAGTAAATCTCTGCAGTCACAGCCTCACTTTGAGTATGTGACCCTGTCAGAACAACACAGCACAATCCTGCTGCTTCACTTAATTTTTGAACCCATAAAAGCTCTGTGTTCACTCCATCAATCCCTGGCCGGCTCCCAAAATCAGAGCGTATTAAAGGTGGCACCGTGTGCCCGTGTTGCCACATACAATCGGAGGCCGTCTGAAATGTTTATTGAATTATATATCTTCGAGGCTGCGTTTAGAGTCGCCTTTGTCACCGCGAGCGATCGATACGCTGGCGCTGCCGAGGCTAACAAGGGGCTTCGTCTGCTGTGGCCAGCACTCCCGCCTGTCACCAGATGGTATTTATTACGTGCTTTGTTTTAACATCCATTCAGTATGAGTGGAAATCAATTTTTCATTTGGACCTAATTGTCTCTGTGCACTGGCAGCTCAAGGCTCCACAGCCCAGAGCCTCAGCTCCCCTCGGTGTACCAGTGGATGTGGGCCCTCCCCTCCTCCGTGGAGCTGTATTTTATACCTAATTACATATGTCTGAGGCCCACAGGCGGGGACTACGAGGCTTTGGGGAATAGCTCCTGTGAAGACGAGCTGAGGGGACTCTCTGTTGGTATCTCTCTGGTAGGGATTTAGTCATGCTTACAGTAACTGTGTGCTACTTGGAAAGGGACTCGGTGACCCAGACTGGCTCTGCCTCTGGTGTTTTGCATCGCTGCTGCTGAACGCCGGGAGATGTGAGGAGCTGCCGAGCTTAATGGCTATGATGAAACTTCATGTGTTGCCGAGTTAGATTAAGGACGAGACACAGAGGACTTTATCTCACTGGTGACCCAGAATGAGTTACAGCAGCAGCTCCCGGGTTATGATGCGGCTCCGATTTTGGACCAGAACTTTTCAGTGTTTGTTGACATGATTCCTGCTGAGTTAGTTCATATTTTACAGTTCTGTTTGGATAAATCAAACACAATTTTAAAAAACATGGGAATCCTTTTTCATACTTTTGCATCGTGACACATCTTCGTCAATAATCCGACACGTTCATTTCATCATTAACGTCCTTGACTGACACGCTCGGTACTTGACTTTCAGCCCTTTCCTTCACTATAATGACAGTTTTATTTCCTGCTGACCAAATGAGTCAATCACGCCTTTAATTCATGACCAAAGGACTCTGGCCGTGTTCATGTTGTCAAGAATTTGACAAGGCACACTAAAGGCACACTAAAGGTCACACAATTTAAAATACAGAAAATTTTGAGAAATAAAACCAAAGGTTAAAAAAGGTTAAAAAAGACAAAATATGAAAAGACAATCAAAGAAGAGTTCACAGGTGAAGTTTGGGGAGTCAGTTCCAGAGGAGAAGACTCTGTCCCCCTAAGTTCGGTGCTTTGTCCGAGGGCGTTGGTTTTTACAGTCGAGTCTGTCACAGCCGACACAGAGTAGACACATTGTGATTTTTTTATTCCTCAAACTGAGGTGGTTCGATCTTTTTTTTTATGCTCTGTTGTGAGAATAAAACTCAAACCGAACCTTTACGAGTCTCTCCGTTTTCACCATCATGTAAAGTATCTGATCCTCGCTTCATTCAGTGTTTATCAGGGCATGATTATCGCTCACTGAGGGTGAAAATCTGCGCAATAGTGTCATGGTTCGTGGTCTCCGGAGTCCCGCTGCGCTCAAGTCTTTGAGCTTTGACATGAAATAAAGTATAACTGTCAAACAAGCTTTAAATAAAGTGTTTTTTAACTCTCAGCTGTGTGATAATCAGCTGGTGTCACATGAAAATCCAAAAAGGTCATTTCAGAGTAAATTTAGTGGAAGTTTCTGCTCGGCTTGTTGGTGTTTTTGTTGTTTCTTGCGGACAGTGGAGCACGTGGGATGTGGGTCTGTGGTGGATCAGGGCTGCAGGGCTTCTGTAAACAATCCCTATTTGGACTGATGGAGCCACACACACACACGAACACACACACGAACACAAACGCACACTGCGCCGTGTCTAAACATGGGCTTAAAGCGTGTACATTTGACAGCAGACCTCATATATGGAAGTACGCCTCGTATTTCAGGATGAAGTGGCTCCTCAGCTCCTGATGATTTATCTCCTCCCTCTTGAATTTGAATGTCACTTTTCCTTTTCCATACAGCAGGTTTTATGAAAGCTTCTGTCGCATCTGCGGTGGCATTTGAATCCGCGAGAATCTGCTTTAAACAACGTCTTTTCATCCTGAGGAGGCTGCGCTCCGTCTGGTCTTTAAAGAGCACAAACATGGTAAGATAAAAACGAGGCATGTTCAGACTTTTAAAGCACAAAAGAGAAAGTACAAGACAAGTTTCGACACTTTGTTTCCAGAGAAATTTCTGCAGAGGGTTATCGTCCTCCCTCACAGCCAACTCTGGATGATTTTCACATGGCAAATAAACACAAACTCACTATCTTGACTGTTACTGGAAACAAAGCCCTGCTGGATGAGATCAGCAGTTCTTGCTAAGCTTAGGGGGGGATCTGTGCTGAACACTCTTTCCTGGATGCCAGAGTGACTCGGGACTCTGTGGCTGATAGGAAGCTGACTCACCCAGCAGCAGCAGATGCCGGCTGGATAGAGTCAGTAATGCAGGGTCAGGCCACTGCTGAGTGTGAATTGTGGAGGGTTTGTTTATGTGCCCGAGAGGTTCAGAGCGGGGAGTGAGGATGTGCTGTGGAGACCCCGGTTCATTAGGTGTTTTTTTTTCCCCTCTTATTTAATTATTAGTTTATTTGACATGGACAACAATACATACAGGCATCGTTACGTCTAATTAAAGTGCAACCCATGCAGCGCATGAGGGACTTCAAGCTGTGCTGATTCTCAGTCAGGCTTCTAGAAATGACGCACATGAAGCAAAGACGAGCAGACGGATTCACCTGCGAGAAGAAACGCTAAAAGGAATTTATGAAATATGAAAGTTCGTGAGCTGGGACATCTTTATTTTCATCTTTATTTTGAGCTGACAGTCACATTTTTAAAGATCGGGGCATCAAATTTGGTGAGAGTTCTAATTTAACTTTATATTTTAAAAAAAACAACTAAATAAAAACTCCATGTCACTTTGTAGTTTTTCTGCTCCAATAGACTCAGCTGTTTAGAACACTTTATGAATAACTATGACATGTTGCACAAAAACTGGCATAAAAAGGGTGATACATCGAATTCTTTATTCATTACTTTTTTCAGTGGTTAGGGCGGAAGTTGTTTAAGAGATTTGAGTCAAAAAAAGCAAGAAAAAATGTTGAAAAATGATTATTTTATTAACTTATTTGCATGTCTGTTTTGGGGACAAAGTTGGCTGATGGAGCTTCAAATGAACAGGAACCGCAGATTCGCCAATCTTGTAACCTGAATATCTTCAAAACAAACATGTTAGTAAGATATTGATGTAAAAACAGGCTTACAGTACACATCAAACCCTCAGAGGTAAAACTCTTCCCTCCACAGAGAGAAATCTCACTCCAGTGATGAAACACGTCTCCCCCGTCACCTTCTTTATTTGTTTCATTCCCCTAAAAATGTCATTTTATTATCGTATAGCGCGCACATAAACACTGAATTCCATGAAAACACATCCCAGCTTACCCTGAGAAACCCCGCTGACACACATCGGATGAAAGAATAAATCCCTTTGGGTAAAATTGGATTTTCACGATGGAACAAGCAGGATCATCTGAACCTATTGTTTCGCCTATCTGTGAATTTGTGACGATCTGTGAAGGAAGGAAATCAGAGCTCAATGGACGTGAATGCAGTCAATATGTTCAGTGTTTACAGGGGCGGATTTCATGCCAGGCGGAAATATGATTTCTGTTCAACACACTGAATGAGACACAAACAGGCTGCTTTTATCTGCAGCAACCCAACAGTTGGTCTGAAATTGTGGTGGTATCCAGATCGTTTTACTCACGATGATGGTTCAGACGCAAAAAATGGGTTTGAAAACAGACACTGGTGTGAAATAGGAGTCGTATTTTACATGCTCAGTCATCATGCAGTCAGTTTCACAATATAGACATTTTAAATAAAAAGTCCTGTATGAACTGGTGTTCAGGAAGTGTCATTACACAAAAATCTCCTACTGCTGACTCTTTACAGTCAAAATCTTTTTAATTATTGTGAATATTTTGTGAGGAAATTGTGAAACAAATCAGAAGCTGCTTAGCTGACGCTTACCTCCTCCGACCCTTTTCAGGCATTTTAAATTAAGACATGAAAATCACCAATCTTCTCGCTCTTGTTTACTTTAGGATATCATGAAAAGGCATCAACATGATTTTCAGTCTATTTAAAGACATAAAAAAAACTTCTTTTTGGAGCTGTAACGTGTTAAATGAAGGTTTAAAAAATCATTCCAGTTATGTCACGTCATGGTTGACGATTGGGGAGATTGGTAATTATTATGAACCTCGTTTCTATGGCGATCATGGTCCTATAGTGCGATCTCCGTACAGTGAAGAGAAAAAAGAACGGAAAAATTCTGTTCACCCTATCAGGTGCAGGGCTGTAAAAACATTGACCAATGGGAGCCATCCGTCCCAGACAGCTCCTATTGGTCAATCTCCAATCACCTCGCTGTATTCGACACACCCTTCTCCTGTAGTTCCGACTCGTCCCCTCCCACTCTCCTGACTAAAAGTAGTGTAGCAGCTTAGCTACAGGAGCTGTGATGGAATGGGACGCAAAAAAAAACACTTCTGCTTGAACCCACCGCCAAAGGTGGGAAGAAAACGCAAGCCGACAGAAGAAAGAATGGAGAAACAGAGGAAATGTGACCAAGCGAGGAATCTAATGTGAATAAACATCTGGTCCTCCTTGAAACGGTGGAGAAAGCTCCACCAGGATTTGGTCCTGAAAACAGACGCCGAGACAGCAGAGTTTTTGTTGATCAGGTCATTTTTATCTCCTTTTATCGTGGCTCATGTTTCATAAATAACTCTTATTAGTCTCTGACATGTCAACACGGTAGCTGTCCAGGCAGCTGCAGACGGCGCTCGCTAGCAGAGCTGGCGTTTACTGCTGCTAGTCACTAACAATCCGACATGGTGGATCCTATTTGAAGCTAGCGTAGGATCTTCTTGCTCTGCCAGAGGGGGTGTGTCATGGGGAGGGCGATACAGGTTCAGGGGGGGGGGACGCTTTTTTCAAATCTGCCTCAACAGCTCAGTTTTTTCCAACTGCTTCTCAGATCGTCAACCAGGACTTTAAAGTTCAGAATTTGCTGTCAGAAATTGAAATTTAAACAGTAAATTCCAAATTGTTTTAAAACTCAAAATTCTTTTTTTAGACTCAAAATTCTGACATTTTTGTAGTTCTAGAATTCTGACATCACAGGCAGAATTCTGAAGTCAAATTAGAATTCTGAGATCAAGGGCTCGACAAAAGCGTTGCCTCTGTTCTAGTAACAGTGTTTCGATACTTGTGAGGACCTGGGTAATCATAATGTACGACCCTGACCCCGACCATCTAACCCTCCAACATTTACCCCAATCTGAACCTACACCTCATTTATACCTTGACCTTAAAACCAAGTGTGCTCCACAGACAGAAGAGGCGCTCATGTTCAGTTATGTTCACACAGACCTACGATTACCCCACCACCATTCTTATGTGATGTGATGCACTGCAATACATTCACTTTCCAATTAAGAGTGAATCGCTCTCATGGCGGCTACATAAACTAATGTGTTTGGAGACCAGCGGCGGTCTGACAGCAGCAGTGGAGGGCAGGTCACTTTAAATCTCTGTGTTAGCATTTAGCTACCTGAAGAGTATGTCAAGAAAATGAGGAAGCTTACATTTAACGTCGCCCCTCATTTTTCCACGTTGTTCCGATGTGGCGTGTTTTAAAATCTGGACCAAATAGAAGATACTGTACCTCGCTCAGGATGGGAAACCCAGCAGGTTTTAGTGCTCGTATGACTCACCCAATGAAACTTTGATATGATTAACTCATCCGTCATGATGTCATGGAGTGGGCCACTGAATTTACTCACCTTAAGAGCCTGAGCGCCATAAAAATCCACAGGCCTCGCCGTGCTGCACGCACACATTACACACATGGACGGACGCGCAAATGCATGCAGCACTGCATTCATGGTATTCATCGAGCACAGAAATCTGAATTTAGGACCAAAGAGGAACACATGAGAGAGGCTGCATGATGATGTCACCCCGCACACTTAATTTCCAGTGGCTTTAAATCCACTCCAGGCCGAGTGGAAATGACTGAACATGGAGGAGCATAAGTGGCTTTGTCAAATTGGAGCAGGGAGCAATATGAGCAGAACAACACTCCACTAAACAATATCTGGCACTCCAGAATTATTACAGTAATGCGCCTGTAAAAAGCCACTAGATATTACCTGCTTATTTCAGTGTGTCTGCGGGGTGACAGATAGCAGGCTCTATTCAGCCGCCGCGGAACCACCAGGACTCCATAAAAAGAGCGGCAGATGGGTAGTTAAAAAGGCGCCGTGTGGGGAAAATTTCCACCCTTTGTTTATGATCAAGAAGGTTTCATAAAGACATTTTTCAAAATAACGCCGCTGTCGGGGAACGCTCTCAAAACTTATCTGTGGAAAAAGTGGAACTGACCTTGAGAGGGAAAATGTAAACGAAGGCTGGTTTGTTAGGGTCAAGTGATCCGATCCGTCCAACGCCATCCTGGAGGTGAACAAATGAGTCACATCTTTTGCCAAACTTCATGATATAGTTCCACTGATTTCTCATATTTTATACATACTATTTGTAATCCTGTTAGCTTTCCACAGGGATTAGCATTAAAGGGATATTCCAGCGTAAAATTAAGTTAGGGTCAAACACACTGTAACACCGAGTTAGACCCCCCCTCCAGAGATGAATGTTGCCGACCGCTTGCTTCTCTAGTTATACCAACTTTAATAACGACTGCATGATAGTAATACAGAGAGCCACACACTCAACCAAAACGCCACTCTATAACCACAAATAATGCTCAGAACAGCACCTAACTTCATCAACAGGAGATATAGGGTCACAGACATAGTACTATATTCAGAGTTGTTCTAACTCTAACTAAGAAAACAGAAACTTAAGCAGGGGCGTTTCTTCACTTCTGTAGTCAAAAAGCTGGGCCAAGAAACTTCTACTGTTGTAAAATAAAAAGGTAAAGGTGTTTTTTTTTTTAGCAGAATTATCAATAAAATCATGATTTTGTTAACAAGTATGGATATATGTGCTGTTGAGTTAATACATTTGAACAAGAACACAGTGAAGTTAAATCAGCTAATTTTCCAATGAGGTTCTGTTACTAAACGGAACTACACCATGATCTACTGAGGTTAGTACATATAGGGTCCCAGCCATAGTACTAGACACCAAACATCTTTTTAACTTTGACTCATTTCTTTAGCAAAGAGACTAAACACAACTCACCTACTCTCTTCCAGCAGCTGTTTGTTTGTAGTGAGACCTCAGGCCAGTCCATTACGGACTACAGCGGGGTGACGCAGCTCAAGGAAGAACATTTATGATCATTACTTTATCATTTCCTTGAAGTAATAATCATATTAATCATTTTTCTCTGCAGACGCGGTAGTTCTTCTGCCTAAGCGTCTTGCTCTGATTGTATTTCCATAAAGAAATGATGAGCCAATAGAGTGGCGTTTTGGTTGAGGTTTGTTTATGGCTCCTTTTGAAGCCTCCTGGCAGAAGTCAATGTCTTTTTTGGAACAATTAATAATTTGTTTTGACATTTTGGCGTAAATATTTCATTACTGCCGTCTTGTATTAATCTTAACTGCGTTTTTTTAAACATGAGTAATGCTGCTCCTCTTGTGAGTCACGAATGATATCATGGAAAAACAAATGGACATTAAAGGACGTCTTAAACTGTCATATTCCTCTCTGCTTTTACCCTATTACACACTGAGATGATATTATTGAGTGATGCTTTAACCGATAATCTCATCTCGGGGGTTGATTGGAGAAGAAAAAGGGCCGAGTGCGTCTACCTCCACTTTAACAAAGGACATAAAAAGTGGGTCATGTAATCACGCCACTTGATCCAGCTGAAGGCCTGATTTAATACGTTCTGCTGGTTATCGACAAAGTGTAATATGATCATCAGAAATTCTACATGCTGCAACGTCTGCGAAATCTCATTACTGTCTCGTGTTTCGCCCGGCCTTCCCTCCTCCCCCGCTGAAAGACCAACGCAAAAGGGTAATGCCAATAAGAATGAGATAAATTGGATGGTAAAAAGAAGAAAAATCCATGCGTCCATTAACTCAGAGGAGGAGGGGTGGGTGGGTATTTTTTTAAATCTTGGTATAGTGTGGGTGCTGAGCAAGGCTGCAGGGTCATTATCTGTATCCTGCCTGAGCTAATTTACTCTCCGCTCACATTGGCGAGCTGCAGCCTCTGCACTGCCATTCACAAAGGTCACAGTCACATGACCTGGTGGAGGCTGCTGGACTTCACTGCCTCAGAGCTGTGTGTTCGGGTCAACGACGACAAACTTTTACAGGCTGTTTAACCGACATTTATGATTGTTGTTTCCATCGTTAAAACCTCATCACATATTAAAGCCTTCTCTCAGTACATCAGAGTCTATCAAACCAACGAGACTCTGAGATGAGCTGAACAGGGTCGAGTTTCTGCTACTGAATATTTAACCCCCAGTTTCCACCGCATCCTGAACGGCTACGAAAAGGCCGTATCCGCCGATCGTAACCGTTCAAGTTAATGGACTCAATCCACGATTCTTAAAGATAAAAAAAGCTCTTTTTACGGATGGAGGGGAGCTCTCTGAATTCATTTCTAACAAAAGTATCTCAGGAGTATTCGTGGACTTGACCTGTTTACCTTCTTTAAAATGGAATCTAATGTCTTCGACACTCGTGTTGAAGCTAAGCTAAATCTAACCACCAATTTCCACCTCATCTGGAATGGCTATGAAAAGGTCGTATCCTCCGATCTTAGCTGATCGTTACCATTTAAGTTAACGTGTCAATTTCCACCGACTTCTTTTCGTTCCTCTGCGGATCGCCGGACTCCTCAGCTGATCGCAAGAGTTCTATTTTTCTGGACGCCAGAGCATGCCAGATAAATTCAGCACAGATTAACCCGTGCTGGAAAGGAAGTCGGGCACAGACACAAAATAAAACATCCGGCTTCTTTTCAAAATAAAACACTCCGTGTTTCAGGAGGATCGTATTTCACACCATGCAAACGGGCGGAGACGAACAAGTGAAAGGTTTTTAGACGTCGTTTCACCCCGATGACACCATGGATGAGGAGATGCTGATTCAGCCTATGTGGCTAAAGACAACTCGTTATCATGCGATTGTACGTGAATCCGTGAGTTCTCATGTGATCTCCTGATTCCTGCTGCTAATCTGCCACCAAATTCGCCTCACAAACATATCCGGTAGAGATGGCGTACGGCGAAAATCGCAGCTGTTCCAGATCGGAGTTGTTCCGGATGCGGTGGAAATCCCGGGTCACGCTGTCTCTCTACAAAGCCGCATTCTAGATGTCCATTCTTTGACACTGTAGAAACGCGTCTTTATTGTCTTCACCTTCTCATCTCAGCTCTACCTGAGGGTCCAAATGTGCTGAAAACCAGAATGAGATTGATTTCCTGGATCACTGACAGTACAAACAACCAATCGCCATGAGGTCGAAGGTCAGAGCCGGGGCACCAGGGTGATATCGGACAAATCCTCTTGTCCAGGGATTGATTAGTCTCTGGGTTGATGTATAAAACTCCTCATTAAAACAAAACAACTCCTACATGAACATAAATAAACGTCATTTTCCTCATATTTGAACCCGTTTTAATTGAGAATGAGCTTTTTCACGGTTGCTACAGTAACTCCAACTCTGGTTCTGCTCTGATATCCAATAATAACCAATTCAAAAAGGACATAATCAAAGCACATAACCTTAAATTAAACCTGCACTCAGCAGCATTTCTAAAAGGCGTGCACACCTTCTGGAGAGACACTTAATCCCACTTGTATTTGAAGAAAAACTTTGCAGTAATTTGTTTGTTTTTGTTATTTGAGTGTATTTAACGTTTCTCGAGGGTTGTTCATCAGTAAACAGCTTCTGTAAATCTACCTTGATTGCATAAAACCGCACAGAAAAGTAATTACACACTCACATACTTCTCTTATTAGGTTTTTTTCAGCAGAACTGAGCCACCGGATATAATTATAAAGCTTCATAAAGAAACAGTAAACCTTTTGTAATATCAGCAGGGATGTGACAAACACCATCTCGGTGCTCACAGAGCAGAGATATTCAGGAACACGGAGAGACGGTCTGCAGACGTGTGAGGTGAGAGCATGCAGAGCGATGTCCACAGAGCGTCTTTTACCTCTGGCTCTCGCTGATATGACTCCCCTGACAACAGCAATGAAAGTGGGCCACGGTGAGCAAACAGATCAGCCTACATCAAACATCCCCTCATATATTACAGACATAAAAAGTCATTATCCTCAGTGGAAATCGATAGCCGGCGTGGTCAAGATGAAGAGACCCCCGTCTGGTTTTCGGGGTCAGCTTACGAAGGAGCGCAGCAGCAAATGATATCATTTTTCTATCATTAACTGGCCCCCAGGTCGATGGCCGTGTTTAAAACCGAGGGATAACGTTACTTATAATGCCTGATAATGAATGGCGTGCCGGTCGGGATGTGCTCAACATTGATTGAACATGTGGACCGGCCGGAGGAGCAGAGGGGCTCAATAAAAAAGGGGCTGAGGTTTCTACGCCAGTGTTTCCATAGCATAGCTGCAATATTGAGGTGTGGACAGAGCTTCTAAAGCGTGCATGGCTTTATTTGGAGATCTTATTAAAGGTCTCTGTTATTGTTTGTCCAGACTAGCTGTGTTTGTCTGCAGTCTAGCTGCTGCGGCGGCGGCGGTGGCCCCGGACTTCCAATGGGGATCAAAACATCAGTTTCTGTCTTTATTGTGGAGCTGCTGGATCCCAGAGGGGCTCTCTGGACCTGCTGGTGTATTAGTGGTCAAAAAAAAAACATGGTTACTTATACCAGGACTGTTTTTGATACTGATGCTGATTTATTATTTAATCACACAAGCAATTTTCCAAAACTAACTCCTACAAAGAGAACCAAAATGTTCACTTTATGTGAGACTTCATGTGTCAGCTCTCAGTGTGGATTTTTTCATGAAGGTATTGGGTATATGTGAAGGTTCTTAAAGCTTTTAATATCAGTCAATAGTTATTGATGATATTTGGTAATATAACGACATCTCTGTGTTCTCTTTTGTCCGTGTTGTCAACACAGGTGGAATAACGGGCGCTTAAAACGGAGGTAGACCGGACAAGAGCTAAAAAGCCGGGTCAACATAAACGATGGGGGACGCTTGGGGATCTTGGTGACCCTGTAACCTTTCTGCTGGACAGGTAAACCGCTTTAACAAAGTAAGACAAGTGTCTGTAACAGAAGTGTTTCTTGTCAAACGGACCTGCTGTAGCGTGTTGTAGCGCCATCGCTAAACTGTCCTCCCTCGGGTCCTGGACTATGTCACTTTATCCTCGTTGTAGAAGTCCTGCAAACATTGTGTTTGCTGGTAGTCTGTTGGCATCTACAGTAGCACCAATGCTTTTGACTTTCACCTTGACTGGGCCCCATTTGTAATGATCTGAAGTATTTATCTGCATTATATCTGAATTTAACTGGAACGATACGAGCGAGCAGGAGCGTCTGTTTGTGGGCGGGGCTTGAGGGGAGAGAGAGGAGCTGAGGGGAAAACTGGTTGTGAGGGGTAGAGTTTACATTCAAGATTTCTCCTAAAAACTGGAACTAACTCAGATCCTGACTACACCACCTTTAAAGATTAGTGCAGAGAGCCAAACGTTCACCCATCCAGAAGTTTCTTGGTCAGTAAGATTTTAGGTATATGTGAAGGTTTTGGTCTTTAACGTCTAAAGAGGCGCAATAATGTAAAAAGACCAATGATGAAAATGAACAGTCGGTTCTGATCCGGAGCTAAACTCATGACATTACTATTTATTTTCCTTTTTTTTTTAACCAATCATTTAACGGCAACAAGTGTGCCAGAACAAATCCTCCCTGTTTGATGTTTCTCGCCTGGTGCATGCTGGGAAGAAGTCGGTCTTATGGTCTATTATAGGGAGCCAAATTTGGCGATTAATCAGCGTCAATTTCACCATCTGTAAAATACAACTTCACAGACAAGTAACAGAACGAACTTCACAGCTGGATGGGATTATATAATGTTTTTTCTTTTGGGTTTCTGATATTAAAGATCCAAATTACTGACTGATCACATGATGTGTCTCTGCGCTGTGGAGCACTTCAGGGTGTTTCTCTAAATAAAGCAGATGGATGACCATAGAGAGGGGGAATTCCACCAACTTTACATAACCGGCTCTTTTTATAGTGCTGCTCAGTGTGTGAGGAAACATGTGTGAGGAGGTGGACAAAGTCTGATCAATGTTGTCAGTCTTTGAGGTCTGCACCGCTTTGGCAAAACAACAAAAACGTTGAGAAGTGAAGTGAGTTTTGCCTACTTTGGGTCGAAGCTCTGTGTTGGAAGAATTGTTTAGTGGAAGTTGTTTTTTTTGGAAACAGTCTAAATGCAAACTGCTTCCAGATTAAGTGATTTTAGTTCTTGTTAGACAGTCACTCATCTGGGTCTGTGTTCACGAGCAGCGTTTTGTGCGCCTGCAGAGCCCATGACCTCGGTTTTAAAGAGCTTCTTACCAAAACTTAATCTCCACCGAGTTAAAAAACTTGTCTTTTGGCGCTCCTACTTCCTTTAACGCTCGTTAAGTTTGTTTGATGAAACTTTACAAAGAAATGTAGAAACTATTGAACTCTTGTAAAGTGGAGTTAATTTTTATCTGGACTTTATCAGAAATGTTGATTCATGGAATTTGAAACGCGATTAACTGCATTCTGACTTGAAATTCAGCGATGACACCTTCTGACACTAAGGACAAGATAAACTGTCACAGAGGGGAGGGAAGGCGGGGTTTAAATGCACCAGGGCGGTGGAGTTAACAAGACACAGGTGAGACTCATCAGGGAAATCAGGGGGTTACACAGGGAGGAGGAAGTCAATGAACCTGGAACAAGAGACGAGGGTGAGTATCAAAATAAAACAGGAAACACAAGACGAGAAACATGAGGGATGGAAAAAAACAACTTAAATAATCAGGAGATGTGACAAGTTGGTTTTATATTTCGATTGTGTTTCTAAAATAATGGAAAAAAGGTCACATCAGGCTTGTTTGATGACTGTATTCCCTCCGTTTTCACAATAAAATGAGTTTGGTCATCAGAAGAAGTACATCTGAACGGCTTTCATTGTGTTTTGTCTCATTCATTGAGATTTTAAAAGCTTCCTGCATGTATCAAGGTTTTTTTTTTTTAGAAACAAATGTATAAAAACTTATTAAATATCTTTTTTTAAATGTACATTTTACTCTCATTTGGAAAATAGGAGGAAGAATTAGAAGCCAATCCAGCTGCAAACACTGTGGGTGATACAGAAGAGAGAGATTGTTTCTGAGGAATCAGGAAAATGACATTTTCTCTCATTGTTCTTTTCATAATGAGCTGAAAAATAATCTTCACAGTAAATTGACTTTCATTTCTTCTCAATTAAACCGTCGTGAAAAAAACTTGAAAGATGCTTCACTCTAAAGTGGCACAATGAATCTGCAAAACAAAAGCAATTCCAAAAAGAGGCTGCCGCCTGTAATTGGACTGTACAAAACCAACATTTATCTGAGCTAATATTGTTGCTCTCCTGATCCGAAACGCATTAAATCATCAACGCTGTCTTTAAACTAACTTTCACGTGTAGATCAGCACGAAAGAGAGGCGACGCCATTGTACCGCTCCATGTGCTGAAAACAGGAAAACACACAAAACATCATAAGGCTCTTCTTTTTGTTACACACACACAGACACACAAGCCTGTGGCTGGTGCATCGGCTGACACAAGAGGCCTATATCCGGCCTGCGTTTTGACACAAAGCATCCATTGCTTTAGTGAAACCGTTCAAAGGGGGCAGAGGGGGAAAAAAAAAAAACAAGCCGGAGAATGACTTAGCGCAAAGACACGAGGCGACATGCACTCACTGCTCCATTCTGGTTCAGTGTGTATCATCCACAAAATCACCCCGAGCGAGCGAGCGCCGCTGAAAGAGAGAAAGAAAGCGTTGGCTCGTGAAGATGTATTTCATCAAAATTGCATGGTTTCAGCCCCTGTTTTGCCACTTTAGACACTTTTGTTTGGCGTTTGAAGGACGAGGAGTTTAACCCACTCAGTCCTGCACAGATGAGAGCACATACAGCCCCGAGACATCGAATAAAAGCTCTTCTTTCAGCAGATGTTCTCTTGTTGTGGAGGATACGCAGCAAGGTTAAACCAACAGAAATGAAAGTGGCAGGAAGAAAACAAACTTAGAGACAACGAAACAGCAGCTGTTTCAGTCCACTTACACCTGAACTGGGTCCAGGTCGATCCTCTGAGCCCAGTTCACTTCATTCTTGCTACTTTGAATAGTAAACTGCTGCCTGTCGGGTTTATCAATACTACGATTATGAAGTAGAGTTGGTATTAAAGGAGTAAGATTCTACAACTGACACCAAAGGAGAACGTTTCTGGAATAAAACACTTCCTCACCAGTCTCTCGTATCACAGAGGCAACGGAGGCCATTAAAGTCATGGTTGACGATTGGAGAGATCAGTAATTATTATTATGAACCTCGTTTCTATGGCGATCATGGTCCTATAGTGCGATCTCCACAAAATGAAGAGAAAAAAGAACTGAAAAAATCTGTTCACTCTAACAGGTGCAGGGCTGCAAAAACATTGACCAATGGGAGCCATCCGTCCCAGACAGCTCCTATTGGTCAGTCTCCAATCACCTCGCTGTAATCGACACACCCCTCTCCCGTAGTTGCGACTCGTCCCCTCCCACTCTCCCGTAGCCTGGCTGGGTCATCCTGCTGCGTGAATCACTTGCCGTTCCTTCCCACAACAGTCTGGACTTCGGCCCATTGGGAGCGTGTATTAGCGATCAGAAAATAACCGGGCCAATCAGAGACCGTGTTTCCATTGTTACCCGGACAACAGGGAAAGGCAGCCCCTGATTGGTCCATGTGTAGATGGTGACGTCTAACACATGCTGCGGGACTTTTCAAAGTGCCGTTCATTCAGAACGCTGGCAGAAATCGTTTATATCCGCAGAAGACGTCAGATTTGAACGATTTCTGCCGACTTTGCAAAGTCAGCAGAGTTTTTGTTGAACAGGTCATTTTTATCGCCTTTTATCGTGGCACATGTTAGCTGTCCAGGCAGCTGCAGACGGCGCTAGCTAGCAGAGCTGGCGTTTACTGCCGCTAGTCACTAACAATCCGACATGGTGGATCCTATTTGAAGCTAGCGTAGGATCTTCTGTCAGAGGGGGTGTGTCGTGGGGAGGGCGATACAGGTTCAGGGGGCAGAGTTATGGTGGAGCGCAGAGGGGAGAGGTTAGTGTGTGGGGGGTGGGACGCTTTTTTCAAATCTGTCTCAACGGCTCAGTTTTTTTCAAGATCGTCAACCAGGACTTTAAGAATAGAAACAATTTTAACACGATAAAGACGTCATCATCCATAACAGATACAAGTAATTCAACTGTTTCAAACAGTGTTGCCGACTCCTCAATAAAGAAAGTCGCTAATGGCTGTCCTAGAAGTCGAGAGATGAAACTATCGCCTAATTTTTTTGCTGTTATTTTTCCGTCTTTCTGCCTAATATGGTATTGACTCTAAAAGATCCTCTGGTACTTTGACTAATGACCAGATATCAGCGAGAGTAAACACATGTTTATTGTTTTTATCTTCATTATGTGTTCAGTCCATCCTTCATTTCTACTGATCAACAAAAGGCCGGGGTGGGATGTCGAAAGGCTCAGCAGGTCTGTTGGACTCTTCTCCACCTAATGATGTTCTCAGAGTCCTTCCAGGTGATCCGTGTTTTTCACCTGACGTCTGGACAACCATCAAAGAAAAGCACTTGGGGGGGGGGGGGGAGAACCGGATCAAGTGCTCAAACCGCCTGAGTCGGCTGTTTCCGATCCAAAAGTAGCAGCCGCTCTTGTTTGTGGTCCGGTAGGACGTCTGAACGTCCTTTACTATCTGTAAGCAGATTAAATGTGTGTATCTGGTAACTTATGATTCTGATGTGCAGCCAATAGCCTGTTTTTAAAATATATGATTATTTTTATTATTATTAACATGGAAAATGGAGGAGACCTGCACCCTCTCATTAATACACTTCTGTTGGTGAGCTCAAACCTTAGCCGAACAAGCAACAAGCGAAACGAGAGCCCTGCACTCACACGCCAGAGATCCAGTCTATCATGGTCAATGAGGGGATTTCACACCTTTGTAGAAATATCTGTCACTTCACAGGTTTGATGGTCTATGATGTACTGAATTTAATGCGTCACATGATGCACCAAAGCTTTGATTTGACCGCGTGAACCCGATCGGACAAAGACCGAAGAGTTTGTTCAAACGGCGCCCACACGTATGACGAGAAAACATCCTCACGAAGCTGAAATCTGAGTCCTGCCAACGCCGTCCAGCTCCAGTTTTCATCTTTCTGTCCTTCTCTATTTTCACTGAATCTGTTTCACACACACACAGTAACACAGTCACACACACACACACACTCACACAGACGGTCACACCACGCTGAAAGTAGAAAGAATCCATTTAACAGTCCTGTGTCTCACACACAGATTGTTTTGTCTGTGCGTGTCATCCAGTTCAGAGGGCGCATTCTTACAGAGACACAGCCAGACTTCACAGCAGCCCTCCTCCTCCTCCTCTTCTTCACACATCCTCCTCTTCTCTCCTCCATTCCTTTCTTTATTTATCATTTTCATTCATTTTCTCACTCCTGCAGCTGAACAACTTTACAAATGTCTCTTAAAGATTTCTTCAGACCTCTTCGTCTCATGTCCTCTCAGAAACAGGGTTGAGATTTTAATCTGATCAGTTTCATCACTATCCGGTTACAGTTCAGCTTCTCAATCCTTCGTCTTATCAATTCTTGACTCTGACTTGTTTCCTTTTATTGATTCGAACCTTTACTTTGGTATAGTTGAAGAAGTAAATACAGAACTCTACTCTGCTGGGTCAAACACACGTGAAATCTAAAGATATTCTGGTAAATAAGAAGGTTTGGATCATGAATTTTGCTCACTGGTGACTGAACAGAGGTGAAAGAGTTTTATCGCCTTTGCCACAAATATCCACAAAAAGCTTTTCTTTTTTTTTACAGATGGAGAGAGCTCTCTGAACTAGTTTCTAACTTTGTCTTAAGCTAAGTCTTACCCCCAATTTCCACCGCATCTGGAACAGCTACGAAAAGACCGTTTTCGACCATTGTAACCATTCAAGTTAACGTGTCGATTTCCACCGACTTCTTTCCGTTCCTCTGCCGATCGCTGGACTCCTCAGCTGATCACAAGAGTTCTATTATTTCTGGACGCCGGAGCATGGCGGATAGATTCAGCACAGATTAACCCGTGCTGGAAAGGAAGTCGGGCACAGACACAAAATAAAACATCCGACTTCTTTTCAAAATAAAACACTCCGTGTTTCAGGAGGATCGTATTTCACACCATGCAAACGGGCGGAGACGAACAAGTGAAAGGTTTTTAGACGTCATTTCACCCCGATGACACCATGGATGAGGAGATGCTGATTCTAGAAGTCTAGAAGTAGATTTCCTCCTCTGGAAGGACACAATCTACTGCTTATATGGTTAGCCTCTGTGGCTAAAGACAACTCGTTATCGTATGATTGTACGTGAATCTGCGGTTTCACGTGAGTTCTTGCGATTCCTTCTGTCCGTACTCTGCCACCACATTCGCCTCACACAAATGGATCCAATAAGAATTGGCGTACGGCGAAAATCACCACCGTTCCAGATCGGATCGTAGCCGTTCCGGATGTGGTGGAAATCTCGGGTTAGTGATCGTGGACCCACCAGAGGACGCTCAGCATCCCTTAAATGTTTGCCCCACTTCTTCGTATTATAATGTTAAAAACCTACATTTACAGCAGACGGCGGTACACCATGAAGAACTTCAATATCAAACGCTGGCTTTGTTGGCGGGAACTGAACCGCTGCTCATTAAAGCGCCACAACGAGCCCACTGGATCCACAAATCTCAGAAATTTAGAGCCAGCTTTTGTTGTTGTCTGACAAACTGACCGAAGGAGCCTGGAGTGAGACACTCTTCACATTCTCAGCGTGTCCGGTGTCGCCTGGTTCACGTCTGTCTGTCTCTTTTGCAGGAGCACAATAGGTGAAAGGGTGAGTGATGAATTTTGGCCGCAGCGCTATTAAAAGCTTTAAAGTGTGTGGTAAAATTTTTCAAATCAATACACTAAGGCCGGGGCGGCTGTAGCAGAGGGTTTATGCTCACGTCTCTTGATCTCGGTAATAATTCCAGCAGCAGCCGGAGCCAGCAGCAGTAACCTTGATTAATTCCTGTGAAAAACTCTCACTCCACACTCTATCTGCATCCTTTTTATGCACGTTTTCATTCGCAAATCAAGAACTACTACCCCCTCATGCAGGACTTTGCAAAAGAGAGCAAATATTGCATCGTGAAACGCGCCTTAAACTACATTTTAAAAGGAAGCGTGACAAAATAAAAGTGCGCGCAAACGTGGTTTTCATAATGTGAGATTTGCTCAGGCATTGCAGAGCGATTGCAATCACTGCGTCAGTAGCAGCAGCAGCAGCAGCAGCAGCGGTTTGGAGTTGATTTGCAGAGATGATTTTTATATCTGGTGTCGCCACACAGGCTGTCACACTCTGAAATAAAGCAGCAGAGAAATTTAAATGACTTCCATTTTCTATCTGGGAACATATCTGACACATGACACAAGCATTTCATTCACGCCTCAAAGCTCCCGTCCACATTACATCCTTTTGTCAGAGACTGTGCAGCTATTGTAGGTCCCCGCGAACCCCCTACCCTACCCCCCCTCTTCCACGAGGGCCTGCACAGTTTCAGGCAGAGAAATGCCCCCACCATCCTCAGTGAAATCACTCTTTTTCTCTTTCAGACTGTGATCCAGCTAACAACTCAGCTCTGCCAGGAAGAGACAGAAAGAGATAAGAAAGACAGGCAGGAAGAGAGAGAGGAATAAAAGCCTCAGATGCCCTTCACCCCTCCTCTGACTGCCAAACACCCCCCTCCCTCCCCGGCCTTTAAAGATCTCCAAACTGTGTTGTGAGTCAGTAACAATCAGAACATTCACAAACGTGGCCGTGCTGCCATCTCTCTCCACTAAGATCTATGATTTGCCAAGCGCTCCCTCCCGAGAGCTGCCGGTAGTCGAGCCAGAAACACCCCCCTCCCCTCCGCACCGCTGAGAACACCCCCGGAGTGCTGAGAAATTGCCCCTGCCGTGTCCCCTTCAAATGCGTGTGAATTCCAAATAACGCTCCACAGCCAAATAGCAGCTGGCACGGCGCCTGGCGAAAGGGCTGGAGAGGGGCTCGCTCCCACGGAGAGCGGGGGAGATAGCGAGGAGGAGGACGACGCTGAGAGTTAGGACGAGGACTCGGGGCTCTTTAAAAGAGTGAGACCGCGAAGCTTTCCACGTTAAAATACACCCCCCGAATCAGAGTTAATCAGACCCGCTGGATCTTCGCCACTTCAGTTCGGTTATTTAACAACCTTCCCTCAGTTACCCTCGGAGCGTTGTGTTCGTACGTTAGAGGAGATAGACGGCTGTAAACGAGGTAGAAGCTGTCGAGATAATTTTATAACCGACAATGAAAACTGATGATAAATCACAGAGAATAAGAAACAGACGACTGACAGACAACAGATGTGTTTGTAATAATTAGAGCTCAAAGCAGCAAAAGTGCGGTCTGTTTGACGGAGCATACGGCGCTCATAAAACCTTATAACTCTGATCGTAACGGCAGAAGAAATCAAATAACGGAGGACACACACCAGCAGATAATCAGGACAGTTTTGGGCCTCACTCCCAGTCAGCTAACGTCGGGTTTACACGACTTTTATGTAATTCTGAAGTCAGAGAAATATTCTCAAAGTCAAAATGAAATCAGAGTTTTTGCTGAACCACCGAGATCTCGCCAGAAATCCCGGTGGTTTGGAGCGATGTCAGAGGCGCACCAGGAGACTTGAACACACGTTACAGACGTCCAACTCGCCATGATAGTTAAAGGCAGAGAGCCAGCAGGACGAAGACTTCGAGAAGACTGAGGATCCAACTATTTTGATTCCTTATCCGAATCTTCAACTTTTACTAACAAGAAATGGAGTTGTTGACGTCTGTTTGCACCGCGATAGAGAGGGAACGGCGTTTAACCAATGCGGTATTAGCCTAAAAGCTAACCATACATTACAGGGAGACAAACTAGCATACAGGTAGCCTGTTGGCTAACATATCATCGGGGACATTGGTTAAACAGTTAGCTAGCAAGCTACAGGCTGTCAACATATTTATTACCCGCAGACTTCGCCAACCATTAGCTCCTGAAGTCGAGTTTTAAAACCATTAGTGATGGTCAATATATCCGAAATGCTGATGCGACCTATTTGATTGACCTGCAGAGAGGCATAGAGCTAAAGTCAAGTTGACCTTTGACCTCCTCTCTGACAGCTACAACTCCTTCTCACAGAGCGGAGTGAGAAATATGAACCAAATAAACCAAATTTTCTTTCTTTTGTCGTATCGTAAAAATGGGCTTTTTTCAATGGGTGTGTATGTGGCTTCCTGGGCTTTTGGAGCCACCCTCTAGTGGACACTCAAAGTACTGCAGCTTTTAGCACTTAGCTCGAGCTAAGTTTGATGCTCGGGGCATTTTGGAAGTGTTGATATAAAACAGATTTACAGTTTAGGGTTTGGACGGTGTATTATTGAACAGGATCTACATTTCTCTGGAGTCCTAGCACCGTCCTCAGCCAAATGTAGAAGCTCTGCCTGCAGCTAAACCTCGTCAGATTGAAGCATTAACCTCGCTGGCGTCCTCTGCTCCACCGTTTCTCTCCGCCGTTTTCTGATCATGTTCAAATATTTTGGTATTTTCATAATAAAGGTTGTTTTGTTCCAGGCAGAGAAGAAGGACAAAACCATATTGGTGATATTCCAACCAAACAGGATTTACTGGCTTTAAATTTATACCTCATGACTGCCAAAGAGCACTGTGCTGCAGAAATAATAAACAGCCGCTTTGCATTCTGGGTAAGTCCACATCATTGTTGGACTCTATCGAACCCTGAGGGGGTTTGCTCTCCGAAGTTCTCAGAGTTAACAGTTTTCAGAGCTGCACTTGCTGTAGCCGCGGGGTAGACCCCGGGCTGATGTGCAAAGGCCACGTTAGATCACCGTCTGAATGTGAGCAGGAGCTGTTTATCGACGCCGTCTGTTCAGGAGGAGGACGGAGACGTTCGGCAACATTCAGACGCCCTGAACGGCAGAGAGCGACCCCTCTGCCCGGGCGAGGAGGACTCGCTAACATCAGATGTGGTCTGTGTTTGCTGTGAAGCATCAGAGAGCAGCGGGGCGGGTAAACACGACACGCTGCGTGCGGTTTACTGATGTAATGTAACAGGGTCTGGTGACCTCTCCGTCTGACAGCTGGAGCTGTCAGTGTGTGAACGAGAACGCCGCTCGCAGTGACATTAGAAACTCTGGACACAGATCAGATAGAAGTCCTGACCGCGGGGAGAAGGTAACAGGAGTGTGAGGAGTGAAATCTCGGCTTTGAGTTCAAACCCTCTTTAGAGAAAACAGAGTAAACACCTCAATTAACAGTCGGGTTAAACAGGGTCGGAGGAAAAACTCCTGTCTGACGATCGCCAAACAAAAGAGAAAAGAGTCAGAGATAGACGAGGAAACAAGTGACTTCGTCAGCTGAAGGTGTGGACCTCCTGAGGAGCAAAGAACCTCCTGATCAGCAGAGCTCAGCCTCCAGCTGAGGGGGGTCACACATGATCCCAACGACCCCTGATGGATCTGTGAAGCTCCTGGTCTGGATCTGGATCATTCTGAAGTTAAAGTTTCAGTCACAGTTTCTACCAAAGTCTTTGAAGGTTCTTCAGCTCAAGTACTGAGCAGAACCATGTGGACCAAGCTCTATTAGCTTCTCTTCACTGGTTTTAGGGTCATATCTGAAGGGGCTTGCCTAGGGTTCAGGTCTAGTCCAGCTCTTAGTTAGGCTGCCGTAGGTTTAGAGAGCTGAGGGTTCGGGCTCACTGAGTCATCTCTAACTCTTAATCATCATGTCCCATCAGAGTCACTAATACAGTCTCTTCTGTCTCCGGATTTCCACCACATCCAGAATTTCGATTTCCTACCGGATCCGTTTGTGAGGTGAATTTCGTCGCCGATTATGGACAAAAGGAAATGGAGAACTCACAAGAACCCGCGGATTCACGTCAAATCACACGATAACAAGTTGTTTTTAGCCACAGAGGCTAACCAGATAAGCAGTAGATTGTGTCCTTCCAGAGGAGGAAATCTGCTTCTAGAATCAGCATCTCCTCATCCGTGGTGTCATGGATGTTTTATTTTGTGTCTGTGCCCGACTTCCTTTCCAGCACGGGTTAATCTGTGCTGAATTTATCCGCCATGCTCCGGTGTCCGGGAAAAAGTAGAACTCTTGCGATCAGCTGAGGAGTCCAGCGATCGGCAGCGAAACGGAAAGAAGATGGTGGAAATCGACACGTTAACTTGAATGGTTACGATCAGCTACGATCGGAGGATACGACCTTTTCGTAGCCGTTCCGGATGCAGTGGAAATTGGGGATGAGCGTCCCTCAGCTCCATCAGGGCGTAGGTTCCTCTGAATCGCTGCTGCAGACGTCGGTCTAACATCAGTCTGGTTCTGTTCAAGGTTTCTGCCTGTTGAAGGAAGTTTTCCTCTCCACTGTAACTTGATAAACGCTGTAAAGTGTTTCACTTCTGTGGTTCATCTGGACTCAGACGCTCCTGATGTTCCTGTGAAAAACCATAAAAGCAGGAACAGCCAATCCCAGCAGGGTACGACGGTTTAGAGGAATCCAAAAAGACAAAATGAATCAATGTCAGAATGTTTGTGGTCGTCATGTTGAGCAGCACTGAACTGAAACTCAAAAACACTCTGAAGAAGCGTCTCCTTCAGCTCCAATCATAATCTCCTTCAGAAGTGTGTTTGTTTGTATGACAGTCAACTTTTCTCTCATTCAAACTTCATCTTCTTTTTTAAAAAGTGTCAGACACAGCTGTGGACTCGCGTATCCCCGAGTTTCTGCTTCAGTCTCACATTTCAGTGACTCTAATTCAATTCAGAACATGTTCTTGTTTTCTGAAAGGTCTCCATCCTGAGGGCACGCAGCTAAAATGAACCCAAATGTGCATGAAACAAGATGCAACTGCTGTGAGAATTCAATAAACATGCAGTAATAAACCACCCATTGTAGCCCGGACTCCTGAGGGGGGGACGTCTGATCTGCATCCAGAAGTCACACAGTGTCCCCAAAACTCATGTGATCTCCAGGAAGCTGTAAATAAAGAGGAACTGAAGCTGACTTATTAATGCGATGAAGAGTGGAGCTGCAGGAGGCGGGGTTTGCGGTCAGAAGTGAAACTCTAAGTGGATTAATCATCGTCACCTTCATTTATCGGCGCTGAGATTTGAATGCTAAGCACACCTCTGCAGCTGTAGATTTTTGGTTGTCGCAGCTTGGAAGGACCACACAGAGTCCACTTATGACAAATAGGATTCATGCATTAACTGTAATTTTATTCACTGCCAAGTTAAGAGAAACAGCCGCGCTGCTTTAGAGGCTCAGCAGGAGGGACAAATTGCTCATAGATCTTGGGGGGCTGTTAGAGAGAGAGGTCGATTTTCTTTGGGCTCAGCATAATTTGGTGCTTTTTTATTTCCTTTGAAAGGAGGGCGACATTCTTAGCTTGCACACATTTCTCACACTTGAGGAATCGTTTGTTTATACAGCAGAGTTTTTATTCTGGAGGAAGACATGGAACATTTTTGTTGGTATATAATCTGCAGGAGAGGAGTGGTGTTGATTTGGGCAGATATTTTAGTTTCTGGACTCATGGACTAATGTGCACGGTGCAAAATCTAAAAAAACACCCCTTTATTTTTGTTTGAGTGTCTGTTTCTGCGTGTGTTAGAGAGTGCGCATGATGGAGAGCTTGATGAAGTCTAAGTTTGGAGTATTTGACCCGTGCAAGTCCGTAGAAATCCATGATGTGAACTCTTACCGACAATTTACACCACGTCCGGAATGGCTACGAAAAGGCCGTATCCGCCGATCGTAACATGGAGGAAAGTGAGCGAGGAGTTCGGATTTCCCGGTTAATTGTTAATAAGCTTTGTCTATCACCTGATCCCGCTGGTTGAATTGGATTACCGTTTAAATGAGCATGAAAGGCGCGAATGAAGTGAAAAAAAACTGTTCATTCACGCGTCTAGATTCGCACAAATTAAGCGACTAGACAATTTTACACGTACTTTGTGTGAGCGCCTCATCATGGTACTTTCTCACTAATGCACCCTGAAAATGTCAGTAAAGAAGTGCTGCATCACAGACCACGAACTGGACACCAGATTTTTGTGATTTCTGCATCCTTGTGATATCAGCACACCACTTTTTTATCTAACGGCACCTGATTTGTCTTCAGACAGAAATGCCTTTGAGTTTTAGTCCCATTTTAGCCGTTCTCGTCCCGCACAGTTTCAACAAAGACTTAAAACATTTGAGTCTTTATTTTAGGGTGACCATACGTCCTCTTTTAACCGACCATGTACTCTTTTTCAGGGGGAGTTTATCAAATCCTTCCAATGTCCGGGGTTTTGTACAGAAGTTTTGAGTTTGTGTCGAGTGGACTGAGTAAAAAAGTGTCCTGACGGACCACAAACTGGACACCAAATTTTTGTATGTTCTGCATCCTCGTGATATCAGCACGCCACTTTAAGTCTACCAAGTCTTCGTGGATTTCTTCTTGTAAAAAACAATTTTCATTGTCCTGCTTCCTTTCAGTTGACGGTGCAAACATTCAACATGAGGAAACAGCGGATGCTTGTCGTAGAACCAGGCGTGTTGAGGGTTTGTAGTGTTTTGGTTGGTCGATTCAGGTCATTAGAAGACTGGAGTCAAGAGCTGCTTTTACACTAAAACACTGTAAAACGATTTTCACTTTTCGGTTGTACTCTTAACTCAACAGCTTCTTCCTCGGCTCCGTAACCTTGAGCAGATCTTTCGAATTAACCGCAGCTCAGCGGCTCTAAATCGGCCGACCTTGACCGTTGTGAACATTTCGCTGGGCCTTTCGTGTCCCGGTAATCCCGGAGTTTTCACGGTCTGTTGTGCAGAGCTCACTGTTATCATTGGTGGTATTTAAAGCCGGCTGCTCGGGTCTTTGTTTGAATAAAGTGACGCAACACTAATTCATCTCTCTGCAGGAAAACACACGGCTCCTCGTGCAGCGCTGCAGTTGCATAATTAGCTCTGAATGGATTGGACGGCATTACAGCATGTTGCTCGTGCTTGACATAACAGCATCATAGAGCGAGCCAAGTTAGCCACTGAACCGAGGAGAGGGAGAGAGAGAGAGAGGGAGGAAAAAACAACTATTAGGGCTGAAAGTGGGTCAAGTGGAGGCTGCTGGAGAGGCGTCCAGCAGGACTCCAGATGTAAGGGGGTTGGGGGGCCGCTGCCTCGGGTTCACTCCTTACAGGCGAAGGTCGACCCTGCAGCGTGTAGCTCCGATGAAAACCACATGTGGCCCAGAGAGAGGGGTTTCACTCCTCAAACCAGATGTGCTCCGGCTCAGGTGTCACTCACTTTGTGATCTATCTCCCCTCCCATCTGAGTGACTCACAGCCCAGGGTTCGCTCAGCCCCATCTCGCTCTCTCTCCGACTGTCAGACCGCCTCAGCGCCAACGCCACGAGACAAATTCCTGCGCTTCTGATTCAATAAACGCAGTGATAAATTTGGGACATGTTCCCAAACTGTTCCCCCGTCTACGGCGTTTTGAAGAACGGCAAGACCCGACACTCAACATAAATCCTCTTCATGGAAACCCCCGAGGCGCACGACGAAACGCCGTTATCTCCAGATGATTATGAACAAATAGGAAAGATAAACTGTGTGCGCTGATGGAGACAACGTCGACTAACCCTACAACAAGTTTTCTGCTGGTTTGTCCGACCAAGTTTGTTTATCAGCAGATCTGTAAATTAATGCCCCATATGTTCACCTCGATGACACCATGGATGAGGAGATGCTGATTCTAGAAGTCTAGAAGTAGATTTCCTCCTCTGGAAGGACACAATCTACTGCTTATATGGTTAGTCTATGTGGCGAGAGGCAGCTTGTTATCGCGCAATTGGACGTGAATCAACAGGTTCTTAAGAGTTCTCGCGATTCCTGTTGTCCGCCACAAAATTCGCCTCACAAATGGACTCGGTAGGAATTGGCGTCCAGCGAAAATCGTCGCTGTTCGAGATCAGAGCCGTTCCAGATGCCGTGGAAATCCCGGGTTACTGTCTCCTCACACAAGCGCAATTTTAATGATTTGTGCGACTGGATTACATCTTAAGTCAATGCAAAGACGCGTTTAGACGCTCGTTCTTCTCTGATGCTGCGAATGATACAAATTGGGCGGGAGCTGAAAATGTCTCAACTTGAGCAGATATTTGCGATAACCAATCAGCACAAAGGTTGCTAGGTGACGTATGTAAACAGATGGGTGTTCACCGGTATCTAAAATGGAGGACAAACTGATCGTGTCGGTGTGTGGGCGCCGCGAATCATATGATACCTTTTCATCAACTACCTGACCAACAAGTTTTCTGCTGGTTTGTCCAAGTTTGTTGGATTTGCATGAAAATGTTCCGTTATTGCAAATTAATGCTCCATGTCTTCTTTTCCAACAGGATTCAAGACGCAGGATCAGTTCGAAGTCGGGTCAAGGCACATTTATGCTCGCCATAAGTATGAAAATGTACGCACCCATTTCAAACGATGGTTCCGTCACTGCCCACATACTTTCATGCGTCCTTTACGTTGGCATGGATGTTAACCGTTACATTCTAACGACAAAAAACACAAAGAACCACGGCGACTGTGGAGGAGTTCGTGATAATGTCTTCAGCAACACTGTCAGCAACACATATCCGTTAACTTCAAGGATACGTGGACACAAACGAGAAGCACGGACGGTCTGTATCTGGATCCGTTTGTAACCTTGAGTATAAATGAGCCTCGATACCGAAGAGTCATCTCTGACTTTGTCTTTGTTGGTCGTTTCTTTGCAGAAAAGCTTGAAGGAAACAAACAAACTTGCATTAAAAATCGTGACACTGCAGTTTGGTTCTCAGTTTGTTGCACAAAGCCGAATGTAAAGGTCAGAGGACGACGCTTCGACAGCGCGCATGACAAATGAGGTTATTTCTAATAGGAGGTCAGCTCTGATAAAAGCCAAAAGAAAGACCTGATAGCGTAGATCTGCGCTGCCCTGAATCTGACTGGAAACTGATCTTCAAAAGGAATAACCAGCGGCGAAGCATGAAGGATTATGAGTGCGTGGGTCGGGGTCATTAGTCCTGTAATTTGACTAGGTGATGGATATGGAGCGTGTTTATTACTGTGCTGCAGCGAGCGCGGACACGTTATGTAACTTTTGGCAGAGCGGCCCTCCCTTTCACTCGATCATTTGGTTTATTTGATCGTCACTGTGGATGTTTTAAGTCATTACCCTCTCAAGCCTCATAAACCTTTCAATCACACTCGTAAACCCCGCAGACATCGGCGCACGGGGGTAAAAAGTTCATGTGATGGGGGCTCAGAGTGCAGTTTTTGTCCTCTTCAGACCGCTCAGCTGATGTTTTCTGTCCAGGTCAGATGATTCACTCATGGACTCCTTCTCTGATTTATTGTCCTCTCTGTCATTGCGCCTCTTTCTTCCACTTTCCCACGTGAGTTTTGACAACATTGTGGTCTCGCCTCCCAGCGTAAAGACCGATTTACATAAAGAACAAACTTTATCTCACAAGAGGAGCCAAATCTGAATTCATGTACGTCTTAAATCTTTAGGAGGAGCTGCAGGAGACTCAACGTCTCTCTTCAAACTCGCCTGGAAATGTACAGAGTAACATTTCTGCACACAGTCAAAATGAGCCCTCTGAGAAAGAGACGGTTATTAGACGTCTAGTTTTTTTTTAGACCTAATTTCAACCGTCTAGATCCTGTATATTTTTAGAAGGAATTTAGACTTTGTATTTTAACCCATTATTTGATAACCATTTATTTCAAAAAACAACTGTGCAAATCCAAGTTAAGTCCTTTAACTAAAAATTAACCGCTTGTTAAAAGTATACATGATTAAATATTGAGTGACATAACAGAGCAGTAACACACAGAGGCCTAAATCTTGATGAACTTTATTTTGAAAAGACAAAAAAGTTTTTCTTTATCATTACAAGGATGATAAAGACATGCTGTAAAAATGTCAAACTGCATATTTGAACAGGCCCTACAGTGATTTTCTGTGTAGTGGGGATGAGTATACATAACAGTAAAGGTACTGTTGACAGGAGCGAGTGTACCTCCAGTGCTGTAGGTGGCGACATACTCCCTTTAAGCTTGTCAACCCAAGTTGACGTGTTACACGCAAAACAAGTTTGCATGGGATTAACAGTATTAACGTTGAACAATTTAAAACAATCGTAACTTTTACAGTTTTCTTCTGTTTTTTTTTCTTTTGTATGATAAGAAAGTTTCGTCTTTTTTCCGTTCTTTATTTATCTGTTGTGCAAAACTGTTGTAGGTCAGTTTCAGCCTAACCGACTTGTCTTACATGACACGTAAAATCGATCCCCAACCAAATTAGTTTGATTTAGTGTGATTGTAGTTTAGTCAGACCAATGTCACAAATACAGTTTTGTAGATAGATAGATAGATAGATAGATAGATAGATAGATAGATCATTATGAAAACGGATAGCAGCAGGAATGAATGATCTCCTAAAGCGCTCCGTCCTGCACCGTAAGGAGAGGAGACGCTCCGATCTGTTGCTCCTCAGAGTCCCATGCAAAGGGTGTCTAGTGCAGCTGAGGATTGTGTTCACTTTCCTCCTCATACACCTCTCCACAACAGCTCCCACGGCGTCCGGAAATGTCAGCTGTGCATGCATGCAAAGTGCAATGATGAAGTGATGATAAATGCCGTTTTGACTGGACTCAGCGTTAGAAACTTGGTAAGTAGTTGTTCTGTCAGTATTCAGCGACAGAAACTTAAAGTCGTATCACTAAGTTACAGACAAACTTTAAATAAGGTCACACCAATAATCGCTCTGTGAGAGTGTAACCATGATGAACAGTATAAATCACTTCAATCAAATGTACTTTATAAATGGATTAATCCGTCTTTTCTTCACAAGTCTTCAGATTTTTAATTTCATTCCCATGTTCAACAACAACAAAATATTCAGACGTTAACTCTGATTCAAAGGAAAGCATCCCTTTCTAATCTCAGACCTTTGTTTCAGATCTGCTTCTGTTATTTCTTACAAGGCTAAGCTTTACTACGAGCGGTTTGATTAGGGATTTAAAAAGGATTAAAACTCAGTAAGCAAGTCTGATACTGGATTTGGATTTCCACCTCCTCTTTTAACCCGTTAGTGTTTCAGACAGCGGTGAAAAAAAAAACACATTTGAAGTTTCTTTGGATGTGAAACAGATATTTAAAGGTTTGAACTGTGATTCAGCGGCCGTGTTATTCCAGCATAAGTACACAAAACATAACACAAAATCTTTTAAGAGACCACAAGCAGACATTTACTGAACCCTCACGTCTATTTTCCATCACCTGAAGCTCTCTCCTCTTCTCTCTTCGCCATGTTTTTTTTCCTCTGCACAATTGCACCGGCAGATTGTCCTCCTCTCTCGCTCTTCCCTGCAGACCTGAGGCATAAATTGAGTGGAAATTTTCTTTCACTGAGCAGAGTGATGTGGGTCAGGAGAGCGTGTGTGTACTCTCCGTTACATAATACACCTCCAGCAGGTTAGAACAGAGCAGATATGAACTCCATTCAAACATGACACCTCTTGGCTGAGCCCCAACCTCACACACACACACTCACATAACACACCTTCGCACCTCCCTGTTTGGCCCACAAACCCCCCGAAAAACCACCCTGAGCACCTCCTCATGCCTGAGTTTTTTGGCACACTCGCTTTACCTGCAGAGAAGAAAAAGACCGACTGGAATCTCCTCTTTTATTTTTATTTCTGCAGCCATGTCAAAATAAAAAAGTTATGTTTTGAGACAGCCGTTCTTGAAAAAGTTTACAGGCATGCATGCACTATACTCTGAGTACAGTCACTTATACATGGAGATCCGATTATGGGGCCGCAGAAGTCAGTGAAGCAGGAGGTTTAACAAGATAACATGGATGAAGAAGATAGATTTCAAAACAGAGAGCTAGAACTTAAAATTACCCCAGAGTCACAAATATTCTCATCTTCATCCTTATCTTCCATTTCTATCAACAGTGCAGTGAGAAAATGCTGTTCTATAAAGGTTTTAGGGCCTGACTCCACGATTGGCAATTTAGGGCCTGTGTCTACTAATGACAGCTAAGGGACTGTGTCCTGTACTGGCACTTTAGGGCCTAAGTCCATGATAGGCAATTATAGGGCTTGTGACTACTCTAAGTATCCTAGGGTTTGTGTCCAGGATTGGTAATTTAGGGCCTGTGTCCACTATTAGTACTTTAGGGCCTGTCTCCACCACTGGCATTTTGGGGCCTGTGTCCACTAAAGGCAATTATAGAACCTAAGTCTACTTTAAGTATTTAAGGGCCTGTGTCTACTATTGCCAATTTAAGGGACTGTGTCCACTATAGGCAATTGTAGGGCCTGTGACTACTCTTTGTATTTTAGGGTCTGTGTCCAGGATTAGTATTTAAGGACCTGTGTCCATTTTTAGTACTGTTGGGCCTTTGTCAACTACTGGCATATAAGGGCCTGTGCAATTGTCAACTGTTAGTATTTAAGGTCCTGTGTCCTCTACTGGCATTTTAGGGCCTGTGTCCACTATAGGCAATTATAGGGCCTATGTCTACTTAACACAATTATAGAAACTAAATCTACTTTTTGTATTTAAGGGCCTGTGTCCACTATTTTTTTTTCACACAAGGTAAGCCCACATGCTTAATTTCAGGGCATTTCTTACTAGTGCTCACCATTTTTGGGTCACAAAAGTTTTTCTACAGCGTTTCAACTGAAGTTGGTTTTCAAAGAAAGCTAAAATAGATCAAAGTTGTGTTTGTTAGCATTAGTAACGGGGAACTTTATCCTCAAACATAAGAGTGATTAGTGTTTCCTCTGTTAAGACCTTCACTATGGTCAGCAAAATTTAAGTAGAGTAGAGTGATCAAAAGTGATCAAAATGCTCAGACGTGTGTAAACGGCGTGGAAAAGAGGGTTTTCATATACGCCAGTTCAAGAGAAATATGAGGTTTGAGCAGAAATCATGCAGAGCTGCTCTATAGGTGTCCCAGCCTGACAAACTGAGAAGTGAAAATGAATGAAATACGCCTTCTTTAAGGACCTATTGGATCCACATTATAGCATTTTAACTTGAACCCAGTTTAACTGCCTCTCAGTATTCCTCTATGGAATTTAAACCATGTGTAATCCAGTCGTATTTTTCAAGATGTGTGTGGAGGCGGGGGTTTGCACATTTTTTACAAGTGGTAGCAAATTCTTTCTAATCCTCCGCATGTGCTTTTGTTGCATAATATGCCATCACAAACACTATTTGCCTTGCGATGATGATTTAGAGCGCGGGTACGGGAAACATATGGCTCCATTGAAAAGCTACAGTGCTGCCGCTCTTGTGTGTTCGGTCACATACTCAGCGAGGGATGCACAGATGGAACTTGTCGTTGGAGTGACTTGCTTCTGCAGCTGGCGGCGTGGAGAATTTACATGCAGGAGAGGAAAAAAAAAAAGGGCGTCATTAGAAGAGGGCTCAGCTGAGGAGAGGGTACAGACGAACGCTGCCGTCAAGCTGTCTGCTAACGAGACGCAGAAATTTACATCAGAGGCGTTTAGCTGACGGTCTTATCCAGAGAGACTCTCAGGGAGGAGCTCAGTGTCTCGCTCAGAGACATTTCATGGCTGTTAATGGACAGATTGGCTGTCGTAGGAGTTTGAACTTCTAACCTCAGGCGTGCAAGGAAAGGCCCTCTGAACCTCTAAACTGTCCACTTTTCTCAGAGTAAACACATGGCTGTGGACAGAGTTGAAGACATGCCAGAGCAGTAAGAGCAGCACTCAGGAAAACAATTGGAGAATAACAGTGTCAGATGAAGTGGTCTGGTGAAGAACATCCTGAGTGCTTCAAAGAAATATGTTTTTTTTAACTTCTTTTTGCTGCTGGATCACCAATTTTATAACACCCCTAAAATGATGACCCTGTTTTTGTCTGTTGGACCGATATGTGAGTGTCTATGCAAAGATTATTGATACAGAATCAAATCTAAGAAGAGCAACTAGTGGCATCTCGCAATGATCTGTACTTGGACCCAAGTTATTTTAGGGCCTGTGTCCACTATTGGCACTTTAGGGCCCATGTACACTATAGACAGTTATGTAGCCTATGCTCACTGTAGGCAACTATTGGGCGTGTGTCCGCTTAAGGTATTTTAGGGCCTGTGTCCACTATTGGCATTTTAGGGTCCGTGTAGAATATCTACAATTTAGGGCCTGTATCTACTACTGACACTTTAGGGCCTGTGTCCACCATTGGTGTTCTGGGGCCTGTGTCCACTATTGGTGTTTTGGGGCCCATGTCAACTATTAGTATTTTAGGGCCTGAGTCTATTATTGCCATTTTAGAGTTTTTGTCTTCTAGTGGCACTTTGGGGCCTAGGTCCACTATTGACAATTAAGGGCCTGTGTCCATTATAGGCAATCAAAGAGCCTGTGTTCACTGATGGCAATTATAAGGCCTGTGTCCACTTTTGGTATTTAAGGGCCAGTGTCCACTGTTGGTGTTTTGGGGCCTAAGTCTTCTATCGGCATTTGAGAGTTTTTGTTTTTTAGCAGTATTTCAGGGCCTGTATCCACTACTGACACTTTAGGACCTGTACCCACTTAAACGTTTTAGGGCCTATGTCCACAATTTGGACATTGTTTAAAAGATACTCTTGAAGGGTCTGGTAATTTGGAAGTTGCTCCATTTGCAGATGATACCAGTTTATTTTCTTCTGAGGAGGTCATGAAATAATTACTGGAAAATGAAGAAGCTGAGCTGATACAGTTTAAAACAGGGTTTGATTATCATTAAATGTTTAATTATGATTTTTTATTTTTGGTGATGAGATTAACTTCGAAACAAAACAGACAATTTTGATAAAAGATGAACATAATTTTTCTTTGCTGTTTCTCATCAAAAGTCTTAAACTTAAATCAAATTTTTGACTTTTGTTTTCCAAATTATTCATATTTTTTTTATCTAAGGCTAAATGTTATATTACAAACACTGTCTGTCACAGGACGATAACCATAAAGCAGGTAAAATGTCTGAATATTTTCTGAGCGTCCCGCCCTGATGCGCCTCAGCACGGACAAACAGCGGCGTCTCTTTGAAACGCCATCTTCAAAGCCCGTCCTGGTCTGCTGAGGTGTGAAATATGTGGAACAGCACCACCCACCCACCAGCAGCCCTCTCTCCTTTCTCCACAGCGGAGGGCGGCGCCGAGATGCCTGCAACCAGATGTTGGACAGCCCTAACACTGGGGGTCAAAGGTCACGGCTGGATAGCTGAGCTCAGGGAGGGTCTGTAGGAGGGTGGGTGCGTAATGGCTGTTGAACCAGACCATGTAGCACTTCATCAGCTGGAGACAAACAGAGCGCGGCCTCCCGCGACCTTGTGTGGTTTGAATTAGGGCCGCCATGATGGAGGTCCGCTAATTGAATCCCACCCTCGCTAATAAATAACAGCTGATCGATATTTTTAGGAGGTAATTTGTTCACTGCCGGCTTCTCATTGATTGTGTTTACCTTATCAGCGTCTTTATTTTTATGGCTTCATCTTTAAAAGCTGTGCAGACATTAGATCATAATCTGGTTTGGATCAGATTACAGCTCTAATTATCGCCTCTCTGCTCCAGGATCCCTAAACTAACTCTGACTTTAAATCGCCAAAGAGACGACAACAAAACCCGACTTAACAGACTATTTATTCATCTTTATTTGAGGTCAGTGGGTTTAACGCATGCTGATTTACATCCTAATAAATAAGACAAACACACCTCGTCAAGTTAGCCGCCGTTAGACCAACGGGTAATAAAGACGCTCATTTTCGTCACATGACCACAGTCTGGATTTAAAGGGATATTCTGGTGCAAAATTAAGTTATGGTCAAACACACTGTAACACCGAGTTAGGCACCCCGAGAGATGAATGAATGTTGTCAACCGCTTACTTCTGTAGTTTTACCAACTTTAGTAACGACCGCAGAAAGACCTAAAAGACCAAAAAAAACTTTGTGTTTCTCCGTCTACAGTCAAAAACTTTCCTTTCCTACTGTTTTAAAGTGAGCATCACATTTGTTATACTCAGCCTACTAGCGTTTTTGCATTATAAAAACATGCTATGACTTAACTTAAAAGTTGTAGTTTGAATATTTTCCGGCAGGTGGATCAAACTAAACAGTTCCCCTTTATATCCACTAAAGACACCATTCAGGCTGCCGAAGGTCGATATGCCTTTTTAACTCGAATAATATTTATTTTTAAAACTTTCATGAACAAGTTTAAGAAGAGTAACTTGTGGTGTGCCACAGGGTTTAATACTGGGACCAAAGTCATTCATACTTTATGTTAAAAATATCCGCAAACTGTCAGAGAAGTTAAAGCTCATTTCATTTGCAGATGATACCATGTAATTTTGTTCGAGGGCAAACATAAACCACGATTGAAAATGAGCTTTAAAATATAAAACATGGTTTAACCCTTCTGCAGTATTGGTGACAAAAACGTCCACTAAGGTCACTTTTTCCTCTAAATTTAACCATATTTTTTTCTGTATGCTATGATTTTAGCTGACAAACATTATTTTACAAATTTTATTTTATTTTTTTTTAAATTTAGTAGTTTTGATCAAGAGGTTGATTCAAAGATTTATGCAAAAAAAAAAAAATTAAAAAATATTTATCTGATATTTTTTTTACGCGGTATGGGGGTTAAAGTGCAAAGTTTTCACTAAATGAGAATCAGTTTCAGGGGTCAATCTATGGATCAGCCCTTTTTTGTCACTTTCTGACAATTTCAAACCTTTAAAACGATAATAATCTTTGTATTCTCTTAGATGGATTTTCTCCAAAATGGCAGATTTCTTGTTCCTTTTAAAAGAAAGACCTGAATAAATATTAATGCCGTTCAAATCCAGGTCTGTATTTATGGACGCAGTGTAACGTAAATGGGACACATCATGAAACTGGATGTGTATTCAGAGTAATGAAGGAGCAGCAGGATGTGTTTTAGAAAGCTTTCTCTTCGGCGCAGGAGGATGAATATAGACGCTCCTAAAAATGTCCTCCAGTCGAGCAGATTTCCATAAACACGGGTGAGATGATGCTGATCAGATTCACTCAGAGGTGGAGGTTCAGAGACAGAGGAAGTTACAGTCGTCGTCCTGTTGTTGAAGTTGTTGTTGTTGGAGTTCGGTGTTGTTGGAGGACGGAGGCTCAGAGAGATTTTGTCAGAAATAAGGATCAGGATGGTTTTCACTCCCCGGGAAATCTTCTTGATCTAATTTTCTCCGAGAGCTTTTCTGCTCTCTTGTCGCTCTGAGCCGGCGTGTGAACCTCGGTTCATGCTTTCAGAATAATGTCTGCACAGACTCCATACCGCCCCGCGTGTGTAGGTGTCTGCTTTTATGTCTCTGTGTGTGGATCTACTGTCTGCTTTCTCATTATCTCCTGGGACTGAAGCCTTCGTGGGCTTGAATTTGACCATCACCTCCATGTATTTTGGATGAAGTGGTGGAGAACAGAGCTTTGTCTCTGACATGAAGGTGATTCTGATAAAAATAGAGGCAACGATAACTTAGATTCAGATTTATTAAGTCAGTCATGTTTATTTCAAAAGCTGAAGTCCGTCATATAAATGTGTTTGGAAACTAAAATCTGTCTTCTTGCAGATTTCTGTTATCTTGTTCTCTGATATCAGTCTGCTTTAATATCTGATAATAGCGTTTGTTTCTTTGTGGGCTAAATATGATGCTTGTTGTTTGCACAGTTTGTAGTTTTCCTCATCTTTTTCATTCTTGAGTTGCTACATTTCCGTGCATGTTTGAAAATCCACCTTTGCAGCATCTTTGCACATATATCAGTGTTAGAATAATGTGCATAAATGTATATAGAAGTTATCATTATTCCTCATATTCTTATGTAAGAGTTTATACTACAAGTGTAAACTGCTTTGACCTCTTTTAATACATTATATAAGAGTATTTTTATCATATAAGAGTGTTTCCTAACTTCTCTCTCCAATAGATTTACTACACAGCAGAACAATGTTTCCTTCAGTTTTCTGTGACTGTGTCTTTCCTATCAGCAGGTGGGGGTGTGTGAGTGATGGATCCTCCGCTGTAAATCGTGGGGAGTTTTTGAGGAGGTGCCGCTGTTATCAGAAGGAGCTCGTTAGATGCCGCCTTGACCTTCACATATTCACAAGTTGTTCATTATTATGCTTTATGAGAGTGCTTACGTTGCTACACATATTTTTCTCCACCCTTTTAGAAACATTGTGTAACCAGGGACAAGACTAAATAAAAGAGACTGGGCGGAAATACCTTTAGAGTGGTTTCGATATAGTACCTGAAGCTATCTCGGTCCATTCTCCTCGAGTATATACCATTGTCTTTCTCTTCTTTATATGTTATCAGGTAAATGCAAGCAGGTTTTAAACCTAACAATCAGATATCTAGGGTGTCCTACAGTTGATTAAATCTGCATGCACAGTTGCACAGTTAAGTTGAGCCACAGTTAAAGCTCAATTAGGTGATTTTTGTCACACCTCACAGGGTTAAACAGAGAAAAAAGGACCCAAAATACAGAACGAAGGATTTCTTAAAGCAAAAGCAAAAAGAAAAAGTCCAAGAAAGTGTTCAAACAAAACAAAAGTCCAAAAAACACAAGGAGACAACTGTGTACACTGCCATCAACATACAGTCAACCAACAAGGACAGGGGGAAGACACAGACTTTATACAGACGGGGAAACGAGCAACAGGTGAGGCAGACGAGACACAGGTGAGACTCATGAGTGATTAACGAAGGAGGGAAAACTAGAGAAGTAGAAACACAAAGAAATCAACTCCTACAAAATAAAACAGGAAATAAACACTAAGAACGGATTTAAAGAATAAAACACTGAGAACAGGAGGGAAACAGAGTCAAAGACAAACTGAAAATACACTCAGATAAGAAAACCAGGGAAAAACTAAATCAACAGAACATATCATGATAAATTTAGTTTGACTACTTCATCGTTTAAAAGTTTAAAAGCATCAGATTATTGACAGACATGTCAATAAAAATGTGTATCAGTTCAGGAGGTCGGAGTCGCAGACTTCTCCTGCCAAGAGCTGAATGATTCAGTGATTTGGTGAACGAATCTTTTGAACGAATCTAAAAGAACTGCCATGCCCATCACTACGATCCCTTTTATTGCTTATTTCATTATGCAACCACTAGTTGGATCATGAAAATTGGCTTTAAATGAGAACTTCAGCTAATTTATGCAAAACGTAGTGAAAGATGCAGCAAACTGGAAGCTGCCGGCTGCAGGGTCTCAGGTGGACGGGTTTTCTTTGCATTAGCGTGGAGTTAGCGTTGGATATGAATGCTCCTCTGAGTGTGTAAGCAGCTGACACACGCACTGTACGCATGTTTGTGTCGATCCCATATTGAGAGAGACACATGTAAAACAGAGCGGATCTGAGATGCAGAATTTATTTCCCATTTATTTTGTCGTTTACACCTGATAACGCCCCATAAACTCTCGCCGGGGCGGCCGATCCCGCCGCAGCCGTCATAATCAAAAGCCGGCGCTCTCCCCATCCATCTCCGCACTCCATTCAGGCTAACAACATTACTATTCATCATCAGTATTCACACCTGTCCAAATGCGTAACCTCATCGCCTCGAGGGAGGAGAGAAAGGAGGAAGAAAAGGAGTCGTCCCCATCTCGCCGAGGAGGAGGAATCCAATTCTCTTTCCTGCGTTTCCTGCGTGCATTTGTCATACATCAAGCAGACAAGTGAACTCCCTCCTCTCCTCCTCGCACGCAGCTCCTCTCTGACCCGGCTGGCTTTGTCCTGACTCATAAAGAGAGCTAAATGAAAACCATCCCAGCCCTCCAGCCCGTCGAACCCCCCTCCGTCTGTCGCTCTTGTCTCCCGACGACCGAAACTCATTTCCTCTGTGCGGCGTGTCAGAAACACACACGATATCGAAATCAACGTCAGGAAGGCCCGTCCTCCCGACCCCTCGACTACACCCGTCCGACCGTTTCAGGAGGAATCCCCTGAATGTGGGAGCGGACCTGCAGATGTTGGAGCGCTGTCACCCTCCAAAAACCCCCCGACCATCTCCCAAACGCCCCCCTACACCCGACCCACCGCTCCCATCTGGATTTTTGTTGTGCGCATACAAACAGATGAAGACACACATGCACAACTGCACCGCAACAGCTGGGCTTTTACACTCGTATGACTACACACACACACACACACACACACGCTTACAGGATCACACTCTTCAGTTCAGTCAGGTAAACTAATAACCTGCGCGCTGTGAAGCTGTCACACAAACACACAAACACACAAAAACATTCAGCCCATAAAACCCTGTCTACACACACACACACACACACACACACACACACACACACACACTAGTGTTGCAAAACTCTACAACTTGTGCATTCACACACCCACACATGCTGACACATGTACACACAAAATAAACCCCCTGCCTGCTTGCACTTGATTACACATGTGCACACACACTTACACACAAACACACACACACACACACACACACACTTGGACATCCCAGAGCCTGGACTCTCTGTTTTTCCATTATGTGTCCTGGCAGCTGAGCGCTTCAGCAGTAGAAACATTGCAGCAGTGGGAGACGGAGCTGATGGCCGAGCTCATAAAAGCCTGATCCACAAACTCGCTCACACACCCACACACACCAAACACACACAGACACACACACACACACACAAACACAGCAGTCAGGATTACATGAATATGTTGCACAAGTTTTGGGCAGACCTCTGAAAACTCACAGCAGGTTTTCATCACTTTCTGATTTTAAATGAAGAGATAAAAACATTTTATTTTGTGTTTTGTTTTTTTGTACACTGTGTACCAGGCGTGAAAAATCGACATAATCACATCAATCGATCTTTGGAAATATGAAAATGTACAAACAGGACTTCTTCAACAGCAGACCTCCTCGTGTCGACCCCCTTACAGCAGAGTCAGGCTTTAAAAATGTCAATAAAGTTTCTGTCCTCTGAGGAACTGCTGCAACAAAACATCTCAGACTAACAAAAATCTGATGGTTCATTTGAGTCGGTTCAACGTTAAAAAACTTTATGACTAAAGTAAAGACAAAAATATGTGACAACTTATTACTGATTTAAACTGGACCAAGACCAGAAAGTTCTTTTAGATCCAAAATCGCTGCCAAAATTTCCCCTGACAGGACAAACTTTTTCAACAGCCGACTGTGTTAAACTGAAACGACTCAGTGGGGAAAATGGTGGATAATATCAAGTGTTGGCAACGTTACTGAATACTGGTAATTGGTAATGTTTACTTGGGAAGTCCCAATCCCAATCCCAATTTGGAATTTAGAAATTTGAAATTCGGAAATTTGGAAACTCAGAATTTAGAAATTTGGAATTCGGGAAATTTGGAAACTTGGAATTTAAAACATGAAATTTAGAAAATTGGAGTTCAGGAATTCAGATACTTGGAATTCGGAAATTTGTAAACTTGTAAACTTGTAAACTTGGAATTTAGAAATTTGGAATTCGGAAATTTGGAAACTTGGAATTTGGAAACTCGGAATTCGGAAATTTGGAAACTTGGGATTTAGGAATTTGGAAACTTGGGATTTAGAAATTTGGAATTTGGGAACTTGGAATTTAGAAATTTGGAATTAAGGAATTTGGATACCCGGAATTCAGAAATTTGGAAACTTGGGATTTAGAAATTTGGAATATGGAAATTTGGAAACTTGGAATTTAGAAATTTGGAATTTAGAAATTTGGAATATGGAAATTTGGAAACTTGGATACTTGGAATTCGGAAATTTGGAATTCAGAAATTTGGAAACTTGGAATTTGGAAACTTGGAATTTGGAAATTTTGAATTCAGAAATTTGGAAACTTGGAATTTCGAAACTTGGAATTTGGAAATTTGGAATTCAGAAATTTTGATTCTTGGAATTCGGAAATTTGGAAACTTGGGATTTAGAAATTTGGAATTCGGAAATTTGGAAACTTGGAATTTGGAAACTTGGAATTTGGAAATTTGGAATTCAGAAATTTGGAAACTTGGAATTTGGAAACTCGGAATTCGGAAATTTGGAAACTTGGAATTTAGAAATTTGGAATCTTGAAACTTGGAAATTTGGAAACTTTTATTTAGAAATGTGGAATTAGTAGGAATAATAAAGGAATATCTTACCTTTTTTACTGATCAGAGATCTGTGATCTGGACCCATCATCCCACTCTGAAGACTTTTACTTCATTTGCCGTCACTGTCCCCAGATTGAGAGACTTCCAGTTCTCTCATCTGTTTGGACAGTTTATAGGTCAGTTTATCAGCCTGTATTCACATGAAAAGACCTCCTCCTCTGTGAAAACATCAGTAAAATAAACAGAAATAACATTTTAAATCTCTAAATTCATCCTTCTCTAACCTTCACTCTGGCTGTGGATGACCCTTTTGAAACCTGTGCAACATACACACTGTACATCAGGCGTATAAGACAAAACGTCCCAGAAACAGCCTCAAATATAATTAATGTCCGATGTTGCATAACCTCTCTCTGACATTTTTAGTAGTCTTCAAACTAAAGCACGATTTATAGAAGCGGGGCAGGGATCCAACAGGCCGGCTGTCTCTCTAATCCCCGTTCCCAGTTTGGTTTCTGGACGGGACGAGAAACAGCGAGTACCACTGCGGAGAGAAAAGGACAGCACGGCATTAGACTGCATTCAAACACTGCAGGCAACAAAAGTCAATAAGCCGATTTCTTCACACATTACAGAGACGGTCATTAGCCGAGACGTGGACTCAGTTACAGCAGCTGCCGAATCGTTAAATCTCATTTCTTCATATGTTGTTGTTTATTACATAAAGGGAAGGAGAGAGGGATACAAACAGCCCTGTGGGCTTTGGGCAGTAACCAATTAGATGAAATGGGATTCAGAGTCTTTGTTGGCCGGCTCTCCTGCCTCTCCTGTTTCCTGTCACACCGTCGTGTTTGAATCAGCGATCAACTTTCAAGAGACGCTGAATTTTTATTGTTTCTGTTCCCGGTGTCAGATCTAGAGTGTACATATCTATCTGGAGGAAGGATTTTCTGTTTTAGGATATTTCTAGAAAATTTCAAGAACTTTGACCTGGAAATTGACCGGACTCCACTCCTAACACATACATCCATGACGTGTTCTCTCAAGAGGCTGATAATGAAACGAACAGACCGAAGAGCAGCCATGAAATTTGTCCTCGTATGATAATGACTGATGGTTTGACTCTCCTAGAAGTTGACAGTTTTGTTTTTGAACTATAAAAACTTTCATATCCAAGTTATGACTTAAAGCGTTGTTGCCTTTATTAGACAGGACAGCTAAAGATAGAATACAAAAGGTGTGTTACCCAGAAATCGCTCCCAGCTTGTTGACCTAGCTTACGCATGTCCCCCCTATCGTCCTCTGCAATTATCCATTCCAAGCCCGTTGTAGAGTGCTGCACAAAACAACTTTATTCCAGGGTGTACGGACACGGTAAGAAAACTTTCTTAACTTTCTTAAAGAGACAGTAACTGTTTAATCCAATAAGCAAACAACAACACACTTTTACCTTACACAGCAAGGAAGGGTCATGGCCTGGAGTCGAATACGCTACCGCTATGACAAGGAATGCTGCCTCTTATTTTTGCAGGCGTGCTTAGGTCTCTTAAAACCACCAGCGCCCCACTGTGGTTGGTAAACCCTACCCTCTTGGTGTTTATCATTGCGCTCAAAGTGCGTACAGCTTTATACGCAGAGATGCGTTTCTGCAGCAGTAGATACATGTGACATTGGTTTGACTGTACGCTCATTTTTAGCACAATATCAATATTGAACATTTTTGAAAAGTCAGATTTTAATACCTGTACCCTGCAGCAGACCAACCGTCCCTTTAAGAGCATCGATTTCACCTGTGTCGCATTACTATGAACTGTAGGAGTGCAGGAAAGTTAAGACTCCGTACTGGGATTTACTTGTAAATTAAACCCACAGATAAATCCATGAGTGGTCCAGCTCTTATCTGGAGCGGCACTAAGAGTTTAGTTTACGAAGCTCGTCCTCGCTCTGTAAATAAACTCGTTAACCCCGCTCTTCTTCCTCCTCTGATTGGTTTGACTCCTTATTAGCAGCACATTCATCTCGAACTCCCCACCCTGCCTCACAGCCCTGAATGTATGCTGCTCCATATGTGAGTGCCATGGCATCCAGTCCTGCCTCCGCAGACAGCGTCTCCATGGTGATCTCGGGTAATGAGTAAGCGTGCCACGGCACAATCAGCCGCTCGCTCATTAGCGCATATTTATAAACCCGACCTGGTGGCAGCTCGCTGCGTTAAACCACCCAGGCTGGCAGAGCCCCGTCCGCGGATGAGGAGCGAGGTATGAAAGACTTACAGGGCCCGGTCCGAACCAGCATCCAGTAATGAACAGCAGATTGCTATGGGAACAAGGTCATCCTGTTATTACCTCGCTGGGCAAACAGTAGGTGACGACCGGGACTCGAAGCATGGCAGGACATATGTGGTCGTACACTTTCTCCAACCTTAGCCTCAAACTTTAATAAATGTTGTTTTTTAATGATACATACGGCGGTGTTGGTATGGGTTTATGTAACGCAGAGAGAATCAGTCTGTGGATGTGTCTCAGTCTACAGGGAGTGGAGCCTTTTTCTCCCAGTGAAGCAAAATATACATGAAAATAATGAGATTGTCTATGCGATGCTACACCTATGGCAACGCAGGAAATTGAGTAGAAGCAGCATATGTGTGTGTCAACAGAGGTTAAAATTATATAACTATCTCTTTTTATAGAGTGTTTTTTAATCATGCGTCTCATGTTATCTCCCTGTGTGTACAAACCTGCTCATTTAGAGAAAAGTTATTATCTTATGCTTAGAGAAACATCTTCTGTAAAGATCTTGTGGGACAAAACACAATCCTGTGTGCATGGTAAATTTACTTTAAAGGTCTGTTAATCATCTATGAAACCTACAGAGAGCACGACTGTCACATTTATTCTTTACGCCGATGATAAACTACTTACACACGTCTGTCTTACCCAGGGTTTCCACCGTATCCGGAACAGCTCTGATCAGGAACGGCAACGAAAGTCTACGCACGTCTTCCCTATCGTCCACTGCAATTATCCACTCCAGGGTGTACGGACACGGTAAGAAAACTATATGTCTCTGATCTGGTCAGAGTCTCTCTAGGGAATTTTCTGCCCACAGCTTGACCCGGGATTTTCACTGCGTCCGGAACGGCTTCGATCCGGAACGGTGGCCATTTTCGCCGTCCACCTTCCAGATCTCTTTGTAAGGGAAATTTCGTGGTGGATTACAGACAGCAGGAATTGGGGGAGGACAAGAACCCGCGGATTCACGTGCAATCAGACGATAACAAGTTGGGGGTTAGCTTAAATCAAAGATATAGTCAGCCGCCTCTCTTTGGTTTTCGTAACCGGTTGGCTGGTGCACACCCTGTTGAAGTGGTTCACTAATCAGAAAGCTTGTGTAACACACAGTATCTACGTTTATTGAAAGGAGACATGGCCGCCATGACAAAACTGATTTGCCGCTTGAGTCTCGAAGCCGTTGCTTGACGTATCGTTTGCCACCATCATGAGTTACTGGAACTAGAAGTGACCACATTTGATATGAACTTCTTCCTACGAGGCCTACCGGTCCGCCATATTCGGACTTGTCATTTACAGGCTGCCTTATCTAGACTTCCATTCTGTTCTACTGTTTTTGAGTCGCCCCCTGCTGGCCATCGAAGTTTTTTAGACCACTTCATCCAGGATCGATCATTTGGAGGATGGTGTTTTGTCCCGACATGTTGATCACAGACTTGTAGAAGTGCTGTGATTGTGATGGTTGCTGGTTCGATCCCCGGCCATGACACTCAGCTCCACTCTCTGTTCCCCACATTTTCTCTCTCTTAGAAACAAGGGGGAACACGCCACGAAAATATAACTTTATTTTTGTCCACAAACTTTTGTCTTCTCAGCAAACTGACTGGGTGTTTTTAGACCAATTAAAGCGAGCCATCCTGACTGAGCCGTTTCTATAACGTGTCCATGAATCCAGAAATCAAACCCACCATGAAAACGATAAAACTCGGGGTGGGCGAGTATTGTTTATGAAATCAAATCTCTCGCCCCCTGCGCCATAACTTTACGATAATGGAAATTGTCAGAGGTTTGTAAATGGGGACGGCGAAGCAATTTGGTGCCACGTGTCCCTCCATCCACAATCCACTCCCCCCACCCTCCTAGACCACCTCTAAACAATCAGCCCGGGTAATGAAAGTGATAATGGTAATCTTTACGGCCCACCATGCCAGCCCAAGACACCGGCGACCCCCCGACACTGATTTAATTAGCTTTCTCCTCCTTCTCCTCCTGCCTGTCTCTCATCAGCCTCGACCCTATAAACTATTAATGGCCTCTTAGGCAATTTAGCTTGATCACTCAAACTGGTCTGCATTCAGCGCGCCTGAAAATGTTTGAAGAGATTAGCAGGAGGGGGAAAAACGCTTGCCTGAAAAAGACGAAAAAAAAAAAAACCCTAGAATAAACCACAGTGGGAAAAAAGAGGGGGCGGGGGGGTGATTAATCTCCATCAAAAGGAGCTTTATCATAGTCTGGGCGCCCAGCGAGAGGAGAGGACCGGTTATTTTCTCCTGTTTTAATGATGATTCAACCAGTGAGGCTCTCATGCCAAACCGTGTAAGCGATACATTTGTTGTGCTTGTGTAATGAGGTTTGATTCCAGGCGAGAAAAAAAACACAAACACGGGACAGTCATGAGGAACGGTTTCTAAAAACACCGACGGGCCGCAGCGGAAAGACCTGACACGTAACCACCAGCAACGGATAATCTCCTGTTTGTGTTTAATCTGAGTACAAATGTCCAGATTTTGGAAAAGTTACTTCGCACAGTTGATGTTTTGGAGAATTTAAGGGTTCCCAATCGTTTAAAGTTGATATTAAATTGAAAATTGGACAAAGACATGTGGTTTTGACCCCATGTGGAGACTTCCACTCCAGAGTCATGAGTGTTTTTAAAGCAGTGCTGACTCAGCCGCTCTGAATTCCCGTTTTTATACCCGTCAGGTGACTCACCTGTTGGAAATGAACCTCGTTAGATGGTTGATTGTCATCCAGGTGTTTTCTTTCATCCTCCCTCCTATATTTAAAACAACCATTAAAAAAACAAAGATGTGTGTTTTCTTTTCACAGTTTTCACACAGCATGCTCCCTTTTATGGGTTCAGGGTGGTTCTACTCTTCTCACAGGAAACAGTGACCTCTTCCTGGTGTTGTGTTCTCAGTGAAATGTGACGTGTTCAGGGGTCAGTGTCTTACTCACAGAAACATCCACACTCGACTGTCGGTGGTCGTTTATTTTCTCACATGTTCCAGGAAATTAAGCAGACAATGTTCCGGTCGAAGGACGTCTTTGTTTTCCTGGGAAAACTCGGGTCATCCATTCACCACGTCATTTCCACCCCTCCAGGATGAATGGATGACTCCCATACTGTGACCATAGGCTGATCTTATTGAAGTGGTTGAAGAACTGACACTGTCACAGTTCTGTTCAAAGAGTTTTTGTTTGTCTAGACCCTGATATGGTCCACACCTACAGGCTAAAGATGCTAACTGCACTCCAAGAAGACCTGGCAGCTCAGGTGAACCAGCTGCTCCTCCACTCAGTCCCAGGTAGGGTGTCCAGTTTTGGTTCTTGTCCAAGGTCCATGATGCTATGACAGATAAACATTTGTGGGGATGGATATTGGCAGTCCAAAGTGACGGGAACATTCAAGATACAGAAACATGAGAAGTTCAGGAATATAAAGGCCTGAAAGGGGAGTGACCCCCAATTTTTACCGCATCCAGAACGGCAGCTATTTTCGCCAACTGCCAACTCCTACCTGATCTGGTTGTGAGGTGAATTTCGTGACGGATTATGGAATCACGAGAACTCACGAGAACCTGTGGATTCACGTGCAGTCACGCAATAACAAGTTGTCTTCAGTCACGTAGTCTAACCATATAAGCAGTAGATTGTGTCCTTCCAGAGGAGGAAATCTACTTCTAGACTTCTAGAATCAGCATCTCCTCATCCATGATGTCATCAGGGTGAAATGACGTCTAAAAACCTTTCACTTGTTCATCTCCGCCCGTTTGTATGGTGTGATAAACGATCGGCCTGAATCATGGACTGTTTTATTTTGAAAGGGAGCCGGATGTTTTATTTTGTGTCTGTGCCCAACTTCCTTTCCAGCACGGGTCTGGCGATCCGCGGCGGAACAGAAATAAGCCGGTGGAAACTGACGTGTTAACTTTAATGGTTATGATCAGCTATGATCGACGGATACAGCCTTTTCGTAGCCATTCCGGTTGCGGCGGAAATTGGGGGTAAGACACTGCTAAACACAGTTAAGATGCTTTCAGGTCCAATCTCCAAAGAGACTCAAGACTATCTAAGAAGAAGGGTGAGTTATATTATTCGGGACATGTAAAGACTTTGGATTTGGAAGCTGTCTCCTGCCTTTAAATCAGGGTTTTAGACCACATCGACTTATCAGTGTAGCATTTATTCAAATATAACAAAAGTCCATGTTTCCCAGATCAGAGTCTGACATGGATAATAAAGGAGTTTCAAATCTGATTAAGACTGGGATAAAACACAAAAGCTATTAAAATGTTCAGCTGATATCAATGACAAACATTTATAGTTTGACAGGCCTAATGGAAAACAGAGCTGTGCATGTTCCCATTTGTACCATGAATCACTCCAGATGAGACCAGACAAACGTATAATAATAATGAAATAATGCTGCAGACCAGGACCGCAGTGAAACACGAACATGTTGTAGCTGTGCAGAGGCCCCAGGCCTGAAATATCTCCTCTTGTCAAAGTTTACGGCTTTGCCCTTTATCTGACTGCAGATCAATGCAACAACATCTCATATTTTGTTAGGGGCCGGTAAACTAACCAACTGGAAACAGATTTTTTTTATTTTTCCTCCACGTTTTCTGCCAAAGGGCATGCACATACATGCACACCCACACCCTGACAATGGATGACCAGTGTTCCCAGTAATGGAGCACATTTGAGTCCCTGCAAAAAGCAACCATTATATCCATGCATGATGGAGCGTGGAAGTCATCCCTGCATCAATAGTGGTAGAGCACACTGTGTTTATGTTTCCTCTGACAGAAAACAGATTTCTGCTGGAGGTCAGGCTTTTACCAAGATCCATACAGAAAAAAAAACTTTCACACACTTTGAAAGATCAGAATAAATAAAATAAACAAACACGTGAAAGTCGGAGTCAGTCATTTCCTATTGTTCCTGCCGTGATTGACTTCTGTCCCTCTCAAAGAAATGCACCCCGCCTGCTTTCTCTTCATCACCTGAGGCGGTCGCCGGTAATTCAATCAATACCATCAATTTCAATGTTTACCCTTCTGTGTTCAGCTCTGGTTTCAATCCAATACGTCCAAAATTAGGCCAACATGTCCATCTGTTGTTGAGTTAACATTTATGGATGCCACTTCTCATTTTTCACCGAGTTTGTCCTTAAGTTTCGGGTGATTGAGAGAGTTTTACATTCATGTTGTTGAAGTATTTTCAAGCGCAGGCATCTGGAGACGATCTGCAGACTCAAACACGATCAAAATGCTGTTATATATGAAAGTTCCTGCTAACCACTGTTTACTATCAAAGATTACACGGTCATCATCTTCCTGACGCTCTTTGACTCCGTTTAAAGCCTCTTACTCACGCAGCATGCATGCAAAATGCTAATGGGCGAGTTTTCTATCTATTAACATGGTGACCTCCACAGAGAAATGTGCCTGGGGATATTAACAGCGGGCCATTTGACAATAATGGGACCTTTAATCTGAGTTTGAGCCAAACGCATGAATGACATTTCCCAGTCAGTGTTCCCATTCACAAACAGCGGGGGACCAATCACAGCGAGGCACAGTTCAATTAGGTAGAAACAAAGCACATCTGCCAAGGGTGAGGGGGTTTACATTAAGCGCTGAACGCCACGCTGAACACCCATTTTCTTCAACCTTTAGGTGCCGAGTTAAAGTCAAATGTTACACTAAACGACTAAATTTTGTTGAGAATTCAGCGCCAAGCGATCAAACCTGATTTTGAGTGATTTCCAAGTCAGTCAGACGTGATTTAGAGTGCCGCAAAATCTTTATTTAAAATGTTTGAAGAGAAACTGGACGCAGAAAGTCCCTTTCAGTCTGAAAAAGTGGAGAAAAGATGTGTTTTAAAATATCGACCAAGACTGACCCCCAATTTCCGCCACGACCGGAACAGCTATGAAAAGGTCGTATCCTCCGATCGTAGCTGATCATAACCATTCAAGTTGACGTGTCAGTTTACACCGACTTCTTTCTGTTCTGACGAACAAGTGAAAGGTTTTTAGACGTCATTTCACCTCGATGACACCATGGATGAGGAGATGCTGATTCTAGAAGTCTAGAAGTAGATTTCCTCCTCTGGAAGGACACAATCTACTGCTTAAATGATTAGCCTACGTGGCTAAGAGACAACTTGTTATCGTGTGATTGCACGTGAATCTGCAGGTTCTCGTGAGTTCTTATGATTCCTGCTGTCCGTAATTTACCACAAAATTGGCCAAACAGATCCTGTAGGACGGTGAAAAACACTGCCGTTCCAGACGCGTTGAAAGTTGGGGGTTACAGTGGAGCAGTCGGCCATGTTCTCTATCGTCTGCTTGTCTGTAATGAAATTGTGTTGAATTTATCAGAATAGTGTAAATTCTGTTCTTGGCTAAATATGTTAATAAAGGCTGTGTCTTGTTTAAAAGTGACGACCAATCAGAGGCTGCATCTGTGATCAGCTGACCTGGAAAAGTCCAATGAGAAGCAGCCTTCTCTGTCCTCGGTCCTTTGGTGAAGTACTGAAGTACCAGCCATGTGAAAAGACTTTAATGTGGATCAGGGGAGAGAGGATTCATGAGAGATGGACTTCTGTATGATCTGATGATGTTAAGAAACTGTCCACAGGGGGCGCCAAAATCAACACCAAGACTAAAGTTACCTCAGAAGTCAGATGTCGGTTTCAATAAATCGGAGGCCTGAAACAAGATGACTTCATCTTCGAAAGTAATTTTAGCGCTTACCTTATATTCGGACAAGGCAAGTGCTAAAATAACCTTCGTAGATGTAGCCATTTTGTTTCCGCCTCTGATTTTGGTAACTGAAATGCTTGGAACTCTGGTGTGACGTCATTTTCTGCTCGAACTTCTGACTTCCGAGGAAACTGGAACGCAGCAAGAGTTTCTCACAGAAGCTTTAAAGGGATTTTCCAGCAGCCGCTTGTTTGTACAGAGACCTCAGGACGGGGAGACGCAGCTCAAGGAAGAACATTTATGGTCTGCAGTGAAAAATGATTAATATGGAGATTATTACTTCAAGGAAATGATGAAGAAATTATCATAAATGTTCTTCCTTGAGCTGTGTCACCCCGCTGTAGTCTGTAATGGACTGGTCTGAGGTCTCCCCACAAACAAACGGCTGCTGGAAGAGAGTAGGTGAGTTGTGTTTAGTCTCTTTGCTAAAGAGATGAGTCAAAGTTAAAAAGATGTTTGGTGTCTAGTACTATGTCTGTGACACTATATGTCCTGTTGATGAAGTTAGGTGCTGTTCTGAGCATTATTTGTGGCTATAGAGTGGCGTTTTGGTTGAGGGCGTGTCTCTCTGTATTTCTATCCTACGGTTGTTACTAAAGTTGGTATAACTAGAGAAGCAAGCGGTCAGAAACATTTACGCTAGAATATCCCTTTAAGAGATTTTAAAAACACCAACTTCCATCATTTTATTTAGTAGGTGTGTCACAACACATTTGGTTTTCACATGTTTGAAAAGGTGAATAGGAGGAGATCAAGATAATCCGACCCAGAAGTGACAAAAACGTGGACTTGTTCAGACTCAGGTTGTCTCTGATTTTCGTGGATATTGTGAAAGTGAAATAAACTCAACCTGAACTTTGCTGAATGTGAAACTGAAGGACAAATCTGGATGAAAAGGAGCTCCCACATCTTTGGAGACCCTCCTGCTTCAGCGCGTATTAAATAAAAGGTGTTGGTATTGATCCTCCTCATCTAACTATCAATGCACCGCTGCCTGTACTCAATCATGCAGCTCTTTTCAAGCCAAGGACCCGCACTGCCTTACCAATTAATCATGTCCCCAACAGACTGTCCATATTTCCACTTTTCAGCCTGTTTAACAAAAAACTCTGACAGCGAGTTAAACCCTGCGCTCCGGTTCAGGGTCAAAGTTCAGCTTGTTTTGACCTCCGGGTCACCGCCGTCCACAAACTCTCTTCCTTGAACCGTCCCTCTATCAAATAAGGTCATGCGGGCCGTTTCTCTCAAACTCATTCAATACTGCAGCCGTTTGGTTTTTCCAACATGCTCAGTCTTTCCTGAAAAATACCTCACGGCCGCCGTCTAACCGAGAGGCTGCTGCTGATTACAAAATCCATGAAGAAAAGCATTTCTCTCACCTGCGTCCCAACCTGCATCGATCCAACAAGGGACTAGTTGTTTGAAATGATCGGGATGATTACACGACCCTGATCATGCTGCAGTATTGCATAGTTTGTGATTTATGGAAAATCCATGGGCCCACACGTTTTTACAACATAATATTGGATTCGGGCTGCGCCCTCGTATCGGCGAGGGGAGAAGGAGGGGCGGAGTGAGTTCAGGGTGAAAAATTATGTATGGCACAATGATTGCATCTTCAAACAGCGGTTCATCCAGCCTCTGATGATAGTGAAATATATCTCAGTTCATTTCTCATAACTGCTGGACTCCCAAATGTGTTGTTTGACCATAAACAAGCAAAATGCCCCATAGTGTGCTTTGCTAAATGGGCTGAATTACCATTAGGAAACAGCCTCCCAGACACTAGTATTGAGTGGTATTAAGGCCGTAATGTGACGATAGATCATCGCAGCAGAAGAGCTACACCTGCTTTTGCCACATTTACAACGCTCACACAATCATCCTCATTTAGATTCCTGCTCCTGCGTTATCTGGTTCTTACCAAGACAAAAGATACTTGGATTTAGCAGTGTTAGATAATGTCTCCTGTTTTTAAGGTCCTGCGTTTTTTTCGTGCAATTATTTCGGACGTCACGATTTTTTTTAAACCTGTATCCTGTCAATACAAGCGTTCACATCAGCGACGTTTTCCCGTCCTGTGATATTGTGGCATTTATTTTTTCGTATCACAAGGTCGATTTTTCTAAAGTTTCTCATACTGTGTGTCCACTCCTGACCAATCAGATTTCGTGTTGTTGCGACGTCAGATTCACCGGTATATCCAACATGGCCGACAGGCTGATTGTTTACGTGTCGGAGAACAGAGTGATTTTTGATAAAAAACACAAATATTACAAAGATAACGACCTGAAGGACAACATATGACGATGGTTTGTGAGCTTTAACAGTTTGATAAACGTCTTTGTTTTAACTTTCATCTGTGCTAAGTAACTTTAGCTCGTCTGCTGTTGTGTTTTCTGTTTGGCATATGGTAGCTCTTATTATTTTTAAAAGGAGTACCAATTCACCATCACTTGAAGCTGAAGTAGACTCCATTTTTGTCTTCTCACTTCCACCCGCGACACGTATTTTTTCCCCCGGAAAGTCGCAAAATCACATCAGGCTTGATGTGTATAGTCAGGCGCGTCAAAATTCGCCTCCAAATATTTCGTAGTTTCGCGTCATATCTTTGCGTCATTCCCGTTGTGTAAGGACCTTAAGACTTAATTTCTTATTTTAAGTGTTTAACTTTATATTTTAATCTTATATCAAGCATCTTATATCTTTTTTGTCTCAAATAGGCAGGAAATCTTAAAATAAGAAAACTAGCTGTTAAAATAAGTTATATTCTCATGAAAAGGAATCTTGTTTTAAGATTCAGTAACAAACTCAAGTTGCTTTATTCAAGAGTCACTCAAAAGCATCTAGAAAAAGAGTTTATTGCTCCGATTTCAAGCTTTTCATCACCAACGTTTGTAAAACCAGGACAGGAAACAGGCAAACACGCCCATTCATTCTTGTTCTTTCACTCTTCACTAATACTGGGTATTTTTTCTCTAAATTTCAATTTTTTCTTGAAGTAATCTTCAGCTTAATTTCCTTAAAGAAAGAAAAAAATGTAATTGCTTATATTTAGTATATTTTACTTATTTTGAGGCTGTATACGTTAAATTTATTATATATTTATAAGTTATCTCATCTTAAAACCAGCGTTTTCTCCTTACCTTACACTTATATTTATTACATTTCACTTATTTTAGGGCTGTAAAAATTTAATTTCAAGTGATCTGATCTTAAAACCAACATTTTATACTTATTTTATGCTTATAATTAGTATATTTCAACTGTTTTTGGGCTGTAAAAGTTAAATTTTAAGTACTCTGATTTTAAAACCAGCATTTTTGTCTTACTTTAAGCCTTTAAAATACATTTGTCGACATGCTTATTTCTAGATTTAACTATCTTAATTTAAGATAAGACTATTTCACTTATTTTTAGTACTTTCCCCCTCAGATTTAGTGTTTTTATTTTTCAGTGTGGTTATGTGATCTCTCTCTCTCTCTCTCTCTCTCTCTCTCTCTCTCTCTGTCATTTCTCTTTCACATACTTGAAAATTAACCCGAGAATCAAACATTCACGTGCCGACAGCTCTAATCAGATCACATCCAGATGGGTTGAGGTAAACTCTTCGGAGTTTACTCGGGTTCAGATAAGAAGCAGAGTTCAAACCAAACCTCAGTGTAAAAACTCTCAATTTAAGGGATAAACCTCTCGCTGTGGCAAAAGAAATGAGACGAACTCTTAAAGTTTTTCCGCGTGGTTTCTCTTTCCATTATCAGACGACCCTGACAGAGAAAACCCCGGCTAAGTGCATTTGGAACTCCACGTCGGCATAAAAGCCAGTAAAAGTCTTCAAAACGCCGTAAATGTAATGCTCTATGTGTTTGAAAGCCTGGAAATGCAAAGAAAACCCGAGCTCCTCTCCTCGCCTGCTCCCACAGGTCAACTCAAGTCACGCTGGTGATTCTGCGGAAACCAGTTGTTGTGGGGCTAATGCTCTCTGAAGTTAAAAAGGAAAGAACCGCTTCCTCTAGTAAACTCCTGAGTGGTGATGATGACGGACCAATTAGCCTGACTCATTAGCTTTCGCGGAGCATTAGAAAATAAAGCCGTGGCAGGATGGACCTCGCTCTGAGTGTTTCTGCATTATTGATTGAGAATTAATGGCGGAAGCAGCTGTCATTAAAAGGGTAAGGGATGGCTCCAGAAGACCTTAGTAATGGCAATCTGGGCCATTTTAGAGTCAGCGAGATGGCTGTTAACCACTTAAGGGTTGGAGCGCAGATCCGTGAGGTGGAGGAGCAGGAGGTTGGAAAGAGCTGTAGCTGACGTAGCGAGGACAAAGACTCTTTTTTATTGACATAGAGCAACTTTCTCAATTTACATTCTGTTCGGCTTCTTTTTTAAGGTAGAAATTCAGATTTGTCGGGGTAAATGAAGCACTTCCATTCCCATCATCCTGATAGAATCACCGTTTCCACATTAGTCGTGAAGTTGGGTCTCGTCAGGATGGAGCAGGTGCTGCTGCAGGCACACGCTGGGCTTATGAGATGATGGGTCCCTGGGCACAGATGCCTTAAATCCCCTTTGTGCCTAGCAACCCTGTCTCCAGAATAAATGGGCTTATATTGCATAAGAGCTCTTGAGCTAAATGTCCATCTCCAGGGTCGGACTGGGAGTTCTGATAAAAACCAGATAGGCTGACCTACTACAGATGTAAAAAGGGATTTATGGTGGCCCGTCTGATCAGGGGTTACACGGTCCCGTTAGGATTTGACTTTCAGTTTACATTAGAAATACTTTCCCCCTGACTCCTGCTGCTGTTTTTCTTTAATGTAATGAATTACGCATGAATGACTGAACTCTCTGACCCTTTGATAAGAAATATTCAACAGTCAAGCCTCCAAACTATCTGTAAATGGAGAGCTGATAAAATGACCACATTAAACCACCGTAGTTTCTATAGGTCTATTGTTGCAGGTCGGTACCAGCTGGTCCAGAGTACAGAGACTCTACATGTTTATTTACAGGACATGGTTTTCAGCTGCACACCTGCTTCACTGACCTGACATTATCAAACAGATATTTAAATACCATGTTCTTTAGATAGCCCTGAACACACCGAACGGTATATGACCTTTTCCTGTTTTTAAGAACAGTCAGTGATCGTATTTGTTAACCCTTCAAACTCTGCTGCATATTTGGTTTTTCTGTAGGTATTTTCTCTCATTTTGATGTCCTGATTTAGAGTCTTTTTCAACACTTCCCATTGTTGGATTTATCATAACTCCAATTTAAGGGCAATGTAAGATGGTGAAACCAAAAATAATGATATAATATCAAGACTTTGGGGTGAAATGGTCATTTTTATCCCGTCTCTGTGACCATCTGGGGCAGCTTTAAATGATTTAACCCTCAGTTCCTCCTCTGTCTGTTTGAGGACATTTGTCTTTTTTTTCATCTGTATTTTGAGCTGACGGTCACATTTTTAACGATTGGGGCGTCAAATGTGGAGAGAATTCTTATTTAACTTCATATAAATAAACAAAACAAAACTTCATGTCACGGATGGACATGCATGAGGATGAACAGGTCCTTCAGATCATTAGAGGAGAAGATATCACGTCTCAAATATGCAGTTATATTTTATATTTAAGCGTGAATCAGTGTAATCACGGTCATATTTTGGTTAGAGGTGGATAAACACTTATAAATGATTCCTATCTTACATTTATCTTCTGATTTTATATGCCTATATATAAAATTAATTTATTATGATCAAATGAATTCGATCGCATTTGATTTGGTCGAGGATGAGGCCCGAGAAAAGGAGGTGAAGTTGCCGTGTTTTTCTGCTCCAATAGACTCAGCTGTTTATCAGCACACTTTATCAATAACTATGACATGTTGCACAAAAACTGGTGTAAAAATGGTAAAACATCGAATTCTTTATTCATTATTTTTTTTATGGTTAGGGCTTAAGTTGTTTAAGAGATTTGAGTCAAAAAAAGTAAAATAAAATGTTGAAAAATGATCATTTTATAAACACTTATCTGCATGTCTGTATGGAAAAATTGGCTCAACAAAAAGGATCCAAATTCACCAAAATCATTTTTTCTTCTCATCACTGACATGGCCCGGACATCCCTGGTTAATGCAACAACATTTACTCTCTTCAGGAGTTCCAGTTCGGTTGCTTTTCTAAGTCTGAGGCAGACTTCACAAATAAGGCTCTGCAGGATATTGTGATGCAGTTGTCCCAGATGTTTATACGACATTTATCACATTATAGATCTATGTCACATTTGACTCGCCAACTGAACGGCCTCGGGGTGTTTTTGAAGTGAAATGTGGCGTTCAAAAGCACCGTGGTCATGCTTCCTCTCTAACTCTGGTGATTTTAGATCCATTCAGCTGATCTGAGGTCTGTTTTCATGAGCCTAAAGTCAGCACCCAGTGGACTCCACCTTTGACTCATCTATTAAAAGCAAAGCTGAGAGCACAATGACAATAACCCGCTGTAATTCAACTGTTACTCATTTACTCGCAGCACTCGATTCCCAGACATGTTTTTGTCTTGGTGTACAGCCGCTCCGTCAGCCGCTGCCGCTCCACCCACGCATTGCTGCAACATTCAATTGCTCAACAGGTTGAAAGGGGGCCAGTGGGTGGTGAGTTTGTGTTACAGGTGTGTGTTTTGTTTCAAACGGCATGGCGGCGGTGAGCACGGCGAGGTATAAAGGCCGCATTGAGTCAGTGGCCGGCCCCATTGAGAAACAGGAAAAACAAAAACAGGCAGATACTTGCAGGAGGGGGAGGGCTCTGCGAAGAGGAATGCGAGTGTAGTAAGACTCTGGAGACACTGACCTGTGAGGACACGCTTACACTCACAACTCACATTCAGATACATCAGCGCTCAGAAACATGTCCTCACACAAACACATGCAGACACATGCATGCTCCTCATCTCTCGCTGAACAAAGTCTCGGCTTTTACAGCATCTGCATTGCTGAGATTTTCGGGCTCATACCAGCAGAGCGGCTGTCAGTGACTCTTTCATAATTACACAGCTGCCTGAAGACGCGAAGCTCTCGTCTTTATTGTTTTTTTTTTTTCTTATACATACCAGCAGGTACTTGCGTAAGACGACAACAAACCCTGGAACGAAGACGCCCCCGCTGCCAATTACTATAATACAGGTTATAATAATAACATATAGGTCTGCTCTGACATTCCTGCGTCAATTAACCCATTTGTCAGTGCCAAAAACAATCCCACACATGTGTTAAATTAAAGCCTGGCTGTTATGAGAAGCTCGTACAAAAGCGGACATGTCTGCTGCTGGGGTTTGTTTACTTCTTCTCCTTTTGTCTCATTAATGCTTATCAGTTTAATTCTCCATTTAGAGAATTACAAATGAAGCACAGTGTTGACCTCCAGTTTTAATTATGCATAATTAACACTCATGATTATATTTCCTGACTGCGAGATTAAAAATAAAACCCTAAAGTGGAAAAAGTCGTCTCCCTGGTTCTACTTTTGCAGTCGTTTTATCTCGGCTCTGATTGGCTCCCAGCTCCAGCCTCTTACTCACACCTCTGACAAAGACCGAGGATGTTCGCCTATAATAACTCTTTTTGTGCTGCTGCGTGCTCAGACAAGAAACCTTGGAATTGACCGTTGAGCCAAGAATTGCTCTTACCGTCAGTCTAAGCCGTGTAATTAGAGGGAGCTTTTATGTTCCTGCTCCAAACCTTTAAAATCAGGGAGTGAGATCAGGGTCCTTTTCTGCAGGATATGACAGTCAAGGTTCATGGCTTTTAATGTCAGGTCTTTTTTGTGCCAAATGTGCCCACCAAGTTTTTCAAAACTTGGTTGGATCTGTTCATGGAGGTCGTCAGGACTGTTGATGAGAACTTCAGTTTGCAGGAGTTGTTCGTGAAACTGACCGTCACAGTCTGCAGGTTTTTGGTAGACCTGAGCGTCGTCTGTGTAGCGATGAAATAAAACTGTACGTCAGGAGGATGATATGAACTACAGGAAATAAACGCAAAGAGAACAGAATTGGGCTAAGAATCGAGCCTTGGGGAACTCCATATCTTAGAGTTTCTTTTCAATGGCTTTGTTTTAAATCTACTGATTTGCTCTATTCTTGCAATTACGGTAAAAGTTCAGAAGTAAAACGATTCGTAGCATCTCTTTATTCTGTCTTCTCTTGGATCTGTTTGCGGAGGTCGTCAGGACCGTTTATGAGCACTTCCGTTTGCAAGAATTGTTCATGACACTGACCGTCAAAGTCGGCAGGTTCTAGGTAGATATGAGAGTCGTCTGCGTAGCGATTAAATAAAACTGTACATCAAAGGATGATTTGAACTATAGGAACCATGAGCAAAGAGAACAGAATTGGGCCAAGAATCGTGCCTTGGGGAACACCAAACCAAAACGATTTGTAGCGTCTCTTTAACCTGTCCTCCTCCTCGGTGTCAGGACCATTGACGAGCACTTCTGTTTGCAGGAATTGTTCGTGACACTGACCCCCAATTTCCACCTATTCAAGTCAACGTATCAATTTCCACCGACTTCTTTCCGTTCCTCTGCGGATCGCTGGACTCCACAGCTGAGCGCAAGAGTTAGTTTTTTTTCAGACGCCGGAGCATGGCGGATAAATTCAGCACAGATTAACCCGTGCTGGAAAGGAAGTCGGGCACAGACACAAAATAAAACATCCGGCTTCTTTTCAAAATAAAACACTCCGTGTTTCAGGAGGATCGTATTTCACACCATGCAAATGGGCGGAGACGAACAAGTGAAAGGTTTTTAGACGTCATTTCACCCCGATGACACCATGGATGAGGAGATGCTGATTCTAGAAGTCTAGAAGTAGATTTCCTCCTCTGGAAGGACACAATCTACTGCTTATATGGTTAGCCTCTGTGGCTAAGAGACAACTTGCTAACATGCGATTCCACGTGTTCTTGTGAGTTCTCATGATTCCTACTGTCCGTAATCTGCCACGAAATTTGTCCCACCAACAGATGCGGTAGGAATTGGCGTATGGCGAAAATCGCTGCTGTTTTGGATGCGGTGGAAATCCCTGGTGACAGTTACAGTTGGCAGGATTTTCGTAGAACTAAGCGTCGTCTACATAGCGATGAAATAAAACTGTATGTTAAAGGATGAACCATGAGCAAAGAATCGAGCCTTGGGGTACTCCATATGTTTGAGTTTCTTCTCAATGACTATTTTATAAATCTATTAATTTGATCTATTCTTGCAATTACAGTAATTTTTTCGTAGCGTCTGAAAATCCTAAATTTGGACATCACAGCACGGCTTGTTTCTGCCTCATGTCTTCACAACTCTTTCGTCCACTGTTGAATTGACTTTATTTATTTGGCCCCGCCCCCTGATAAAAACCTCTGTTTTTTCTGTGGAGGTTTGACAGATCCTCGTGGTTATATGTGGTCGAACGTCGGAGTGTACATCCATCTGAAACGCTTGATGAACTCCTCATTGACACACCTACACCCATCCCATTGTGAGGATGAATGCTGCGGTGTGTGAGCGCTGTACGGCGTGACGGATGGCCGATGAGTGACGTCCACACTCCTCACTCCCCACTCACACAAAACAAACATGCATCATCCCCCCCTTCCTCTCTACTCCTTCACCTCCCTCGTCCCCTAATTTACTCCACCTTCACCATCCTTCACTCATTCTTAATCTCTCCGCAGCCCCCTGACCGACCGGCGGGCGCGCCCTCCAATCAATTAGTTCATGTTCAGTAATGACAGCAGCTGTGGGCCGGCGGGGCGTCTCTGCGTTTAGGAGCGTTTTACTGCCTGGAAAAAAAAACCTCCGGATGAGAAGCCGCCGGTTTGCTCGCCCCGGGGAAGGATAGATGGAGGCCTGCATATGCTCATCTGTCTCTGCGCTTTTATTTTTACAGCATCTGGTCCGTGTCAGGGCCGGCTGGCCTAACAAGCCAGATCAGATGGAGAGGGAGCAGCAGGACGGGACAGGACCACTTCAGAAAATTTACATCTGAAAGTTCACATAAAACTTTTCAGTGGAAGGAGAGAGGGCGAAGCTGAACGCCGCGTGATTCATAAGAGCAGGTGAGGACGATGATAACCATGATCTACTGTTATCATAGCGGCACGAAGCAACCGTTAAGTCTTCAAACACCAACCTGGAGAGGGTTTTAGTGCCGCTTTTTAAGACCTGCAGCTCAATTTGGATCAAACTGGTTTTAACGATTCAAGAAATCAAGACATGAAATAAAAGAGACTGAAACACAACGTTTTTTTCTTTAAGCAAATACGGGACCATCAATAGGACGCTAATAATAAAAATGTATCCATGTTATTGAAAGTGTGAATCTGAATTTGGAGTTGATCCTTTTTTACTAAGACATACTATGACATTTTTATCAAATTATACTGACATTATTACCTCCGCCATGGAGGTATGTTTTCGGTAGCGTTGGTTTGTTGTTTTTTTTGTCTGTCACCAACTTTACGGAGAAAGTAACAGACGGATTGACCTGAAATTTTCACCAGAGGTGCGTCTCAGCCCCAGGAGGATCCTATTACATTTTGGTGCTGATCCGGATCGCCTTCTGGATCCAGGAATTTTTTTAAAGGATTCTTTATCATTGTGAGATAGGACACATTTTGGAATTTTTGCATTTCACTCAATAAAAATGTCCAGAGTCTTTAGTAAAAAATGACACAAAAGGATCTCAGTGAGTTTTATGAGGTGTCAAAGGTTGATCCTGATCCAGACAAAATTCTGGATACTGTGATCCAGAACACACAAAAATAAGGGTGTGGTTGGAATTTTCAATGCTGAAAGATAACCAATGGGCAGCACAGTGGTGTAGTGGTTAGCACTGTCGCCTCACAGCAAGAAGGTCCTGGGTTTGAATCCGGGTTAGGGCATTTCTTAGGAACATTATGAACAGTGAACATACCAGTTTAAACACAAATAAACGTTCATAAAAGACACGTAACAGTAAAAGTTTTGCTGTGAATCACAATATAAGGGGGACATGAGCTGCTTGGCGGAGGTCTGAGCTCTCCGAGTGCTTTTCAAGTTTGTCATACTAAACTATGACATTTTTTCAACATAAAATACCATGACATTTTAATCATACTGTACTATAATATTTTTTTATGCTATACTACAATATTTTTATCATGTTATAGTATAATACGATGAAAAAAACATCAAAACATAGTATGTTAAAAAATGTCATGGTATAGTATAATATAAATCTCATAGTATAGTATGATAAAAAAAAAAATGTCATAGTTTACTATGATAAAAATGTCATTGTAAAGTATGTTAAGAAAATGTTAGTAAAGTCATAGTAAAGTAAGATAAAAAATGAGTCTGCTGTTGTCGATTCAGGGGATCCATTGTGATTCCCAGACACCATCATGAAAACGGTGCAGTGTGCACTCACGAAACTTGGGAATAAATGCTAAAATCTATCTTCTGAATCGGAGCCACTTATTCTGTTTCAGATCTCATGACTCTGCGCTGTCGTCTGAAGATGTTGTTGGACCAGAGAGCGCGGGTCCAAACTGGGTTTAAGTGGACTCTGGATTCCAACGAGCCCAGGGTTACGAGCAGCTCAAAGACTGTCCCCTCAGTCAGCGGGTCCTCGGTGTGAACATTTGGGGTGAATTATAAAACGTCTGAGTTTGAATATTTTTATAACATCGCCCTCAGGAAACACGGCTCAGCTGCAGACCCTTCAGTGACTCACAGCCTTAGAATAGCTGCTTTTTTTAACAGTATGTCACATTTTAGTGACATTTAAAGACGTGTAAACTCTTTTTATTTTGATTTGTTTCTTTTATTTTATATTTTTCTATCTTTAAAAAAAAAAAAACCACCCCCCTCTGCGCTCTGACTCTGGCTGCAGAAACACATCGAAACTCTGGTCACAGCTCCAGAACATTCCCCCATTTTCACCGTCTTCAGCTCCTCTCTGTCATCCTGCCTCTGTGGAGATAGGTTGATCCATCATGCACTCACACACACACACACACACACACACACACACACACACACACACACACTAAAAGCAGACTCGCCCACAAGAATGTCATTCCAGGGATAGCTTGATCCATCACAGATGCGCCTCCACATACAGACACACACAGACAGACGTGCTCACACATGGTGCATACACACACACACACACACACACACACACGCGTCCACATGTATGTCATTCCCGGAGCTTTATCCATCAGTCACAGCCGTACTTACATTAGATGCTGCAGTCACTTCCAGACACACACGGGCGCAGGTACGCTGGATATTACCACGTAATTGGACAGTGTGTCAGCAGGGGGGGTTATGAGTCCTGAGTGATTGTCGGCTTCGTCACACAGCTGAGAGTCATCTCCGGCGTGAATCTGCTCATCAACCATCAAGAGGATGACTTCAGCCTGATCAGCTGGAAAAGTGGACGCTAAATCCAGAAAAAAACGCTCATGCGGCGATTATGAGAGCTGGAGCAGTCGTGATTCAGAGGGTCATTTTCTTCTCTTGTTGAATATGGAGCTCCGAGTAATCAGAGAAGCAGCTTTAATACACCGACCAGATGCAGGGGCGGGCGCAGTTAATCAAAAAACTAAAACCTCGATGTAAAGATGGTGAAAAAGTGACTCCTGTACTGAAGGAGGAAGATTAACCGTAAAGTTGAGAACAAGATGCTCAGGTTAAGAAAACATGCAGAGATGAAACAATAAAACAACAGCAGCCGCGCTTCTATGTCTCTTGACGATCATGGAGCTACGCTGTTACGTTTCTGTTACATTATGTTACTGGCGCTACTCGCTATATAGACCGCATATAAGCTTGAACGTTACCTTTCACGTCAATGGAAGAGTGTCCGACAGGATTTGATGCTATTGTTGATGACTCAAAACAAGTCGAAAATAACGTCGTGTGTTATTTTGCTCACACAGTACGAGTAGAGATCATTAGTGGCGCAGTGGTATTAATGATTATGTGAAATTTCAGTAGCGGCGCATGTAATTTAGGAGCGACGGTGCGAAACTGCTGAATGAATGTAGAGGAAACACTGGGCCTCTTCCTGTCACGCCGGGATTCCACCACATGTAGATCCGCTACGCTCCGATCTGGGACGGCAGGTGGATCAAAAACGCAAGCATGCAGCGCCCACTGGATCCAATCAGCTGCCACGAGTAGAGGAGAAGCGCTTACAATATTACGGATATTTTTCACGAGACTGGACGAGATCTCATGAGATCTCGCGTGTTTCACCGTTAGACATTAAATGAGGTCAGCTGAGGATAAAAACAACCACCTCCCTGGCCCCTCCCATTATCATGTGAAGGACAGTTCAATGTATCGACTTTATTTTAGCCATATATAACTTCCGCTGCTGCTTGTGCTGCGCTGCACTGACTTGATGCGTTGTGCTGCGGCGTCCGTCAAAAATAGTAGCCTTACATATCTGATCCGACCGCCGGAGCGGATCCCCAGCAGATTGTGTGGGATCACGCACAGATTATAATGCTTGCGTATTTGATCGGGCTACTTTACCACAGCGGAGCGCAGCTGTTCTGGATCAACACTTACAGGATATTAGTCCAACCCGAAGCACGTACACACGCATGAGACAATTTCACAGGGCGTACATGTGCAGTGAGATGGTGATTACGTAGCTTTACACGATTGGTTCATGCAGTTTATCATTCGACAAATGTGGCGTCCTTCACGAACTACTGGGCGCCGGTTTGTTCGTTCACTGTGTTTGTATTTTTAATCTCTCCACTTTTCCGCGATATAAAAGAACGACGACTCGCGCTCATTCAGTGGGCGCACAGTTTGCTGCTGTGTTGTCAGGACAGGACGGGGCTCCCGAGCAC